AGACACTGTTGTTATCGATGCAGAAGACACAGATGTTATGGTTCTAGCAGCATACGCAGCCCATCAGATTGAAGGACCATTAAGCATCAAGAGGAAGGGCTTCGTCTATGACTGTAAGAAGCTTTGCAGTCCTGAAGTGGCAGATGTCATTGTCCCCTTTCATGTTCATACTGGTGCAGACGCTGTCTCTGGCTTCTATGGCCATGGCAAACCATCCATCTTTGAATCGGCAATGAAGTCAGAGGAAGGAAGGAAGGAGTTTGCTCCAAGGACTTGGGAAACAGCTGCCTGTATCAGAAGACACCCAAATCGACATGGAGCAATTCACAATTAAGTTCATCTACAAAGACAAAACTAGTACAAGTTTAGCAGAGGCAAGAGCAAAGAAGTGGGAGAGTATGAAGAAAAAAGCAACACAGAGAATGCCACCTGATTGCGACTCACATCAGATGAAGGTCAGACGAGCCAACTATCAGGCATACATCTTCCTGAACTTCAGGAGTCCAGATGCTCCTCCATCACCTCTCCACCATGGATGGCACATGAAAGATGGCAACTGCATCCCACTTCGATACACCAAGCCTGCATTGCCTACACGTTTGACCAACCTAATACCAGCAGATGACCAATCTCCACAGTCTGACTCCGATTCGGATATCGATAATGATCAAGACTCTGTCTCTGAAGATTCCGACTATGCGTAGAACCTCTGATTTGTCACATCTATCCGTCCTTAAAGGTATGTTGCAACAAATTAAGACATATACCATACCTAGTAAGAGAGCGCAGGGTTGTGTATGTAACTGATGGGCAGATAAAAACAATCAAGCTAATTTGACATTGTGGCCACCAGTTAAATTACATGTAAACTGCATTGTGACACTTAACAAAAATGAACATGGCTTTGTTGTCACTCCTATGATCGTATTTTAACCCTAGAATGAAACTGCTCTTTCTCATTCAGTGTGAGAGTGCATTACAGCACAATTTAGGTCAATTAAACATTTTTGACCCCAAATGACCCCATTTTGGCCTTATAATGACTCCTTACATCAATTGAATATGGTTTTCTAAATTTAAAAAAAAAAAAAAAAAATTCATTCACTATTATTCATCAATTTACACATAATTTGACACGAATAACTCCTAAGTCTGTTAGTGTATTTTGATCCCAAAAGAGCTCATTTGACCCCTAATGACCTTATTTTGACCCCTTATATCTTTTGAATATGGTCTTCTTAAGTAGAAATTGTCTCATTCAAATTTCTAAATCAAAATACATATAAATAGACACAAAAAACATGAAAATTGATCGATCCTAACACTTTTAGTGTATTTTGCCCTCAAATGAAAGTTCGTTGACCTTTTGACTTTTCCGGCCATAACTTCTTAACGTGAGGTCAGGGGTATATGATCATGTACACTTTTTTGTTCAGTATGACGAGACAAACAATTTGACATGTCTTTTAACATAATCAGGGCATTTAAAAAAATTGACCCCCTATTGACCCCATTTTGACCTTATTTTGACCCCTACAAGAGTTGCCGGGGGTTAGGAGGGGACTACCCAAGCTAATTTTAATCATTGACCTCCAAACAACTCAAAAACACTTAAAAACCTTTGTCCCCGAAAAATATCAGCGGGGTCTACACACTTTGACTCTACTATATACAATGTACTAGGTCATCATGGAAGTTCTAGAAAAACAACAGGGGAGGGATCAAAATAAGCTTTGAAGGGCACTTATACGGGGAAAAATGTATTCAGACAAGGATTAAGAGTAGTGAACGGTACAACGAATCGTCTTCTTTCTCTAATATTTTAATAGAACGTCAAAGCTTCCGCGCTTCGCACGGGAAGGGGGAGGGTGAAAATAATTTAGCTCCTGGCCCCGGATTTATAGGGTTAAATTTGTAGACATTGGGACATTGGCATTAACATATATATATATATGTTAATATATAAATGGTAGCTATTTTTGTCGGTATTCGGTGGCCTCTTCAACCCCCCCCCCCCCCCCCCCCACCTCAAACTGAAAAAGGTCTAGCGACGCCCCTGCCTACAACCCCTTTTTGTCGCTTCCATCCTTTGCTGAAGGTAAGGGACATGATAGATCAACCCCTTGATGGCAACACTGCTACACCCCAACCGCAACCCCCCCCCCCCGTGAAACACAAACAGTCTACGCCATCTATGAACTAATTGGACGAGAATTGTCAGTAATATGTACTTGTACCACGGAAATACTGCAGGGAGGGTAGACCTAATGGTCGGACTGATGGGGGGCACGCCTTTTTCTTTTCTTTTGTTCAGAAATGTTTTCAATATGGTTTCAATAAATGTTTTCTACAAATATTCGGGGTCATATGGCCCCCTCCCGCCTACGCTACAACCGTGGGGTATCCCCTATCCATTATTTCGCCTACTGATGTTTATTGCTTATTTAATTTACATTTTTTTATGAATAGCAACCCTTATACCGTATTATGAATAGCGACCCTCATTTCGTATTATGAATAGCAAACCTCTAGTCGTATTATGTACAGCGACTCTCATTCCTTATTATGAACAGCGAACCTCTAGTCCTATGATGAATAGCGACCCTCATTTCGTATTATGAATAGCGACCCTAACTCTATATGATGAACAGCGACCATCATTTCCTATTATGAATAGCGACCCCCATTCCGTATTATGAACAGCGAACCTCTACTCATATTATGAATAGCGACCGTCATTTCGTATTATGAATAGCGACCCTCATTTCATGTTATAAATAGCGACCCTCATTTCGTTTTATGAATAGCGACCCTCTACTCCTATTATGAATAGCGACCCTCTACTCCTATTATGAATAACGACCCTCTTCTCGTATTATGAATAGCGACCCTCATTTTGCATTATGAATAGCGAACCTCATTTCGTATTATGAAAAGCGACCCTCTTCTCCTATTATGAATAGCGAACCTCATTTTGTATTATGAATAGCGACCCTCTTCTCCTATTATGAATAGCGATCCTCTTCTCCTATTATGAATAGCGAACCTCATTTCGTATTATGAATAGCGACCCTCTTCTCCTATTCTGAATAGCGAACCTCATTCCATATTATGAATAGTGACCCTATTATGAATAGCGACCCTCATTTCATATTATAAATAGCGACCCTCTTCTCATATTATGAATAGCGACCCTCTTCTCCTATTATGAATAGCGACCCTCTCCTCCTATTATGAATAGCGAACCTCACTTCGTTTTATGAATAGCGACCCTCTTCTCCTATTATGAATAGCGAACCTTATTCCATATTATGAATAGTGACCCTATTATGAATAGCGACCCTCATTTCATATTATAAATAGCGACCCTCATTTCGTTTTATGAATAGCGACCCTCTACTCCTATTATGAATAGCGACCCTCTACTCCTATTATGAATAGCGACCCTCTTCTCGTATTATGAATAGCGACCCTCATTTTGCATTATGAATAGCGAACCTCATTTCGTATTATGAATAGCGACCCTCTTCTTCTATTATGAATAGCGACCCTCTTCTCCTATTATGAATAGCGACCCTCTTCTCCTATTATGAATAGCGAACCTCATTTCCTATTATGAATGGCGACCCTCTTCTCCTATTATGAATAGCGAACCTCATTCCGTATTATGAATAGTGACCCTATTATGAATAGCGACCCTCATATCGTATTATGAATAGCAACCCTCTACTCCTATTATGAATAGCTCTTCTCCTATTATGAATAGCGACCCTCTTCTCCTATTATGAATAGCAACCCTCTTCTCCTATTATGAATAGCGACCCTCATTTTGTATTATGAATAGCGACCCTTACAAGTAATGAACCTTATTTTGTATTATGAATAGCGACCCTCTCGTCGTATTATGAATAGCGACCCTAATTTCATATTATGAATAGCGGTCCTTATGATTAATGACCCTTAATATGAATTATGAATAGCGACCCTCATCTCACGTTATGAATAGCGGTCCTTATGATTAACGAACCTTATTTCTTTATGAATAGTGACCCTCTTTTGCCATTATGAATAGCGGACCAGGAAGTACGGTAATTTACACGTTATGAATAACGGTCCTTATGAATAACGGTCCTTATGAATAGCGAATAGACCCCAGCGATCCCATTACATTCTTAAGGCTTAATTCGTTCCACGATGCCTTCGCATCGGATCGGGTAGTCTGGTTACACGAACATTTAAGAAAACATTCTTCCCATATATCCATGAAAGGTCGAGTAATTCAAATGATAATGCTAATCTTTTACACATTTCTGAAAACTATCCAATGCAATGTCGATGTGTCGGTAGCTAGCTATTTTACGAACTCTTATGTGGATTATTCACCTCGTATTCAAAAGTATGGGGTCAAGACGCGAGTTTGTAGATTTGCTGTAAGTCTTTAGGAAAGTGTCCGCGTAAACTTGACATAACAATTTTTTTCGAAAGCAGAAGTGTTTTAGGGGCTAAATTTTCACCTCTTCTCACTCATTAGCATTTTATTTGTATGTCAGCAACTTTTGAATACATTTCGTAAACAATCAAAGAGAAATTGCAGGCAGTATGTCTTTCCCTGGCTAAAATATTGTGCTTAAATCTACTGACATGACTGTAGAGCTGATGAAAAGTTGCCTTTAAATAATGATTTTTCTTTTTCTTCATATTTGTCTCGAAATGTCACTGTTCTGAAATTGTTTCTTCTTCTCATTTATAAATATTCTTAATTGTTTGATGAAAGAGGTTTATAATGTGTTTCATTCTAAAGCATGTCATAACCTGACCAGTTGAAATATTTATCTGTTAACTGTGAACTCAAACCCCCCCCCCCCCCCCCCAAAAAAAAAAAAAAAAAAAAATAATAATAATAATAAATATTTAAAAAAAATAAATAAAAAAAAAAATCAGGGTGCGTTCCGCGGGCAATAGCCCGGGGTGTCATCCTACTAGCTCATCTACAAACTCACCAAGGAGTTCTCCAAAGAACTCCATACGAAGGGAAATATGTTCATGCCATGTGTAAGGTAAAAGGCGAACATATCGACACGACATTGGCACGGGAAAGCGATTGTAAACCACGGTGTTTCGATCAGTATTGCCGGGAAAGATCTGAGGAAAACACGCAAAAAGAACAACGCGTAAATTCAAAAAGAGAGATAAATGCTAAGATTAACATCGTGAAAAAAAAGGAATTGAGAAACGCTCAATAAACGAATCACACTTGACTGGTAATCGACCAATTAACTGATTAGGGTCGAAAGATGAGTAAATCGGTACCTACATTGTCGTTGTCGGTGTTAGTGGGGTCTTTCACTGTCTCAAAGCTAACACTATTCATACTGCAGGCAATCTTGAAGCTTGTTACCCACTGGGACAAATCCTCACGACCTTGTGTTGCCACTCCTACGATGCTGTACGTAGCTAAAAGATCAATCTGAGATTCGAATGATAATGATTATTGAAGATAATAAAATGGAAATTACAAAAACGATATTTGTATATAATTATATAAAAACAGTATAATACATACATATATCAAGTATGTATATAACATTGATAGTGGCGGATCCAGGGGGCCCGGGGGCCCGCCCCCCCCCCCCTGGGAAAAAAAAGGGGGGAAAAGAAGGAAACAAAAAGAGAGAGAGAAGGAAAAGAAGGGAAAGAGGAGAGAAAGGAAGAAGAAAGAAGAGGAAGAAGAAAAGAAAAGGGGGAAGAAGTGATCGGGGGCGAAAGAGCCTCGCCCCCTAGGCTGTCGCTCCCCCCCCCCTCCTCCCCCAATCAAAAAAATAAGAAAAAAGGAAGAAAATAGAAACAGGGGGTATCAGTTGCAATTTTTCCGCCAACAAGTAGTGGATCGGGGTAGGGGTGGGGCAAAATGCCCTTGCCTCCCCCCGCCCCGCTAAAAAAAAAGAGAGAAAGAAGGAAAAGGAAAAAAAAGAGAGCTAAAAGGGACCGAAAAAAATGAAAAGAAGGGGAAATAGATCATTTGCAGTTAATACCGCCAACAACGTGTGGAGAAGGGTGGGGCCGAAATGACCTTGCCTCCCCCTCCCCTTTCAAACCTAAAAGAGAGAGAAGGAAGGGAAGGGAAAGGGAAAGAGAAGAGAGAAAGGGGAAAAAGAGAAAGAAGAAAGGTAGGGGAGATCAGTTGCGATTTTTCCACTACAAAGTGTAGATCGGGGGGCGGGGCACTGGCGTATTGATCGGAAAGGGGGCTCGGAGGAAATAACATTTAAACGCGGTTTATTTCTAATTCCATAACGGTTGTTTACACATATTGCTGAAATTACATAATTTTCCGAGATTTCCTCATTCTTTAGTAAATTATACTTTTGTATGCGTTTGTAAGAAATATGCTTCTTGAGATGCCTACATGTCAGGGCCCGCGGAAGGGCGGGGATCGGGAGCCTCCAGTTCCTCCCCCCCCCCCCCCCCCCCCCAATTTTTTTTTTGGAAAAGCATTTTAAGGAGAAATAGAAAGAAAGAGAGCAAGAAAGAAAGAATAGTTAACGACCAGTGTCACAACAAAATAAGGTTTCAAAAATTGCTCATCTGACCGTAATTAAACGCCTAAAACCCCTGAGCTTCCGGGGGTTCTGCCCCTGGGACCCAACCAAGGGCCCTTGGGCAGGCCATTTGATACTCATCTGACCGCAATTTAGTGCCTAAAACCCTTGATCTTCTGGGGGCTCCGCCCGCTGGACCTCACGCCAATCAGTGTCCAGCCAATGTCACAAATAAGGTATAAAAATATGTTCATCTGACCGTAGTCAAATACCTGAAACCCCTGAGATTCAGGGGTTTCCGCACCCTCGACCCCACCAGTGGCCCTGAGGCGGGCCCCTGAATGCTTATCTGACCGTAATTTGCCTTCAACCCATGAGTTTCCGGAGGCGGAAAAGGTATCACAAGATGTTCATCTGACCGCGGGCGCGTAGCCAGGGGGCAATGGGGGCGCCCCCCCCCCCCATAAAAAAAAACGCCGGCAAAAAAAAGAGAGGAGAGAAAAGGAAGAGGACGTATGAAAAAAAAGGAGCAGACAAAAAACATTTTTGAAATTCAGACAAGGATTAAGAGTCGAAAACGCTACAACGAATCGCCTTCTTTCTCTAATGATTTAATGAAACGTAAAAGCTTCCGCGTTTTGCGCGGGAGGGGGAAAACTGTGTTTAGACGAGGAGTATTTTCGAGAACGGTACAACGAATCGTCTTGTTTCTCTAATAATTAAATTAAATGTCAAAGCTTCCGCGCTTTACGCGCGCGGATGGGGGGGGAAACTAAATTCAGACGAGGATGAAGGTCGAGAACGGTACAACGAATCGTCTTCTTCCTCTAATGATTTTATGAAACGTAAAAGCTTCCGCGTTTTGCGCAGTGGTGGGGTAACTGAATTTAGACAAGGATTAAGAGTCGGGAACGGTACAACGAATCGTCTTCTTTCTCTAATGATTTCATGAAACGTAAAAGCTTCCGCGCTTTGCGCGCGTGGATGGCGGGGGGAAACTAAATTCAGACGAGGATTAAGGTCGAGAACGGTACAACGAATCGTCTTGTTTCTCTAATAATTAAATCAAATGTCAAAGCTTCGGCGCTTCGCGCGAGAGGTGGGGGAACTAAATTTAGACAAGGTTTAAGAGTCGAGAACGGTACAACGAATCGTCTTCTTTCTTTAATGATTTAATGAAACGTACAAGCTTCCGCGCTTCGCGCAGTGGTGGAGTAACTGAATTTAGACAAGGATTAAGAGTCGAGAACGGTACAACTAATCGTCTTATTTCTCTAAGGATTTAATGAAATGTAAAGGCTTTCGCGCTTCGCGCGCCCGGATTGGGGGGGGGAACTGAATTCAGACGAGGATTAAGAGTCGAGAACGGTACAACGAGTCGTCTTCTTTCTCTAATAATTAAATGAAACGTACAAGCTTCCGCGCTTCGCGCGGGAGGGGGGAGGAGCAAACTGATTTCAAACGAGGATTAAGAGTCGAGAACGGTATAACGAATTGTCTTATTTCTCTAAGGATTTAATGAAATGTAAAGGCTTTCGCGCTTCGCGCGCGCGGATGGGGGTGGAACTGAATTCAAGCAAGGATTAAGAGTCGAGAACGGTATAACGAATCGTCTTCTTTCTCTAATGATTTAATGAAACGTAAAGGCTTCCGCGCTTCGCGCAGGAGGTGGGGTAACTAAATTTAGACAAGGATTAAGGGTCGAGGACGGTACAGATATCGTCTTCTTTCTCTAATGATTAAATGAAACGTAGAAGCTCCCGCGCTTTGCGCGTGATTGGGAAATACTGTATTCAGACGAGGATTTCGTCTTGTTTCTCTAATAATTTAATGAAAGGTAAAGGCTTCCGAGCTTTGCGCGGGAGGGGGGGGGAATGAATTTAGACGAGGATTAAGAGTCAAAAACGGTTCAACAAAACGTCTTCCTTCTCTAATGATTTAATGAAACGTAAAAGCTTCCGCGCTTCGCGTGGGAGGGGAAAAACTGTTTTCAGACGAGCAGGCGCGTATGCAGGTGGGGGGGGGGGGGGTGAAGGGTTGAACCCCGCTCTCCGTTTTTTTGGTATGTGTGTATTTTGGAGCAAACCCCCTTCCCCTTTTGTGATCTTTTTTTATGCCAATGGCTGACCTAAAAAAAACGTGACCTCACCCCCCCCCCCCTAACGGAACAAAATGTCAAATTTTCAAATTTCGAGACCAAAAAACTAAAAAAAGTGTCCTTTTATCCCCCCCCCCCCGCTTATTCATTTCATTTCTTTTCATTTATTTTCATTTCATTTCATTTATATTCAGCGGCTTGCTGAGTCGTTGCGATTTTTTTTGTGACCAAAAAAAAAAAGTGGGCCCCCCCCCCTAAGAAATCCTGGATCCGCGCCTGCATTGATGCTGCTTGTAAGTATTGGTTTGGATGTTGATGTAGATAAACAGTAGGCTTGCGGGTGCACCATTTGAGAGAGAGGGAGGATTGAGGAGTTCTGAAAAGGACTCTCGGTAATCTTTCTTGACTGTTGGGGTAGTCTTGACGACGGATAGTCTACCTGTTCGAAACATCGAGCCACTCCCGCCAATCATCCTGTCCAAGCGCTATAGTTCTCCTTAGAACTATAAGCTAAGAAAGATACCCAACTGTCTTTTTCAAGACTACCCCAACAGTCCTTTTCAGGACTACACATCCTCAGGAAAGAGTACCGAGAGTCCTTTTCAGAACTCCTTAATCCCCCCTCTCTCTCACATGGTATACAAGCAAGCCTACTGTATATAACATTGATGTTGCTGATGATAGCATGATATTCTCCTATGGGATTTTGTCCTAGGCTTTCGAAAAATGCATCTGTCTTCCGAAGTTGGTGATCTTATCTGGAATGAAACAAAGCTATTGAGAGAAAAGGTTTCTTTTCAAAATAAAAAGATTTTGATGTTTAAATCCAGAAGGGGTAATCAATCCATGCCCGAATTCAGTGTCGGGTCTATGACAGGTTGCTAATGCCTCAAAGATTGATTAATAAACGTTTATCTTGTTTGTGATCGACGTCTGTGCTGACCTATCGAATCAGAAAATCCTCGATAGATCTACGGGATCCATCATGTATCGCAAATATATATATTCAAATTGAAGCAGTCCTATCCAAATCGAAAAGATACCAAAAGAGTCCATAAGAAGTCGAAAAAGATTTTATGATTTACTTTACTTAGCCGAACTTTTTCAGAGCAGCCTGCAGAATAAAATGAGGCTCCCTCAGAATAGAGACTGACCTGAATCCACTGCCGCAAATCGTTTGTTACTGCAGACCATCCTCCGCTCAGGGTTCCGACTCTAGCTATGTTTAACCGGCTTCTAGAAGGACCTTCATCAGCATCCCACCCACTAGAAGCTGTCAAGCTCGAATCTGGGATAGCCCCGCTTTCTAGGCCTAGAGGGCTAGCATCCTGGATGGGACCTATGTTTACAGAAAGGAACTTTGAACTTTATATAATTCAATATCATCTACTCAGTATAAAGTCTCTTAATTCCGTCTATTCAATCTCAGAAAGCATATTGCAAATTAGAACTTTAAAGGTTGGGTGACGTCCAAATATAAGTTGATTCCTGTTGATGTACAGGGCTGCACACAACTCATATTTTGGTATTAAAACATATAAATATTATTTTATAGATTGTTTAATTTTTTTAAAATTATTTTATTAGACCTGCTAAGCTCCACCCCTCCCCCCCCCCTAAAAAAAAATGCTCCAGATCTCATTCATCTGGTGACATCATTTGTCAATCATTAGTGAGCTAACAAGAGACAGTGGTTTATAGCTTCACCAGAGCTGACCACCTGTTTACAATAGACCATAAAATACCAACATAGGAGTTGATATGTCAGACTTGCTGATGCATCACCAGGAAATAGATGACAGCCCAAAACAAGAATCTTATGAAATAGACGAAAAAATGTATAAGCATAAGGCCTAAATAAATGTTGTCTTGCCCTTTGCGACCAACCGAACAATCTTTTTTACCGTTTTTTTAGAAGAAAAACAATGTATTAAATCAGTCAATACTGTGAAATATCGGCCCGAAGAAGGAGACAAAAAGTAGGGGGGACAAATTTAAACAAAAAAAATTTCAAACCGACCGACCCATGTTTCGGCACCTAAAGAGCAATGCAACATCCGTTATTTAGGCCTAATGGACAACAAAATGAAAACTTCGGAATTCTTTAAGGAGCATTTATTGATACCAGGTTTGATAACTAAAATGGTCTCTGGAAGATTTAGTATGGTTACGTATGGAACTACTACACAATATGCCAAGCATCCTGTTGGAACCATTTCTTCTAAACCCTCACTCGCATAATTATATCAGGGTCTTAACTTACCTGTTACAGTCCCTTCTCGATACAGCTCCATACGCAATCCAATAAAACCAGTCCAGGCGACAGGTATTAGACGCAAATAGCGGCATAAAATGGCCTCGGGCAAGGGATTGAACACTACGGTGTTGCGGTCACTATTGGCAAGAAATATCTTAGAAAAAAACCCACAATATCATTAGGTGGGCCGATCTATAGTTTAAAGGGATAGTTGATTTGTGTTGCAGAGGGCGCTACAAAAAATAATTTTGTTGTGAGATAATGGAAAACTAGTGTCAAATTTGAAAGAACATACAATTTAAATGACAAAATCATCTTTGTTTGATCGGTTCAGAGACGGCTGAAATATCCATAAATATAACAATTTTTAATATTTGTGTACCACCACAAATATTAGATCATTTGAAAAAGATCTTGAAAAAACGAAATAGCGCCTTTTTCGTCGTATTTCAGCCAATGCTGAAGTTGGCTGGGTTTTGGGGGCATTTTCGTGTTGGTTATATTACGCACAACCAGCCGGTCCATGAATTGTTATTTTTAATTAAATAATTACTTAACGGTCACCATATTTTTTTGAAGGTGGAGCTGATTTGGTATGATCGCATTGGCTAAATTTCACACATTTTGAGGTCTAAAATTACCTTCAATAGCAATTTTAGGTTCTAAAAGGGCACTAGAAATGTCATAGATAAGAATAAGAGCAATAACCTTGCACTTTGAAGGCATTTGCGGTCTGAAAACAGAACTCGACTATCCCTTTAACCATGCCCAAGGGTGAACCACACCTCTACCTCCTTAGGATTATGAATAATCATTTTAATACATCACAGATCTTATATTTCAACAGCATATTAAAAACGGCTGTAAATCTGCATATGTGGAATCTTTAAAGTTGGGAAAAATAGGACACTACTGTCTTGACCGACCCACAACTGCAAAATTAACCCATGTCTTTGTATCCTCCCACCTTGGTCAGGCCTTTAAAACAATTATTATTAAAGACCGGCAATATTGGACAGTTATGAATAATGATTTATAATAATAATAAGATGAATTTTCACCCGCCTAAACCCATTAGGAGGACAACATCACCAAAATTGCAATTTCACATAACACCAAATATACTGATGCAATATGATATACAAAAAGAATAGATGTAACAGTTAAATGCTTAGAGGAATTTGAATAAATTGGTTTATAACATAGCTTTGAAGGTGTGTAGGGATTGAGCATTATTGGCTTGAAACTCTCCGGCAACAGGACTTTTTCCAATGAGTTCCATGAAAGATGAGTTATGATAATAATGTTCATATTATTTTTATTCTTTGGAACCTACAAAACAAGCTATGCTTTCCAGTAGGTTCCTGTTTCATTTCATAATTTTGATCTTACTTTGTCAACTATATTCTTTATTGTGCAAACAATTGTTATATGAAAATCATCATGATCCAGAACCTAAAGCTTAGTCAGGTTAGTTTCAAAACTGAAATAACTGTTATATAGAAACCCGCTTCTCCCATATCAAAAGACAGATGGATACGCACTTTGTCGGCGTTGGTGTTATCGGGGTCTTCCACTGTATCAAAGATCACATTGTCCGAACTGCAGGCAATCTTGAAGCTGGTTACCCATTGGGACTCTTCCGAACGACCTTGCGTTGCCACTCCAGTGATGCGGTACGGTGTTAACAGATGAACCTTATAAATTTAGTTCATAATGGTTATAATAATGATATTAGAATGATAACAATAATGTTGATAATTAAAACGTGGTATTCTCATATTTCAAGATGGACTAGTCCTTCTAAAAGTGAAGCTCTGTTCAGGCTTGTTCAGATATGATGCGTTAAACCGTCGCTTTAAACATGAATCTGAATGACAGCTACACGTGTCACGGCGAGATGTATCTGCGCGAAATCATGTCTATGAGACACATCTCTCCTGGCGATATGAGTCCAGCAGACAGCCGATATCCGGTGATTTGTATCCATAAACACAGACCGCCACCCGGACACCCTCGTGCCACACGCACAACTATAAGGTCGTACGCGTAAAAGGGAGTTTACAGATAGCACGTGGTACAAATGACCTCAAATATCCACAGATCTTTTACACAATGGAGAAGTTCCAATTTGAGCATCTTAGAATAATAACTGCCAAAGTCCTAGATGTGCTTCATGAATACCTTTTGTTTGACCTCTTGAAAAGAATACTTCCACCTGCGTATCATAGAATGTACCGTTGGTGCATAAATGAATAATGTTACATATCTTTCATGAGCGTATATCCAGTATTCATCTCTGTGGGTTTTACTATTTTGGTACAAATGACCTTTATCTGCCCCTGCGCAGATTGTATCTGTAAACTCCCTTATTCACCAAACTCTGTGTTCTAGATACAGAAATGTGAAGCGTATCATACTTTACGTTATGATTTAAAAAAAAACGCTGCGTTTTGACAGCGTCATATTTGAACGAGGATCGATGCACTCAAGACTGAACAAATGAGACCGTCATTTTAGAGATAATTCTAGAATGCTCGATGAATTTATCAATTTAAAAAATATCGAATTTTGTTTTAATTTTTGATTTGTTATCAGAGACGGAAAACATGTTCGACTTGTTTCGAAGAATTTTTGTTTATCGCCTCGGGCGTGTTAGACTTTTCCAAAGGTATCTTGCGCGGGTAATTCTTACTAATGCCCTCACTGCTGTGTATTATTTGTATTGTACGGAGGAAGCTTTCAAAAAAACATGAACGAAATTCAGGAATCGAGACTTACCTGAATCCACTGATTGATATCAGCTTTTTTTGCGACCCAGCCTCCACTCCGTTTATGCTCTGCAGCTATGCGTAGCCGCCCCCTCCAAGGGTTAAATATACTGTTTTTCTGACTAGAAGCTGTAAAACTCGAATCTGGTATCGCCCTACCTTCCAGTCCGATAGGAACCTGCTCGGCATCTGTTCCTAAAGAATAACAATTGTTTTGAAATAGATGAATTAATTCTTGTAGAACAAAACTTAATGTTGAGAGCCAAAAGGGTGCTAAATATCTGTTGAATTTTATGAGTTAACACTTTTCTGGTTCACAACAGAAGCCTCGTTTCTTTTCTGTAGCTGATCAGATGTTGCTCATTAAATATTCAAGTATCCGTCTAAAAATGGGAACATGGCAGAATCTGCATGGAAAAGTTAAGAAATTACCAACGCGTATAAAATCAATGATATCAACTTTTATAGTGTTTTAGAATTTTTGTTTTGAACCCTGTTGGAGTAAACTTTGAATTGCAACTTTTCACTTCCAAAATGCGATATTTGGACGTAAAAATTTAGGAATAGTAAGACAATTTCAATAAATTTAAACGACTATATAAGCAATTTATTTTTGAAAACAAATTATAATACTTAAAATGTAAATGTTAATGCAATGTTTTCTCCTTCTTTTCTCTTCTTTTTTCTCTTCCTTTAAAAGAAATGTTTTTAAATGTATCGTTAAGTCATGTTCATGTTATATATTTGTTGAGTATCATTTCTAGCAAGCCATTTATGTGTTTTCGTGGTCCTCCCGTTTCAGATATTGCATTATACATGTTTGTATTGAAGAATATAATATTTTATTTTTATATTGACGTGGAAAAAAATAAATGAAAAGATCCTCTCACGTTTTCCAGAAATCTGAATAACATATTCAGAAATATTAAACGCCATGTACACTGTTGGTCATAAAGGTGGAATAATTATTTTCTACCCCAATTTATGGAATGATTTTGAGTTTTGACAATGATTTATTCCTAACAGTTTTATATAGTTAATATTATAAATTCTCAGATTTCATTTAATATTACTTTGCGAGTGTTTGTTTTACATGACTGCTAAAGCATGTGTGTGCTACTATGCTTATCAACTAGGGGACCTACGTCCTCAATTCATAACTGACAGTAATGAGGATTAATGCCTCGCAAAAGGGTACTAATATAGCACATCGACACGGTTTTTATCATGGGGCCTCACAGTTACGAGGCCATTGCATTGCCGCTGAATCGTGACTGTACGCAGCGTGGGTTAGGGTAGGGGGCAGCCCCCACTAATAAATAATAATTATAAAAATGCAATCAATTGTCAATAATTCATTGCATTTTTCCTTGGTCTCTAACAGGAAAAAATCCTCTGTGTGGCCATGCATTATGGTTCAAGGCATCATGGGGTAACAAAACATTATTCCACCTTTATGACCAACAGTGTAGTTGTTCAGTTATCTTTACTATGGGTGGCAGTGACGGGGCAGGGGCACGAAAAGACACCCCCCCCCCCCCTACAGCAACTGTAGCCTTTTGATTCAACCATCAACCTCATAGTCATTGTTTTCTTTCTGTGAATTTTCGGTTACGTGTCCAAGCATTTTCGGCTTCGTGCCAATCGAGCCAGAGGAAATTGGCGTTTGAACCGACTACAGCATATTAAACAAGTGGTGATATATGAAAGAGTCTTAACGGTGTTCAATCTGAGAATGAAGGTTCAGTTTGGGTTTGAACTCACCTGTTACACTGCCTTCTTGATACAGCTCCATACGCAGTGCAATAAAAGTATGCCAGGTGACAGGTATTAGACGGACATACCGGCAAAAAATAACCGCGGGCAAGGCGTTGAACACTACGGTGTTGCCGTCACTGTTGGCAGGAAATATCTTCGAAGAAAACACTAAAATCATTAGGTATAGGCATATTTATAGTTGAGACACCCTTTTCTGTATCTGTTTACCTCTTTTTTATTGTAAATAATCATATTAATACATCATTAATGGGCAATATTGAACAGTTAAATAATGATAATAATACAACTAATAAAAAGGGGAATTTGAACGCCCCTAAAACTATGTATCTAGGAACGTGTTCACACCGCAAGGGGGGACCGTGGGCGGATCGTGGATCGCGCTATCGTGGCGCGACCCACGGTCCGCCCATTGGCATCGCCGGATCCACACCGCAGTGAGATAGCGCGGTCTATCGTAGCACCCCCTTTTTTGAGAGGTCCTGTTGGCATGACGCGTGACGTCATGAGGTCAGAGCGGTCAAAGATTTCGCGCGCTATTACGAGTGGGAGTGTTGAGTTGTACCGATTCAGACTCAGATCGCACTAAAATAGAATGAGCTAGACCGCGCTATCTCTGCCGGTGTGAACCCGAGCTACGATAGCATGCCGGAAGTCATCGTTCTACACGCGGGGAATTTTATACTCATTCTATTTTGGTGCGATCTGAATCTGAATCGGTACAACTCAACACTCCGGGTTCGTAATAGCGCGCGAAATCTTTGACCGCTCTGACCTCATGACGTCACGCGTCATGGCAACAGGACCTCTCACAAAAGGGGGTGCTACGATAGACCGCGCTATCTCACTGCGGTGTGGATCTGGTGAAATGCAAATGGGGGTACCGTGGGTCGCGCTACGATAGCCCAGAGTCTCATGACTAAGTCCCATGGGCCATGGTGCTGTTGTCCTAGCAGCCTTTAGGTAAAGTATAAAACTTCTACTCATGTGAGAGCTACGATATAACAGCACTACAATTAAATAATATGAATTACAAAATAGAAGCATGAATGTGTTTAAAGTCCTTAGGGAGTTGAATAAGTGTGTTTCAAACATGGGTTATGAAGGTGTGTAGCGATGGAGCAATATATTGGCTTGAAACTCTCCGGCGGCAGGACTTTCTCCAATGAGTTCTATATGCAGGACTCCGTCGTTATTAATAGTGACTTAGCTTTAGTTTACTCACTAAAGGGGCGATGGAACGATTGGGCGCACGTACCGGTCTTGCTATTATACCTAGGTCAGAAATACACCGGGCCCCACACGAAATTTCCTTATGCCTGGATTACATTTGCCCCGGGCACCGTACGATAAATTAGTCTACGATTTTTCGTAGACATCGTAGGAGGCTACGGGGTACGATGTTTGTGTTTACATTATATACGAGCATCGTGCTATATATTGTGTTGGCCCTCGGGGGCAGGCCAGGGCAAATCCGTACAGAGTCTGCTCGGAGATTGTACGGAAATCGTGCAATTTGAATGCAGTAGCCGTGCAGTCTCCGCAGCCTCCGCATGGAAATCGTACGGAGCCCGTGCAGCTTCCGTGCAAAGATGACTGCTCAATATCACGGATACTACACGGGCAGCGAGCAGCAACCTTGCGATAGCTGTGCAATGGCCGTGCGAAGGACCCACGAGTCTACAATCTCTGTACGATTTTTTTGCCCCTATGTTCACCGAAAAATCGTACGTTTGCTGCACAATCAGTGCAAGGCCTCCGGGCGATGCCCGTGCGGGGATTGTGCAATGCCACCTACGACATCTATACGGGCTACGGGCTTACGATTTTTTCAAATTTGTTTAACTTCTCGCGAAACAAAATCGTAAAGGCTGCGAAGCCCGTGAATCCGTACGTAAATCTCACGGTCGCCTCCAGCCTCCGCACAAAGGCCGCACGGAAAAGGGGATACGGACAGGATACTGGCTCCGTAGACCAATCGCAGGCCAAATGTAATCCAGGCATTACCCGGCAGCTTGCCGTGGATTTAAGAGAACGCACGGGACTTTTACGATTTTCATTTCTACGGCATGTATGGTCACTTATTCTGCGGCGCCCGGGAAGTGCCCGATGAAATCGGTCGAGTAAAAATGCAAGGTGCCCGTAAGGCTGCCGGCCGGGTTCCGCCCAGGAAGCTTACGGGCTACGTCCGATGGACAAGTGCACCCCGTGGCTCCCGGCCGGGGTCGTCAAGGCGCCCGGCTAGGTGTCGTGCGGTGCACTGATCAAATATGTGTCCTTTGACATCCGCGACTCCGGTATTTAAAGTTGCGTTGTACATTGAGAATTGACAGCAAAAAAACGTAAGGGGCCCGTACGGAGCCTCACAGGCCCTTCATATTGCACCGTTTGTCTCATTTTTTCGCTCGCTGGAACATTGCCAGAACAAACCACTGACCTCTACCTCCTGGACGGATCATCGCCATTCCCATTCACTATACGTTACGTACTAAAGGCTGTAGTGTCTGACCGTTCATGAATATTCATGTTTTTGCTTACCTTGGCAAAATGTTTGCTTTTACTAAATGGGAAAATGACGGTGGGGGTGGATGAAATGGACATAATGAACCAAGCAGAAGGGATCTATGATAATTCATGCTTCTTATCCTTCGTGTGCTTGACCTATAATCTTAAAATCGCTTGGCAAACTGGGTCCAAAGTTCGACTTGTTTAACATGTGTATTATAGGCCATGACAAGCTTGCAACCTTTTTTGATCAAATTACGGTGGGTGAACTTTCAAAAGTCAATAGGACATGAGAGTTCCAATGAAAAAGCTAGTAATAACGTACGTCGGGGTGGATGTGCTTTTCGTTTAAACAAAAAATGAATTTTTAACGATTTTGGGGGGGGGTAAAATTCCATAGGCTAACATGTTAGGCTGCTGACTCTGACGATAGGGGGCGTTGTGAAATGAGACTAAACGGAGCTATATGTACGGGCTTTCTACAGACTAACATTAAGATGAAAACGCCGGGAGAATTGGGAGCAGCCAACTTACCACCACGGGGCCCGTAAGGCTGGTGAAAAATGTCTTTGCGCCGGTAGGAACTGTACGGGAGCCGGCCTGACGCCGAAAATTCCCCGAATTGCTGTCATTTACTCGCCGTACGGGCTCCGGAGTGTATATGTGAAAGCCCCATGAGAGAATGAAATGCAAATTTGAAAGGCTACCGATTCGGGTAGGTTGCGGGAGGTGGTCCACACTTTTTTAAGCGCGTCAATTTGCCCTCTTTAAAAGTAACGATAGTAAGACGTTGCACAGTGGGCCAGGGAGGAACCAAAGTGTGCCAAAACTAATTTCTGGGGATTTATTTTCTATAAATCCATAGGAAATGTTTGGATGTCTAGGGATTTCAGCTTAAATGTTATTACCAACATTTTCTCTGATATCTAAGTTTAAGTTGATACCAGATTTGGCTGCCCGATTGCGCCCGTTATTATGTTAGAGCCGTTTTCCTTGCAACATTGCCCCGAAAAATGTGTTTATTTTGGTCCGCGGTGTCAGAACAAGTGTCACGCGCCCCCAAGCGACGTGATTTATGACCGCGAATCCTTCATGATTCAGCCTCGGACTAAAAACAAACATATTTTTCGGGACAATGTGGCAAGGGGAATCGGCTCTAACATGACAACGGGCAAGATCGGGCAGCCAAATTTGGTATCAACTTAAAGGTACTATGTCCCTTTTGCAGCCAACCTCAAATGCTGTAGAACTTTGCAGGAATTATGAATATGTCATGTATGTCCTATCTGTGAAATTTAAACGTTAGCAGTGTCCTCATATTCAAATTATGCAAGGAAACCCATTTACTTGCTAGACTTCACTGTCAGACACTATTGAGTGACTGACTGGCTTTTTTCTTCTTTGGTAATAACATACATGAAAAGAGTTGTAAAGGGTACATGAGCATTTGTCTACATCAATACCCACTTCTTGTGATGGCCAAGATTAAACTGATTGAATCTTTGCGCAGCATAAAACGTATGACCATTCTGTACAATTGTCTGAAAATCAAGACTATTACTTTTGGGCTCTATAGCCCTAAAGTCGATTTGACAACTAATAGTCGTTATTTTCCCACTTGAAGACGTTTTCAAGCCCCACCTTTTTTAGGGAAGTTCTAAATTAATATTATCTTTCAAATGCAGTTGGAATTTAACTTTTTAATTTTTTTGGCCTGCAAATGGGACATAGTACCTTTAAAGCTTAGACATCAGACAAAATGGTGGTATTAAAATATAAGCGGAACTCTGCGGAAATCTTATCGTTTCCTCTGGATTTATAAAAAACATGGATAATTAGTCCATTTTTCAGTGAATTAACCTTTAATATATAATGAAGATTGTGTTTCTATACATATTAACCAATTCATGCAACGAAATGAACTATCAGGAATATGTGAGAGCAATTTCATATCAATAACTTAAGAACTTCATGTTAAATTGAAAGATTTATAAAATAAGTCACTTTTGCACTAAAATTGTGAATGTGTAGGATTTTGCTGTTTGAAGGAGTAAATTTGTACCCCAGTTGTGCTTACCGGAATTAAATTTTTCACTGAGGTATTCCTCAATGTATTACAGTTCAACTGGTCAAGAAGAGAATTGAAAAGAAAAAAAAATCACCAAAAATGAGTTTTGGCGCACTTTGGTTCCTCCCTGGCCCACCGTGCGTTGCCATGGTTACGCGGACGAGCGTTGAATCGGCTGTGCGTAAACGAAAACAGTACAAATGTGTACCGATTATGCCTAATAATAATCGATGGACGTGGGGAGGAAAAGCGCCTGCACATGCAGTGTAGCAAATTCTAGAAAAAAGAAATACCATACATGGAAAGCTTAGGTTTGGGCGGACATTTTGAGATTAACATTATTGCGGGAATCGGCCGGAATCCTAATAAACATTCTACTTTTATATAAAAATTGCAATTTTTTCCTTTTTTTGTGAAATTTAATGCTCATTTTTCCCAAAATGAAGTTTCAATAAATTTGGTCCTTGTATTTTCTAATTGGGTTACCAATAGGCAAGAAGTGCACGCAGTATCAAGTTGATTGCTTTTCCCTTCATAAATTCTCAACACCTATTGTAAAGTTGCCTCTTTTATCATTTTTGGAGCAACATATAGATTTTCCCATGTTCTCAGGGGAATATGACACTTTTAAAACTCGCTAAATATTTAAATATGGGTGGAAAAATATTCTTTAGAATGTTTTCTTCCCCAAGCGAATGAAAAAAATATAAAAATTCACATTCGCCGATTTTGAATTTTGGCATACTTTGAGGCGATTCTGGCCCACTGTGCGTTGGTGGAAATCAATGGGATAGGCTTGATGAATCTGAAAGGAATGCTGTTCGAACAATCATTTGATTATAAGGGTCGGAAATGAGTTCAATATCAAAAGACAGGTTGATACGTACTTTGTCAGCTTCGGGGTCGACGGCGTCTTTCACTGTATCAAAGATATTGTTGTCCGTACTGCAGGCAATCTTGAAGCTGGTTACCCATCGTTCTTCACCCAAACGACCTTGCGTTGCCACTCCGGTAATGCGGTACGGAGTTAACAGATCAACCTTATAGGTTTTGATAATGATATAAAATAATACAAGTTTCGATAATGATAACATGGTATTCTCAAATTTCCAGCTGGCTTAGTCCTTCTAAATGTGTATCTCTGTTCAGGCTAGTTCGGACATGACGCGGTAACCCGCTGCCCCCCCCCCCCCCAAAAAAAAATATATATATATGTGAATGGCAACTATGGCAACCACGATCCTCCTTGTATCCACCGAGCTCTGTGTTATAACATGAAATCATTTGAAGCGTACGTCATCTTTCATCAAAACCGCCGCCGTTTTGCAGCATCATATACCCGAATGACGCTTGATGATGACGGTGATCTTAACCTCAAATGTGTGTGAAATTACTAAGAATGAAGTATTTTTTTTATGAGAGTTCATTGAATGTATGGAATTCATTCAATGAGTGAGTTCAAGTACGGTATTATTCGGTGCTGGTATTGAGAGCGTGGAAAGGCTGCTGAACCGAACCCCAACACCGTCAGTTTACCTATCACGTTATCAATAGCTCAACTCAACACTAGTCTCAACACCGAGTTACGTCCTCCTAAAATGAATAGATAAAATATAATTTCTCTTGAAAAAGATATAAAGCTCCAATGATTTACAGCTGTTTTTTACTATTACCTTAGCCTTTTGACAAGGCCTCGTGACTCTGGCTAAGCGGCTGAGATGAGTCTAGATACCCAGGGTGAACGCGCGACCGCCACGAGAGCCTTTTGCAATGTAGATATTACTGCTCCGCATGAATTATTCATAGCATTGGATTTATTGACCAATTAGAACGGATCCCCCAGTCTTAGCCCGAACGTCAGTGTGTGTGTGTGTGTGTGTGAACTATGAACGTCAGTAGTTAACTTAGTAGGTCCATGTTTGTACTATACGTACAGTTTACTCCGTGTGTGTGTGTGTGTGTGTGGATACTATATGCTGACGTAATGCGAGGATACGTTTGGTGATTGGACGCTACTTCTTCTTCTTCTGGGATACTCCTCAACGTTTTACTATTTCGGTAGAGTATTCCAGTCGGAAACAAAGGTTAACATAAGAAATCAAAACCAGATTACCAAAGGCTAACTGGCTGTGATTCTCGCTCTGTCGTTCACTTGGGCTTTCGTGATTAGTCTCTTTTTAGTCGCTCGGCGTCTATCAGACAGGTGGCCTTGTTCAAAGGCTACTATTACCTAGGCATGATCGTGAGATTCGTGCAAGATTTCCGCATAGGTACCTAATACTGCAACACCAACACTAACACCAAACTTAAAATCAATTTCCCAATCCCTAAGGGCTGGTGTTGGCAAAAGGGAAGATTACACGTAAATCGTCAACACCAACCGCAATACTCGGTTTAGAAGACGCTATTCAACACCAGCCCTCAACCCCCCCCCCCCCCCCCCACTCAGTGTTATTTAGGGTACGCATATGCTCGTTCCCTCTTTTTGAAAGCACCTCCTATCAGAGGACTGCCGACATTTCTGAAACCCCTTTTCGCGGGCTTTTCCTGCCTTGGAGACCCCCCTAAATTAGGAAAAATTCTCAATGTACCCCCCTAATTCAGAAAAACTTCTCAGGAGTCCAAAGAGATGGGAGAATCAAAAGGAAAAACACCCCCTTTTTAAAGAAATCTCCGGGTGAAAAGTCAAATACACCCCTTTTTTTTTACAATTTCCGGGCCGGACTTTGTCGCACGAAAAGTACCCCTCTACCGGACCAACACGCATGCGGTCATTTCGACCCCTGAGTCGGGGGGGGGGGGCGGGCCCTCAACACAGACTACCGGAAATACGTCATATTTCCCGAGGTCGATCCCAACACCAGCCTGAAATCAAGTTCGGTGATATAGCTGGTGTTGGTGTTTCACAACACCACCACCAGATTTCTACACCGAACTTAAAATCACACAATGGCACACAGATTGAATATCAAAAGTTCAATTTGTATGGCATATAATCATATTCAATGCAATACAAATTAAAGCCCAATGATCGAGCTATTTTATATCAATCTCAACATCCATGGACCAAAATCTGTAAATCACCTTCGATAATCAGGATTGGGTTGGGTGATTTGAATGAGTAGGGAAGCTGATCCTCGATCCTTGATTGGTTAAATTTGAAATTCTCTAATGAAAAAAAAATCTTTCATTATGTAAGTCTAGGTCGATCCTTTACGATTTGATTGTTATGACGTTTAATGTTTGTCATAGGCTCAGCCTATAATGTGCATTAAGAATGAATAAAAGAGACCGATGTTTTAGAGATCAAATTAGAATGTTCGGTATTACTATCAATCTTAAAGATCGATCGTTATGTACGACAAAAATCGATGATTGAGAAAGGGATTATTTTTTAACTTGTTTAGAAGTTATTTTGTCTATATTACGGAGGAAGTCTTCAGACAAACAAGAAAGAAATTCCGGAATCGAGACTTACCTGAATCCACTGTTTTTTATTAGCTTTTCTGGCGACCCAGCCTCCACCCTGTTTTTCTACTGCAGCCATGTGTAGCCGCCCCCTCTGAGGACCCTCTGTCACGTCCCGCTGACTAGAAGCTGTAATACTCGAAGCTGATATCGCCCCACTTTCTAGTCCGATGGGGACCTGCACGACATTTGTTCCTAAAGAATAACCGTTGTTTTGAATTAGATTTACTCATTCGTGTAGGACAACTCTTAATGTTGGGAGCAAGAAGGGTGTTAAAGTTCATGAGTTTACGCCCTTCTGGTTCAAAACAGAAGCCCTGTTTATGCTCTTGATGTTGCTCATTATAAAAATAGTCAAGTGTCTGAAAAGGAGAACATGGCAGAAACTGTATGATGAATCAAGGAAATTACCAACGCATATCGCAATGATATCAATATTTTTCGTTTTAAACACTTTTGAAGTAAAACTTTGAGATGCAATGTTTAACTTAAAAAACGCGTCATTAGTGCACGCAAAAACTAAATGTTGTAATATTTTATCAATATTCGATTTCAAACACATATCTTGTGAAAATCCTTGAAGAAATGACACCCTCTTTCACAGTATAATACAATTTAAGTGACAGGTTGCCATCACATTTAGGGGCTCTACACACTTTAAGGTTTTTAAGGTTATCGTGCATCTACCGCACAGACGTTTTTGTAGTAACCGCATTCTTTTTAAATTAAGAAATACTTTTTTTTCGCGTCACCCCAATTCCAAATTTACTTACAGGAGATTCATTTTGCATCAAAAATGTGTATATACGTGCACCTCACTGCCAAATACACGAATACAAAATCATGATGTGTGGTCACCTCGATGCACAAATGTGAGGATATTCGGGCATCTCATTGTTCAGAATTATCCTGTTTCTGAATGTTGCAAGCAAGTGAAGCAAACAAGCACGATAAAAATGTAACGTCCATAGAAAATATACTAGTAATAGAAATTTGGGCACCTGCAAGGCCAATAGAAGGCTATTCGCGAAACTCGTTGCTGAAATATGTAGGTATTCAGGCATTTCGCTGCCTAAAATCAACATCTTTCTTAATGTTGAGCGTGAGCTAAGCGAGCGAGGGAGAAGAACACTTTACTATCTTTAAAATTCTATTTCCTCATGAAACAGGATGTACTCTAGCAGTATATAATATTTGGTTTTCACGAGATCGACTTTATTCCAAAATAATAAAATTAACAAAAAATATTTTTAAAATCTGGATTTACCGTTTCTAAGCGCTTTACAGATATTATTATTTATATCACTAAAATACTCTCGCGCCGTCCCGATTAAAAACACCGCTTACTTAATATTCTGGAAGCGAGATGCTCTGTTTTTATTTCAATGTTGGTGTTCTGGCAAAAGACGTTATTCCATCACGTTATTGACGAAATTGGGTCCTTCCGCGCATGGGACCAATTCAATTTAATTCAATTCAATTCAAATTCAATATAAATGAAGATTTATTTTCTTCCATTCAATTTTACAACATATTTTATGTTCAAACAATTCAAGTCATATGTAGGAACATAAATACTAATTAAAGAACTTGTATTACAAGGAAGAAGGCGCGAATCTCGATAAGCAAACATAATATACATTATAAATAGAAGAAAGGAAGAAAGAAAGAAAGGGATAGGCAAGGAGAAGAGGATAGAGAGCTTGGAGAAAGAGAAAAGAAGAGGACTGCAACATAATAGCAATGGAGTGTATGTCATGCATAAACAAAATTATGGCAAGATATAGGTGAAAGGGTATAATGTGGAAATATATATGCACATATATATACCTACACATATATATATATATTTCGTTACAAGTACATACTTTTATACAATATATACATATATATATACATATATAATCAGGCGCGGATCCAGCCGGCGGCAGGGAAGGGGGCCAAAGAGGGGGCCCAGCCAGTGAATAAGCGAGAGGGGGGGTGGGGTGGGGGTAGTGAGCACTAATTTTGTTTTCCCTCGAAAATCTAAAAATCGCACCCCCTCCCCTTGTTACACCCACAAATGTAATAACGCCTACAAATGTAATAACGCCTACAAATGTAATAACGCCCACAAATGTAATAACACCCACAAATGTAATAACACTTTACCCACAAATGTAATAATTTTGAATCACCCACAAATGTAATAACGACTTTACCCACAAATGTAATAAATTTGAAGTGATATTTTGTCGAATTTGTTCAAAACTAAAACCCTGTAATAAATCATGGGTAAAGTGCGCAGTCTCTACTCCAGACCCGGTTATTTCAAAAAATTAAAAAAATCTTCAAAACTAAGACCCCACAATCGAGCATAGTCTTTCTTCCAGACACGGTTATTCAAAAGTTTTTTTTTTTAATTTAAAAAAAACTAAACAAAACAAAGAAAAAAAACTTTTAAACAAAGACCCCACCATCTTCCAAATTAAGACCCGGTAATAAAGCATGGGATAAGAGCGTAGTCTTTACTTCAGGCTCGGTTATGTAAAAAAAAAAAAAAAATCTTCAAACTAAGACCTCACCATCTCATTCCTGTGGAATAACATGGGTACAGAGCGTAGTCTTTCCTCCAGACCCGGTTATTCCAAAAGAAATAGAAATTTAAACAAATCTTCGAAACTAAGACCCACCATTTTATTCCTCTTTTTTTTTCATTTAAAAATAAATTACATTATTACATATGTGGATACAACACGTCACAAATAAATGATTGGTCGGCGGTCACACGAACTGACGAATCAGTCAAAATGGTCCATATATATAACACAAAGAGGAGGGACCGATTCGATGGTTCGTTGACCGTCGACGATTATTTTAATAATGTAAATATTCTAACGCCCACAAATATCCTGGAATTCAATGTTCGTAGAAAAAAAGGAATCGAATAAGTGACCTTAAATGTATTTAAATATTGACGCTGATTGCTTTATGCATGTGATTATGAAATATGTTCACGATATGTAACATAATATATATATATATATATATACGCTATTAGTGACATTGAAACGTTGGATTGCGATGTTATATTTTCATGAGTGCCCCTTTTATTTTGACACGTCCCTATTTTCGTTCGTAATAAATGCTCATTTTCCTATTTATAAGTGCCCTTTCCCCTTCTCATAATTACCCCTTTTCATCTTTGATAATTGCCCCTTTTCACCTCTGATAATTACCCTTTAAACAAATATATGTGCCCCTTTTTCCTGTCTAATAAGGAACTTATCCCTTTTTCATAAATACCCCTTTTTATTTCTTATAAATGCCCGTATCAAAATTTGATGGGTGCCTCTTTTCCGTCGACAAATCCCCATTTCCCATTCTCATAAAATCCCTTTTCATCCCTGGTTCGTGCCTCTTTTTTTAGGTGTAAGAAGTACCCCATTTCTACCTCTCATAATTAGCCTTTGTACTTTGACTAGAGCTCCTTTTCTTTTCTAATAAGTGTCTTAACCATTTCGTAAGTGTCCCCTTTTCCTCTCATCATTAAACGTGCCTGTTTCGATGATCGAAACTTATTTCTTGTGGATTTGCTGATATTTACTTTTTTTCTTGTTTATTGAAAGATACCATAGGTTTTTCGGTTTACGGCCGTTTATAGGTGGATAATTTTAGCTTCGAAACGTGTCAGAAAACCCGAGGCCACAAGTTTCGACCGAAGCCAAGGCTTGGAATTTCAACCGTATGTGCAGATTTCGTCAAGCTAGAAGTTTGGCCGACTCTCATTATGTTTAAGAAAGTTTATAGTTCCTGCCAAAGAAGTAAGTGTGCTTTAATATTAGGTTTAATGACTTTATGAACAAATTACTAAAATGAAAATGTGAAACGAAAAATGAATTCTCGTGGTTTATGTTCATTTGCATTTAATTTGCATATTTCCTGTCGCTGTAGTAAGATATAAGAATGCGACAAGTTTCGTGGGAAAAATGAGATATGAAAACAAAATATAATCCTTATAATGGAAAAGGGTATGAAAGGAAATAACTATCGAGATAAGGTCAAGCTGTTTTCATTAATAATTCTTCAAGAATTTAATGTTACTTTCCTGTGTTTAAAAGGAAGTGCAATTTACATAGGTTTTGAGCATGAAACCAAAACTGAAGTTAGCACATCAATTTTTTGCATTGTTTACATCAATGAGTGTTTTTGTCAGGGGCTTATGTTTATGAAAGCTTATAAATCTGTACAACAATTATTAATGGAGAAATCAAGAAGGCATGAGTGTCTGAAATGAATCAAACTGGGCTAGGTTATTTTAACTTGGTTAGAGAAAAGTTATGCAAGAGTTGTGATGTGCATAATAACATTGCAAGTTGAATTTTGCTCAAGTTGAACTTGATATACATGGCTTGAGATTTATTTTCCAATACAAAAGGATTACTGGAGTAGTTTACACTTTAATATTTGCAAGGTAATTATTGCAGATATTTCATGAAGATAATTATGATTTAGACTACATGTATCTGATGACTAGTGGTCATGATGCAAGATAGGATACAACAGTTATTATTCAATAATGACACAGAGAGACATGTTTTGATGGTTCAGTCAAGTTTATTATTTATATAAGAAGTACAATTCAGAGCTTCATAGTCTACACAAATATTACTGAAGGTACATGTCTAATTTCCGGTTCAATTTGTTTGTTCTTTTTATGCAGATTGAATTATATATTCTTCAATATCTCTTGAACTGCGTTGTTCGACGACATTTGACTCACATCGTTGGTCATTTGATTAAAGTACAAATCAACGCCATAATACAATTTCGTGCAGAGAGTCGTCTTTTTGTCCTCAGCTAACCAGTGCCCCTTATTTCAAGTGACTAAGAGCAATTTCTCCCAAAGCTCGCTCGCTGCGCTCGGTTGTGGTTAAAGATGTTATAATTATGTAACTTATCAAAGGCCCTTTCAGCTTCCGTTATGAGAATGTGCTGATATCCCCATCAGAGTTGTTTTTTCCTCTTTATAAGATGTAATTTTTCGCACTGCGATCTCACAAATCTTACATTTTTTTCAGACCATCATACCCAACTGCAAAGCAGGATGCTTAAGCAATATCTTATATGATGTATAAAGAGAATCAAATATTGAAATCATTCCTGATAATGTAATCACAATATCGGGGTATATAGCGATGTCTAAACAAATTGTATATTTTCGCTTTGAGATATCCTTTGAAGGTGCCCTTTTTTGTTGGTGCCCTCCCACTTTGGAAGTCGCTCCGGCGCCTCTGCTTCAGATAATCTGGTACCGTACATATGTATATTTGAAACACGTTGGAATTGGCCGCAAAACTGCGAAGGTTCATGTGACTTTAGACATTTATACAATAATGAACATTGTTGATGTTTATTCATATCTTCAATACGAAACAACTTAAAGGGATACCTGAGTACTGCTTTCAGACCGCAAATGCCTTCAAAGTGCATGCGTATTGCTCATATTCTTATCTGTGACATTTATAGCGCCTTTTTGGGACCTAAAATTAATATGAAGGTAATTTAAGACCCCGAAATGTGTAAAAATGTAGCCAATACGATCATACCAATTCAGTTCCACTTTTAAAAAAATTCGGTGACCGTTAATTAATTAATTAATAATAACAATACATGGGCCGGCTGGTTGTGTGTAATATAAACAACACAAATGCAACAAAAAATCCAACATCGGCATTGGCTGAATTACAAAGTAAAAGGCGCTATTTCGGTTTTTCAACGGCTTTTTCAAAGTATTGAATATTTGTGGTGGTACACAAATATTGATTTTGATTGATTTTGATCAAATTTGACACTCAGTTTTTCATTATCTCACAACAAAAATTTTAGCGCCCTCTGCAACACAACTGAACTATCCCTTTAAGCGATGTTAACCAGGAATCACAGCTGGATCATGAGTGCCTAGTGTCAGAGAAACTGATATGGTACGTAAAACCTTATTTTGCAGTGCACAAAGCTTTTTTTAAGACTTGTTCGAAATGTGTTTGCCCATATAATATCACAATAGGATAGGGATGGGAGAATCAAAGAACAATATAAAATACGTAATATTTTTTTAGGTAAAAACATACTTAGGCGGTATATAACACCTGTGTTTTTAGATTTTTTTGCATTTATATGATTTTTCCTTGTTAATTTACTGTCTATGAAAATACCAGGAAACTGAGTGGAATCCACTCTGGGAAGAACGTTATTATTTTAATTTGATGTGTACAGATGTTTGATGTGTACAGACAGGCGCGTACGCAGGGGTGTTTAGGGGGTTAACCCCCCCCCCCCCCTTTTTTGTATTTTTATGTGTATAAACCCCCCCATGAAAAAACCCAAACCCCCCTTGGTTTTTTTTTTTTTTTTTTTTTTAATTAAAAAAAAAAAAAAAAAATATTCCCATGGCTGACCTAAAAAAGCTGACCTTACCCCCCCCCCCCCCCCAACGAAGCAACTTGTCAAATTTTCAAATTTCGAGACCAAAAAAAAAGAAAAAAAGTGTCCTCTAACCATAAGGTTTATTATCAAACATTAAATTATCTTAATATTTACTGGAAGTTACAACACTAAAGTGACTTGGGACTTGGGACTTGGGTGAACAATACTGTTATACTGTAGGTGTGTTGTATAAGGCACCATCCATAATTACTAGCAAATTTATCGAGGCGCTCGATGACCTTGTTCCACTCTATCGATGAAAAATAGAGCCATAATCTTAATTGGTGATTTCAATATAGATATTAAAAACATTTCTCAAATAACCAAGCAAAAAAAAAAGTAAATAGTTTATGTAGTAACCCTACTTTTTACTTACCACATTGCCCTCCAGTCCAACAGAGTGATAAAAGGACCAAAAGCAAAGTAATTGTGTCATGATCCATTGCTGAGGCGCCAAGAAAATCACTCGAAAATATAAAATAGTACACACTTAAATGAAGTAAAGAGGCGTAGAGACTACACTGTCTGTCCTACAAGTGTTTTGATCATCCATCTGAGGACCATTTATAATTCATTCAAGCTACCTGAAGTTGATATTATATCTATAAAAACCACGGTGCAATACGATCTAAACGGTCTAAACAATGTTATATTACACCCCCTGCCAGTCAATATCTGTATACTATTTAATACTAGTATATATCAGTTTGCTTTAATTAATTAATAAACTTTAATGATTTTCTATTCCACGTAAAACATGTAATAGGCGTAATAAAAATAAACATTGAAGGGCATCACTATCTAAGACGGAGTGAGAAAGAGAGAGAGAGAGCGAAAGAGAGAAAGAGAGAGAGAGATAAACCAACCACCAACATCACCACTAAGATCAACATATACCTATGTTAAGCTGAATTCTCAGAATAAGTTATCATTTCATGAAGAATAAAAAAGCATCTTTCGTGTTCTTTTATAAGTACCGTTTTCAGTCGGCGTTTATTTCTTCCTGGTTATTTCGTGTCCAAAAAATGTAATTGATGGCGCGTCATGTCGCCAAACTTTGTTAGATTAGTTAATAAAAATCATTGTTATCGGCCCTAATTTCTGCTGGTTACTTTGCTTCCATAAATGTGGCATTGAGCAAATTTAACTCGTTTGCATACACATAATGCATGATGGTTATCGTGTGTTAACATGAACCTTGTAACAAATAATTTGCATTCATTTGTTCTGTTTTATTTTAAGCACTTTCAGAGTATTTTGGTTATTACGTTCAATATGTTTATTGTAAATGCCATATCCTCCATATATGTGGATATGTAGCGCATCATATATGTCTATATTATCATCATAACTATCATTATTCTTTTTATATTATTACTATTATTATTACTATCATCGTTATCAACATCATTAATATCATACAAGCGACGTATCAAAATATATTTTTTTTAACAAACATGACATTTAGAGTCGTTCACTCGTTTGGACAATTACATACATCACTTATATTGTATCAATCCACCGATCAGTTGTTAACAATATAGCTTAACACAACTTTCATTTTCGGATTCACAATTATTTTATACTTTCAAATACAGATATCTATATTTTTACTAATTCAATTAAGACTGAGACGAGAAAGCAATCCACGTTGAACAAAGGGAGACGATTAAAGAACTCGGTCATCATGTCGATCTGCATTCTTTTGATAAACTCGCCTTCAGCTACTTTACACCGAGAGTTGCAACAAACAGAGTTGACAAAAGACTTAACTCCGTTTCGTTGACAATCAGCCATGCATGAAGTCTTATGTCTTGTTGCTACGGCAGGCACCCAGTGAAAACGAATTCGTTTGATAAAATTATAGAAATGCAAGCACTTCTTTAAACAAAGAGAACTTTGTCATTCCTTGCTCATTTTTCCTGATTAAGGTGTTATTTGAAAGGGCAGAAACTCAACTTTTTAGAAATGTGATTTTTTTTTCTTTGAAATTCAGATACCGTCCGCCAAATGACGTTTTGGTTTCCTCTCTTCAAATTCATTTTAATCACTCATGCGTGGAATGTGTATTATATGAGTTGCATCAAATGAAAAGGAGGATCTAAGCTTTCTAAATATGTATCATTTATTAATTATAAATGTGATTAAGTTATGATAGAACATCGATACTTCTCGGTTTCGATTTTTTCTGGGAAGCACTGTTTATTTTTGTATATGCTTATATTTGTATTTATACTTACACTTCTTCATTTTTTCTTAAGCATTAATTTCTATGAATTTTCATTTACATGTAAGAAAATATTCAAATCGTATATGCGGTACAACGGGTCAATCAGTAATAATCAGTACTAATTGCTTTGATGTTAAACTGAATAAACAACAAAAAGTCTCTGCCAATTTGGAGTCCCTCACTTCTAAAGCATGATAGAAGCGTGACAATGATTAAGAATCTACACTACCAAGGGTGTACATTTGTATCCGTGGTTGGGGGGATGATAGGTGCGTAAAATATTGTCGGCAATGGGTCAAAGCAACCAAGAGGTAAAAGCGTGTGGCAGGTTGCACCCCCTCCCCAAGCGCGTAGCCAGGATTTCATTTTAGGGGGCGGTAGTGAGCACGTAAAACGTGCGAATCACTAACAGCTACTTACAGACCTAGGGGGTTCGGTGCAGGGAGAGGGAGAGTTTCCCCCCTCCCCCACGAAGCGCGGAAGCTTTGACGTTTCATTAAGTTATTAGAGAAAAAAGACGATTCGTTGGACCGTTCTCGACTCTTAATCCATGTTTGAATCAAGATCCCCTTTCTCCGCGCGTAGCGCGGAAGCTCTGACGTTCCATTAGATTACTAAAGAAAGAAGACAATTCGATGTCCATCCTCGACTCTTAATCCTTAAAGTTTGAATCAAGTTTTTCCCCCCCCCCTCCTCCGCGCGTAGCGCGGAAGCTCTGACGTTTCATTAGATTATTAAAGAAAGAAGACGATTCGATGTACCATTCTCGACTCTTAATCCTTGTCTAAATTCAGTCCCCCCCCCCCCCCTTTCCGCGCGAAGCGCGGAAGCTTTGACGTTTCAATAAATTATTACTCTTAGTCCTTAGTCCGTTTCATTAAATTATTAGAGAAGGAAGACGATTCGTTGTATCGTGTCCTTGTCTGAATTAAGTCTCCCCCCTCCCGCGCGAAGCGCGGAAGCTTTGGCGTTTCATTTGATTGATTCTTAATCCACGTCTGAAATCATCTTCGCCCATCCCGCGCGTAGCGCGAAAGCTTTCACGTTTCATTAAATTGTTAGGAAAAGAAGAGGATTCGTTGTATCGTTTACTTTGAAGTTTCATTTAATTGTAACTCTTAATCCTTGACTGAATTCGGTTGCCCCCCCCCCCCTCCCGCGCTTAAGCTTTGCCGTTTCACTAAATTATTAGAGAAAGAAGACAATTCGTTTTACTGCTCTCTATATTCATCCTTGTCTGAATTCAGTTTCCCCACATGATGTACGTATGGAACGTTCGTTCGCAAATCTTTGCATGCACAGCCCGAGTGGTGGGTAGCATGTTATCTCCCGGCAGTGCTCGTCGCAATAGCTTCTGGAAAGGAATTGTATATTACTATTTATAAATCACTTGTATGAAATTGAAAATAAGTCATGGTTGGATTTTATGGGAGGGCTAGCGCCCCAAGCCCCTCCCCACCAGTACGCCAGGGACGTAGGCCTACATTGGATTTTCAATGAAACAAAAATAAGTTGTGACATAATAATCTTTCTCCAAAAATGAAAATGTTTTTAGGAAATATCAGGAAATAAAATGAGTGAAAAAAACACAAATAGAGATACAATGACGTGAATTTTAAAAAGGGTGAACGGAAACAACATTACAACTAGTGAACTATCTTATAAGTCACACTAATGTCCGAAAATCTTTCTCCTTGTCTCCGATCTCATCACGAATTCGTCACAGAGTTCATCTACGTTTACACTGTCCAGGATTGTCTGATATGCATTGCAGATTGCTACTTTTGCGCTTCGCGCTTTACATTTAGCTCGTTGCTTTTTAACGCTGCGTCTTTGCATATGGCGCACTGCATTTCAATGATGCTGTTGATTGAACAAATTGAATAAATTCATTAATTCCTGATGAAGCCGTATGAGTGAGAATTCAATTTATTCTTGTCTCATATACGGTTGTCTCATTTACTTCGTTTATATGTATGTTGGTCATCATATTGATGGTCATCTTGCGAGTAATAACCATTAACTTTTTCTCTTATTTTTTTTTTAGGGTGATTTATTGGGGGGGGGATGATTGTACAGGCCATCCCCCCCCCCCACCTGAAATATTGGGGGGGGATATATCCCCCCATCCCCCCCCCCCCCCCCGGTATCGACACCCATGACCACTGCTTATCGGGTCGTAATGATAATACAGACACGCAGATGTACACGAAATACAAAACGTTTGGGGCACAATAAAAAAGGGATAGTCGTATAATATTTCCTGGTATCTCCCGAAGGATTAGGCAGTCATTAATATAATTATTACCCAAAGGTACGGATACCCTGCTATCGCGCCGAACGATAGTCTGCTCATGCAGACTCGGAATGTCCCAGATGTTTAATGGGTTCAATACGTATTGGGGTCAATGTTGACCCCAATTTGTGTACACATATTTAATGGCGAAACTTGGAAGAGTGAAAAAATATCATGAGATTATTGCCCGCTTGAAACTGCTAGTTTGCGAACCAGGCTATATAAGCCTTTTAATTGCAAGTTTAAATTACCTCGTATAGCTAATAATGACAAATGAGCAATGTATCTGTAAGAGATAGTGAGCCATTCCTTTCACAAAACTGTTTATGAATACAACTACTATCAATATAGTGGATTTAATACTGATCATAATCCGTCAAGCGCTCTACCGTATCAACTAGAGATCAGAGAGTCTCCGATAAAACAATTCAGCTTCTATGCGTTTGATTTTAAGACTTAAGACACTTTCTCCATGCCATTCCAAGCCCGTGTAAACTGCATTCCTCCATTTCTTCCCCTGGTATTTCAGATATTAACAAAAGAATAACCTGTTAACAAACATTCCAAGGATTAATATTATGAGTCTATTTAATTTACAGATTAAAACGGGGATGAAAGTTCGTCTTTTTCATTTTTACTTCTTAATTTAATTTGTCTTTCTTTCTTGGTCATTGATGATGTTGATAATTACTTATATACGTACGTGACACGAAGTTGTGTACAATTGTATTAATGTTTCAAATTAGGGCACCATTTACCATATATTTGAGATCTTGAAGTAATATTCGGTGTGATTAACAACACAAAAACTGGAATTTGTATTCGAAAAGAGCTACTTCGAGTCAAATATTGTGTAACTCCTACACACAGCCGAACACTCTTAATTATCCTCAACTTATGCAGATCCAACGAACCATATTGATTTGGGAATTTAGTAAAGAAAAGAAAGGCAAGTTTTGGACGAAATGGGCAAATAAGGCCGTCTTTAGACAAGTGTTGTCATTAAGGTTTACTGCACAGTGATAAGTGTTTACCTCTGACTTAGAGGTTCACCAAGGCAAACGTCCCTTTTCAGGAGGAATAGTAGTAAATAAAGGCAGGGCGAATAACAATCTAGAAATTAGAGACATGTACAAAGTATGATAACCATGTTGTGGAGTAGTAGAAAAGGGCTAGGTGCGATCGATGCTCTATAAACTTATCTTCTGCAGGTGGATTTCATATGAAATAGAAAGGTTTGAACCTATAGAGCTTGGTGAATAATTAGGGCAACGTCATCATGGAGTCGTGTTGTGGGAAATTCGTTTTTGTTGCATGGGTTGCAGCAGCTTTGATGCTTCCTGTGGTCTTCTGCCAGACAGATGCACCAACTGTTGCTCAGAGCATTTCACCGAGGACCCAAACACCGAGTGAGTAAAATGAGAAGGCCTGAAATGAATGTAGTATAAAAGGCTGTTGGTTTCGAGTAATTTAAGTATTTGGGTTTGCCGAATAATAAATCACATAACGATTAAATAGGATACTAATATATTTTTACGATGATTAATCAGATGACTTCTTTAGAGTAAAAAAAGTGATAAATTACATTCGTTATGTGGTTACTTTAGGAGGCGCGATAGCTCAGTCGGTAGAGCAGTGTTCTCGTAATCTGGTGACCCGGGTTCGAAACCAAATCGATGTGCAGGTGCCCTTTGGTATAAAAAAAGATATTAATCCTCATTACCAGGTCCCTCGGAGAGGACCTAAAGCCGTCGGCCGTTTGATTGCTTACTTACAAGCATTTATGCTTTCTTAGCAGTCAGGTAATATAGATTGATTGATTGATTTTATTCGTCAAGTATAGTACAATGAATGCATACATAAAGCAAAATGAAAAGAGAAGATACATTGACAGGATAACCCATGAAAGCCAGAAAAGGCTTATTTCCAACGGGGTCCTATAAAGTACGTGTACAGTACGGCATGAGAATAAAATATCACAACTAATAACCACCACCATTCACCACCATTCACCACCATTCACCATTCAGCACCATTCACTGTAGAAGGTTTAATATCCTTTTTTTAATCGGTACAATGATAGCTTTATTGTTATCCTCATCTAATCATATGACAACAAGGTAATATTAGATTATAAAATCATATAATATTATCATCAAAACACAACAGTAGCATTTAATAGTATGAATTAAAAACAAAAATAATGAAATACCCCGAGGCCATTATCAAAAATATACATGTTTAGCGTCCCCGCCCGCTTCCTTTTTTGGGGGCCGCCTGTTGAGGTCTTAAAGTGTAACATGGTCTTAAAGTGTAACACGACTCCCTAGCTCCTGAAAAATAGTCCTTGCGTTGTGCATGCGTACGTGGAGCTCGCAGACGCACTATGTACTTTGAAACCTAGCTAGCTAGCAGATCACACACAGCTGCATTACTATCCTGGCCAGTGTATTAAAAACTCTTTTTAGGCCTACGTTTGTCAAGAGACGAGGACCCTTTTCTCTTTCTATATAATTCCTTTTTTTTTTATAATGACTTGTCTTCGTTTTTCACACTCAGGCAAATTTACAGGACCTATATATCTTAGGATCTGTGTTTTTCCTACTTTTTCCTTGCTTGTCAGCACCTCGCATCCTTACTAAAGTCATTCCCTGGGCCCTGCTTATTATTCCTACATTTATCTATAATTTCTTTTTGACGCAAACCAATTCTCTTCCATCCCCTTCGTCTTCGTATCAATTTTATACCTTATATAGCAAACATTTCGTTATATCACTGCTCTGCACAGCACTTGAAACACCGTCCTTTGCCATTTGCATTTTGTTTCATTCTTTCTACCTAATATTCTTCTCTTCTGTTTGCTGTACGTTTGCATTATCAAGTACTCCCAAATGTATGCATTTTGCTTGAACATCTACTTAATTGTCAGCGCTCACAAGGCATTAACATTTGTTTATCTTGGAGCACTGGCCAGTTCTGTTTAAAATATATTCATATTTCTTTATGTTTTAATGTATACTGAAGTTTTTTTGTATTCAGAACTGAAAATGAATAAAATAAATAAAATAAAAAGAATTGAATACATGGTATTAATGTAACTCTTCCTCGTTTCCCTTCTTCTGTCGTCTTCCTTTCATTCATATTATTTCTTTTCCTTTCAATTCGTTTTTTCTTTAATAAAACATTTCATGTTTCTTTTTTTCGTAGTTCGTTTTTCCCATATTCTTTATTTCTTCCATTAATTTTTTTTCTTCATAATTATGTGTCTTCGTTTTTATTTAATTCTTTTTACTTACTTTCTATTCTTCCTTTTCTTTTCTATCTCATTTTCCCTCCTATATTGGCAACGTTTTGTGTATGGGATAAACAAAAAATACCTACTCATGGAAGATGTGCTCTTTCCTATCGGTTTTTATTCCCCTCTTTTTTAAGATGTTGAATTATTGCTGCCAACTAGCTAGTTAGCCCAATTTAAGCCTCGGTCACAAATGCCATTACGAACTGCTACGAACGCCGTACGAACGATTTTCAGACAATGGAAATTCGGGAAGACAATGGAAAAACAGGGAGATTCGTACGAAATTATCGTTCGTACGAACCTTTGAGAGCGAGCATATTACACATACAATCATGTACAGCTAGCTAGCTACAGATGTGCGTACGCGCCGCGCGCACGCAGCGACTATTTTTTCAGGAGCTAGGGGGTCGTGTTACACTTTAAGACCATGTTACACTTTAAGACCTCAACAGCCGCCTCCTATTTTTTTTTTTTTTTTTTTTTTTTTTTAAACATGAACACTCTGCTTTTTTTTAAAACATGAACACTCTGCTAAAATGGATCTATTTCTGATTTTTTTTTTTTTTAAATGTCAGCGGCCATCTTGAAAAATGACCCGACTGTCAGGGAAAATGTACCGAGCGGCCATTTTGAAAGAAAAGAAAGAAAAAAAGGGCCTCCTCCTTCCTATTTTTCAAAAAAACAGGACGCTAAACTTGTTTTTCTTTTTATTTGGCCTAACAGAAATTCATAGGTTTTTAAAAAGAAAAATAACACTTTCCACGAATATTCTGCTCATGAGCAAGTGAACAACATGAATATATATGAGGTTTGTGATAATGTTATAAACCATTTATAAGTAATGAATTTCTAATTGTGGTTTATATTCGTTAAAGGTCAGAGTAACACGGAGATATACCAATGGGTTGTCGGGATCGTCTCTGTCCTCATCGCATTCACTCTCATCACTATCATCGGTCTTCTCTTCAGACTCTTCTTCCATTACGTACAGGAAAGAAGGTTAAAAAGGTGATCCGGTAACTATGACATCGTCATCATATCATCAGATTAACACAGTGATAGAGAGAAATAGAGAAAGAGAGGGAGAGAGGGATGAGGAGAAGGAAAAGAGAAAGAGGGAAAGTAGGCTCTGTAAAAACGGGATATCCACATACAGTGATAAAGAAAAAGAAGAAGAAGAAAAGAAGAAAAAGATGGAGAAGAAGAGGTGTAGAGATCATTACAAGTGCTTAATTCACATTTCTCTCTCTCTCTCTAGGTTTGGTTATCTTCGATCAAAAGTTAGAAGAGGAAGACGCCGAGATCGCTCTCAACGCGCATACGTGATCGCAACCAAACGACCACCACCTGTCCCTACCCTCTCCCAACGCGTACATGTCGACGAGTACGGACATCCCGTGGTCGATGATTACGGATATATACCCCCTCCACCTCCCCATTCTCCTCCCGCTCCGCCGATTAATTATCAGTCTGGTGTGGTCCATAATTCTAGCCGGTCGTTTGTCCCTATCGTAGATTCGTACCCCGAGCCTCTTTCTGATGGTTTGCTCATGGCTTTTCCGCAACCGTGAGTTTCTCTGCCTTCTTTCTCATTATTTATCTATATATGTTATTGATTCTGTTTACTTATTTAATACGTATTTATTTACAGATCTTTATTTCACCGCTGTAATTACGGAATTGAATTAATATCATTACAAAAAATATGCTACTGCAGACAGAAAGCTGACCAGGTGAATATACAGCTAGACCAGAGCACATCTCCATTTTTTGTATAGAAAATAACTTTTGTCATATTACTCTACACTTTTTCATAATCCTGTTTCATTATTATTTTTCCTTCATTCTTTAGTTACCAAGAGCAGCAAATTCCGTCACAGCTGACCAATCAGGGGCAAGATACGCACGTGACCCGTCCATCACGCCTCCAGCATGGCCCCTCCCATCCGCCAACTATACCAGAGGAAGACCCAATACCAAACCTCACAAACCAAGATGCGTTACCACAGCAACAAGGAAAGGAACATCGATCATCAACATCTAAGCAAGAAGAGGATCTCCCACGGGACCACGATCATCGTCGATCTATCAGCGCCGCGTCTGTTGAAGATTACGGTGGATGGCGCCGCTCTGCTCATGACGACGAATTCATCTTCGGTAGACGAGATTCGAGTCGACGATCAGGCTCTCGATCTCATCGTCATCATTCAGGGAATCGTCGAGATCGAAACGATCGGGATCCTATTTATCAGTCGTTATCGCCATCCGTGGTCGAACAGGCAGTCGTGAGAAACCCCATGCATACGCATAATAGAAGGTTTTAGCTATCGTTTTGTTCACACTCGCTATTTCGTTTACATGAATAATATGCAGAGGGTATGTTTGCATGCTGGTTTGTGAAGGCAATTACAGGATGAAAATAATGCTAGTATACGAAATCATCAATGAATTGTATAATGAATGATATATATTAGTCAAATATAATTACACCTGTACATACACATTTTTTTGATAAGGAATGAGAAATGTAAAATATATATATATATATATATTTTCGTGTGTAGATAGTAACATCCAAAATAAAAAGAGCGGGACCCATATCAACAACTTTTTTTGTCTTTTTTTCTTTACCATATCGACAACCTTGATAAAGTTCTTGATAATGATAACATTGATCCTGAAGATTCATTAGTACAAAATAATCGACGACCCCTATAGCAGTTATCGCATACTTAGGCTGACTTTATTGTACAAATACGGATAATATTCTGGGTTTATAATAGCGCTGCCCACATCGAAGATGTCCCCAAGCATCTTCCGTATATACTAATACCCCGTTAATCGTATTCAGGCTTGACGGCATACAATGCATGCGCATTCTCCACTCCGAGGGGGGAGCATCTAGACAGGAGCCACTGTACAGACGCTCACACTGCTGAGCCAACTACAATGTTATCGCATCCTTTCGGGTAGCCCCTTATTTACATCCGGGTGGAGAGACATAATGTAAACCTATATCAAATGTCTTCCTTAAGGACTTAAGGTCAAGCATTTAAACCACTCGACTACTACACGTCTGTAATCGTAATCACAAGTTGTATCAAGTCATTGATATGGGACCAGTCCTTTAATCAGGTCATCTAGACAAATAACAAACTGGTAAAACACACATTTGAATTCCTTGCGAAGAAAAATTCACGTTATATGAATATCTTCATGAGCCTTAGATCTGGTCTCATCATGAAAAAATATACGATACCGTTCTAAAAATCAACATTTTCTGTATCATATTACTCTTGACTTCATTCACCTAGTATGCTATACTTTCTCTCCGTCAAGCACGAGTCAATAAGAGGTTGATCATTAATAATGATCGTACATTGTAGGTTATGTTATATTTTACCCACAAAATGGTCATTTTGTGGCACATCTATGATTTCCGGGGGGGGGGATTTCTAAAAACAATATCTGTATTATAATTATTTAAATTTGTCTGTACTCTATTAAAATTTAAATCCTACCATGTTTACGGTGCGATTTTAACAAAAGAAGATGGACCTACAAGATGACCGAGTTCTTAGGTTTACCTTCGTCCAACATGATTTAATTACTCGCATTAGGCTTGAATTTTTGAATGAGTAGAATACAGGCCTAACACATGAATGTGTATGAAAGTATAGCAGAAATTCTTTATGGGTGCTCGATTAGCCCCTACATCTGAGAATGAAAATTATATCATATTGTTATCAACTGGTATTTGGATTAACTAAAAATATAGTTAATAAATGTCCAAACATGACTGTGAACTCTTATTTTCGTTTACTTTAACAAAATTATCCGATACATCGCCTATATGATAATGTACGCTGTTTTTTTTTTTTTTTACATCCACTACCAACTGATTAAACTGTGACGCCAATATACCCAGGTGAGGTAAATGGGTACCTGGTAGGATTACTCCTTACGGCTGGAGCTAAAGCAAGGGTTATAATTTGCAAAGCTCTTATACAAAAACGGATTATTATTATTATTATCATTATTATTCTGACATTTTATACATTTATTTATACGTTTTTCAACTTTACCTTCGAACATTCAATATTTGTTAATGTAAGTACTCCGGTTTGGGTATTATCATTTTGGTAAATAATCATTAGATTACTGTTACTGTACGATAACAGCCATGTACTATGTATATCCTAACGAATCTTGCTCAATGACACAAAATTGAATAATATTTTATGGAATCAAAGTAACCAGTAGACATAAAGGCCAATAACAATGATTTGTATTAACAATTCTAACATGGTTTGGCACCATTATTCAATTATCAAAGTTGAGTGGGCTATGCAGCCATTCACTATATTTTCATTTCATATGTACTTTGTTACGTTTTGTTTGTATTGTCTTTATATTGTATGTGGGAGGTGAATACATTATGATGCCGCACCCTCGAATAAAGCAAAATAAACAGGAAAAATAAGTGCCGAATGAAAACGTTACTTATCATGAATGACAAATACAAATAAAGACGGCATAGTATCTTCTTTATATACAACAAATGATAATTATTTTTCATGAAGTTTTGACATGTAAGTTTTTAGTGGTGATGTGGGTGGTGGTGATGGAGGGGTGGGGGCATGTTGATAATGGTGAAGGTGGGGTGCATGTAGAAATGGTGATTTTAGTGATGATGATTGCAGTGATGATTATGTAATGATAGTGGCGACTTTGGTGGTAATGATAGTGGTGACGATGGTGGTGGTGGTGGTGATAATGGTGATGAAGATGGTGGCGATGGTGGTGGTGATGGTGGTGGTGATAGTGGTGATGATGGTGGTGGCGATGGTGGTGGTGGTGGTGATAATGGTGATGATGATGGAGGGGATGGTGGTAGCGATGAAAGTGGCGATGGTGATGGTGGTGGTGATAATGGTGATGATGGTGGTTACGATGGTGGTGGAAAAAGTGTTGGTGATAGTGGTGACGATGGTGGTGGTGATGATGGTGCTGATGGTGGCAGCGATGGTGTTGGTGATAGTGGTGAAGACGGTGGTGGTGATAGTGGTGGCGATTTTGATGGTGATGGTGGTGGTGATAGTGCTGCTGCTGATGGTTGCGATGGTGATGGCTATGGTGGTGGTGGTGGGAGTGGTGATAGTGGTGACGATGGTGGTAATGATGGTGGGGGCGATAGAGGTCTGACCTAAGACCCGCATCTGCCAGACAGGTCCTTACTGTAGATGAGTTGAGTTGAGTTAAGTTGAGGTTTTATTATCCAAACGTTCAAATCCATAACAATAATAACAATAATTAATGTATGTTTAACACATATCTCGAATGAATAAAAGGGACAAGAAAATGCTAATCATGTCTGGAACCTTTGAAATACAGTATCTTCACATTTAACAATTAGTGTGTGTGTATATATATTTATATATATATATATATATATATATATATATATATATATATATATATATGAATAATCGAATACAGGTATAACTTAAAGAGAAGGTTGAGTTCTGAGAAGAGGTGAAAAATAATTTGTGAACTTTATCTTTCTTATTATGCAAGTGTGGAAGAACATAAGATAAGACATGTTCCCTGAAAAGCATGGCTCTTCAAATGCCTCCATATTCTAATTATGTCATGTTCATCGTAAAACTCGGGGGTATGTTTTTTACGCCACGTGTTCGTGTAGTCCCATATACATCTTTCTGTGTACAGTGTTTGTAACTTTACCAAGACTTGGCCAAATTTCTTATCATTTTGATGATTCCAGAACTTTGCAATACACACAAATTCTTATATGCTAGATGATCAACCTTTTCTGGTCGATTCCACACCGTTTCTTTCACAATGCAATCGCATGACCAGAACTCAACTTCATACAATTTAATTCTATGTATCTAACATAATACATGTTTGTGTGTTAAGTACAAAGCCTATACTTGTATAAATAGACATTCCGTATAAGATAATATAGTAAAGTATCATAACATAGAGTACATGTTTATTGTCTAAAGCTAAATGCTTGGCTAAAAGGGGACCATAGTTATTCTATTAACATTTGTGCAGTTAAAGTACTACGAAAACAATAAACTGAAGCTTTTTTCCCGTAGAGATAAAGGTAAATCATTCCAGAAGCATACGCCTGTGTATGACACAGAAAAAGAACCTTGTGCTGTCCTTACTTTAGGCTTACTGAGCTTTTTATTTTCTCTTTGTATTGTCTCATATTTGTGCTCTACGAAAGAGCAGTACTAAATAAGGGACTGTGGCAATCAATAATTGATGCATAAAAACAAAAATAGATAGTTTATGTAGTTGATACACATTCAATAATTTTAACTCATGGAATATTGGTTTTGAATGTGCCCGAAAGAAACAAAATGTTAAAGATTTGATTGCCATCTTTTGGCTTAGGAATAAACATTTCATATTAATTAAATAATTGCTTCCCCAAACCTCAATTCTCTATGTAATATGTGTTTGAATTAATGTTTTATACAATAACAATAAAATATTTTTAGATACAAACTGTCTTAATCTATATAAAACACCAACCTTTTTTTTCTGATACACTTATTTTAATACTCTTTCGATATTAGACTTTCAAGTCAAGTGTTGATCTATATTGATTCCTACGAATGATGCAACGTCTCTCTGTCTCTGTCTCTCTCTTTCTCTCATTCCCACTCTCCCTTAGATACAGACGCCCTTCAATTTTATTGAGTTATTTTTATTATGCCTATATTACGTGATACTGAAGATAACACATATACATGTATATGATAAAATACGAAGTGCAGGTAGACTGTTTCAACTCGCGGAACATTTCAAGTACATTAGAATTTATATTAGGATATATCGCAAGGTAAATATTAACCGCTATCATCAAATGTGAAGAGCTGTACAGATGATATTTAATTATTGCCGGAGTGAGGCTGATTAATCAACTCTATCCGGACGCAGTTTGCCAAATAAGTTGTAGAATAACATGCCTGCGGAGATACTACGCATTTTGAGTTTCCGCTTACAGGTTCCTCATGTTATGCTGCTTTTCGCTGTTTTAAACAATGTCTACATTCGTTACAGATGTGGGATCACGCAATAACATTAGTAGCTGCTTTGGACATATTGGATGATAGTAATACACGGAAAGATAAGATAACATGTAGGTGAAACTGAGTGCTGTTCAGTTCTGCGCATTTAATTTCAGAGAACCAGATTGACACAAATCCAATTCACCGGGAATGTTCAAATAGTGACACTTTACTGTGCTTACTGTAAGATCTAATGTGTTGTTTAGTGGTATTATCAAATTCAAACAACTTTAATAAACTATCCGAGCTGCTCAAATATCAACTATTTAGAGCATAATTTATGCTCCCGATTGCTCGAGGTGTACACCATTTGATTTTGCGAGTGATTGTCAGTCAAGCCGCAGCAATGGTCCGAGCCGAAACTCCTTGGATTTTGATCCTTCTATCTGTCTGTTGGACTGAAGGGCAATCTGGTAAGTATTATGTGCTTTAAATGTTATATCAAACGTACAAACGTAAACAGGTACATTAAAGATGAAGTTGAGTTCTGGTCATGAGATTGCATTGTGAAAGAAACGGTCTGGAATCGACCAGAAAAGGTTGATCATTTAGCATATAAGAATTTGTGTGTATTGCAAGGTTCTGGAATCATCAAAATGATAAGAAATTTGGCCAAGTCTTGGTAAAGTTACAAACACTGTACACAGAAAGATGTATATGGGACTACACAAACACGTCGCGTAAAAATCCTACCCTGGAGTTTTACGATGTTACATGACATATTTAGAATATGAAGGCATTTGAAGAGCCATGCTTTTCAAGGAACATGTCTTATCTGATGTTCTTCCACACTTGCATAATAAGAATGATAACGCTCACAAATTATTTTTCACCTCTTTCCAGAACTCAACCTTCTCTTTAACATCACTGTTATAGTTACCTCCCGATGCTTAGTTACACAAAAAGTCTCTCCGGTTTTACTTGGATATTAACACACTCACACAATTGAGAAACAGGAAATATTTAAATGTTGCAATATAATTATGTCAGCTCCTAAAATCATATTCCCGTATACAAATATTTCCGGTGAAGATAAAGGGGAAACGGCCAGCTAGACTTTCTTCTTACAATTTCCCTTTCTCTGTTATGTTCTAATTGTTTGCCAAACATTCGATTGGGTGGGGCGGCATGTTCACCACTAATTGTTATTATCCTTAACGTCATCATCATTATCATACAATTTAAGAAATATTTTGCCATCAAATATTTGGTGAAAATGGGGCTCCCAACACTTTACAAGGGCTTTAATGGACAGTATTGCATTTCCACTTTTTGGGAGTAATAATAGAGAGATTGTTTCGTGTATAGTATCAACTCCAATTTCTACCATAATAACCGAACCAACGACAATCCCAATGAGAATGCCAGATCCAGCAACATCTAAAACCACTGCTGGTAAACCATAGACCTTTTCTTTGTTGTTGCTGGTGTAATGTGTATGTTTTTGCTTATAGTAATTATTTTGCGAGTAGAAACTCGAAGACGACATGACGTCAATGGTATAGTAAAACAAAACAACTAAATTAAAGCACAGACAAATAATGTTTTGTTACTATTGACAGTAGGCCTAAACTGTGTATGATAAAGATAGAAGTCAAAGATAAACGTTTTATAAAAGTGTCAAATTAATTACCGCCTATATAAAGATAGATGAATTAACTACATTTCATATATATATATATATATATATATATATATACATGGTGCACTAATGACGCATTTTGGAAGTAAAACATTGCAATTCAAAGTTTTACTTCCACAATGTTCAAAACAAAAAATCAGAAACTGTCGAAAATTTGATATCCTTGCTATATGCGTTGGCAATTTCCTTGATTCTTCCATGTACAGTTTCTGCCATGTTCCCTTTTTCAGATACTTGACTATTTTAATAATGAGCAACTCTCAGGAACAGCAACAGGGCTTCTGTTTTGAACCAGAAGGGCGTAAACTCATGAACTTTAACACCCTTCTTGCTCCCAACATTAAGAGTTGTCCTACACGAATGAGTAAATCTAATTCAAAACAACGGTTATTCTTTAGGAACAGATGTCGTGCAGATCCCCATCGGACTAGAAAGTGGGGCGATAGCAGCTTCGAGTCTTACAGCTTCTAGTCAGTGGGCCGAGACGTATGGTCCTGAGAGGGGGCGGCTAAACATAGATGTAGTAAAAGCACAGGGTGGAGGCTGGGTCGCCAAAAAAGCTAATACAAAACAATGGATTCAGGTAAGTCTCGATTCCGGAATTTCTTTCTTGTTTGTCTGAATACTGCATTCGTAATATAAACAAAATAACTTCTAAACAAGCTGGAAAATAATCCATTTCTCGATCATCGACTTTTGTCTGGCAAAACGATCGATCTTTTTAGATTAATAGTTCTATCGAACCTTCTAATTTGATCTCTAAAAGATCGGTCTCTTTTATTCAGTCTGAAGTGCACACCATAGGCTGAGCCTATGGCAAACATTAAACGTCGTAACGATCAAACCGTAAAGGGTCGACCTAGACTTGATTCATAAAAGATTTGTTTTTTATTGGAGAATTCGGAATTTAACCAATCAAGGATCGAGGATCAGCTTCCTCACTCATTCAAACCCACCTACCAACTTCTGAGTGGAAAATGGAAATGTCGAAGGTGATTTACAGATTTTAGTCCATGGATGTTGAGATTGATATAAAATAGCTTAATTATTGGATAAGATGCGAGGTTTGATTTATATTGAATTGAATATCATTATATGCCATACAAATCGAACTTTTGAGATCCAATCTGTGTGGCATTGAACGATTTTAAGTTCGGTGTTGGTGGTGTTGTGAAACACCAACACGAGCCACAACACCGAACTGGAATTCAGGCTGGTGTTGGGATCGACCTCGGGAAATATGACGTATTTCTGGTAGTCTGTGTTGAGGTTTGGTGTTGTTTTTGACGATTTACGTGTAATTGTCCCATCCACCAACACCGGCCCCTATAGAGATCGGGAAAGTCTATGTATATTATTATCATATCCTACTTTGTTTTATATATCTTTCTGTATTGTATTGTAAATATGTTGGGCTCTCATACCCCTGAATGGGGTCGATAGAGTCAAATAAAATCTTATCCAATCTTATCTTATCTAATAAAATCTTATCTAATCTTATATTATCTAAATATTGTTATGATTTCATATCATTATAAAAATCTAAGGTTGATCTGTTAACTCCGTACCACATCACCGGAGTGGCAACGCAAGGTCAGTCGGGTGAGCCCCAATGGGTAACCAGCTTCAAGATTGCCTGCAGTATGGACGACGAGATCTTTGATACAGTGAAAGACCCCGATTACCCTAAATCCGACAAAGTACGTATCAATCTGTCTTTTGATATTGAACTCATTTCCGACCCTTATAATCAAATGATTGTTCGAACAGCATTCATTTCAGATTCATCAAGCCTATCCCATTGTTTTACACGAACTTCTCACTATCATTATTTTATGAAAGGGGATATTAACGCGCAAAGAAAAGGTGTGGAACACCTTCCGCACCCCACCCGAATCGGTAACTTGTCAAATTCGCATTTGAAAATTGGGCTTTCACATTCACACCCCGGGGCCCGTACGGCGAGTAAAAACGAACGTTTTTTTAATTTTCGGCTGGCTCCCGGTCGGCCGGCTCCCGTACAGTTCCTAGTGGCGCCAGGACATTCTTCACCAGCCTTACGGGCAGGCGCGCCGGAAGCAGTTTGGGATTGGGGGGGCAAACATTCCAGGGGGCTCACCTTCCAGGGGCAGTGACGTAACGAGCAAAAACGTTTGGAAGGGGGGGGCAGAAGAAAAATCTGCATCACCATCACTCTTACACGTTACATTCAGGGCAGGCCCCGCGGAACGTTTTTCAAAGTGGATTATTAACAATCAGGTAGAGCATAAAATGGCGTGGGGTCCAGGGCCTGGGCCCCGGTAGGGGGTCAAGGGGCTGAGCCCCCAGAAGTTTAGGGGTTTTAGGCATTAAAATTATGGTCAGATAAGCATATTTAGATACCTTATTTGTGACACTGGCAGGCCACTAATTGGCGGAGAGTCCAGGGAGCAGAGCCCCCGGAAGTTCGGGGTTTTAGGTATTTAATAACGGTCAGATGAGCATACAGGGGACCGCCTTAGGGCCCTTGGTGGGGTCTGGGGGAGGAGCCCCCGTAAGCTCTGGGGTTTTAGACATATAATTACGGTCAGATGGGCATCCAGGGCCCCGCCTTAGGGCCCTTGGTGGGGTCCAGGGGGCAGAGCCCCCGGAAGCTCAGGAGTTTTAGGTTTTTAATAACAGTCAGATGAGCATACAGTGGACCGCCTTAGGGCCCTCGGTGGGTCCGGGGCAGGGCCCCGTAAGCTCTGGGGTTTTAGGCATTTAATTACGGTCATATGAGCATCCAGGGCCCCGCCTTAGGGCCCTTGGTGGGATTCCAGGGGGCAGAACCCCCGGAAGCTCGGGGGTTTTAGGTATTTAATTACGGTCAGATGAGCATACAGGGGACCGCCCTAGGGCCCTTGGTGGGGTCTGGGGGCGGAGCCCCCGTAGCTCTGGGGTTTTAGGCATTTAATTACGGTCAGATGAGCATATTTTGATACCTCATTTGTGACATTGGCAGGTCAATTATTTTTTCTCTCTCTCTTTCTTTCTTTTTCTCTGTAACAAACTTTTTCAACAATTGAGGGTGGCACGAGTCCCCGAGCCCGGCCGTTCTGCAGACCCTAACATAAATGCTTCTAAATATGCATATTTTTTGCCCGACTGTAAATTTGGGAAATTCTAATTTTCCAACAAACGCATAAAAAGGTATGACTTACAAACAAAATGAGAAAATATACCGGAAAATCATGTCATTTCAGTAACATTTGTAAATCACTGGTATCGAATAAAAAAAATACCCCACCCCCCATCAGTACGCCAGCGTTCAGGGGCTCATAAGCTTCTCACCCCTATAACAAAAAACAGACACGCTTTCCCATTCTCTCGCAATATGTCCACGATATGCGCGTATCGCTATTATAAAAACCTCCATAGGTAGCATGCGCAATGTTTAGGAAATTTAATTCCTGTTAACTTTCCTTTTCTTTGAATGGAATTTCATACGTCATTTAATTCAGGTTTTTATTATTGTTATGTTCTTTTGGGTTAAAAATACAAACCATCTTTACTCCTTTACTGCTTTTTTTTTTTTTGAGGGGGGGGGGGCGTTTTGGGGGGGCAAAAATGCGTTTTGCCCCCCCCCCCCCCACTTTTTTGATTGGGGGGGCAGCTGCCCCCCCTGCCCCCCCACTTCCGGCGCCTATGCTTACGGGCGCCATGTTGCTGAGTTGGCTGCTTCCAATTCTCCCGGCGTTTTCATCTGACCGTAACGCCTACGCGCCCGTAATCGAGAAATACTTGCGACGGCCGCAGAGAATCTGCGGTGGCCTCAGGTATCTCTCGATTTTGGGGGTGAACGGCCGCCGTATCATAGTACTAGTAGTAGAGCAAATGTGACCTAGGCAATTGTCACTGTTAATAACGATTGAGTCCTGCATATATGTAACTCATTGGAGAAAGTCCTGTCGCCTGTCAAAACAAACTCATTCAAAACCCTCTAAGGACTTTTTAAAATATCCATGCTTATATTTTGTAATTTATATTATTTAATAGTGGTGTTATTGTCGTAAGTCTCAATTTGGTAGAAGTTCCATAATTTACTTACAGGGAATTGGTAACATTGTTCAGATGAAAGAAAATGGTGCTAAGGTAATGATTTCAATGCTAGATGTACAATTAAAGATAATAGTGAAAACAGACCATTGTTCATGATAGAAATTGGAGGAAAAAATTATCTGATCGATTCCTTAATTCTCCCAACAATATTATTCCAATTTAATCACATTCTAGGTGAATTTAAATCGTCACAAAGCACTGAATTGGCTCTATATACCATTCCAGATATTCCAGTGTTGAAAGATTTTTAAAAGCCTGTCTTAAGTCTTATTTTCATGGGAAAATGGTTGGAAAAATTCCAAAATGGTTGGGAGAATTTACTGTTAGAGGGTGTCGCACAGTGACACCTCCAAAGAAAACCTTTAATATCTCTGTGGTTTTACATATTTTTTAGAATTTGTTTGCATGTAAGAGGGTTAGTACAGTAGAAATAATATAATAAGCAAAATTTCATACAAAAATGACCCATTTTTTTCAGCATTGAACCTTCAACAATTATATAATTGTTCAATATTGCCCATGAATGATGTATAAGTTTGATTATTTACAATCAAATTTAGGTAAATATATACAGCCGAAAAAAAATGAAAAGGTTAAATTCCAACGGTCTTTGAAAGATAATACTAATTTAGAACTTCCCTAAAGAAAAGGGGGGCTTGAAAATGTCTTTAAGTGGGAAAATAACGACTATTAGTTGTCAAAACCACTTAAGAGCTATAGAGCCAGTAAGTAATAGGCTGATTTTCAGACCATTGTACCGAATGGTCGTACGTTTCATGCTGCACAAAGATTCAATCAGTGTAATGTTGGCCATTACAAGAAGTGGGTTATTGATGTAGACAAATGCTCATGTACCCTTTACAGCTCATTTTATGTATGTTATTACCAAAGAAGGAAAAAAGCCAGTCATTCAATCAATAGTATCTGACAGTGAAGTCTAGCAAGTAAACGGGTTTCCTTGTATAATTTGAATATTAGGACACTGCTAACGTTTACATTTCACAGAGATGACATACATGACATATTCATAATTCCTGCAAATTTCTACATAATTTGATATTGGCTGCAAAAGGGACATAGTATCTTTAAGCCTATCTCATTAATTAGCGGCAATGATTTACACTAACATCTCAACTGTAACTTTTGTATGATTCTGTCATAAACGGGAGAAGCGGTTCTTTTAAATATATACCAGTTAAGGTAGACTATTTCAGGTTTGAAACTATAAGCTTTAGGTTCTGGATCATGATTATTTTTTCGCGATAAATTATATGTGTCGATTCCTAGTAGAGCGTGCTTACAAAGCCGAAATTAGTCTATTTAACTTTGGGTTTCGTCTTTCCATTGTGTAAACTATCCGCTTCTAGCAATCAATCTACATCCCTACTTCCCATAAACATACCGATAAGTTGTAACATAACATACAAGTTTCGTCGTGATACCGTGGAAACGTGTAGTATCCCTGCTGGAAAGAACACACTCATTCACACTCATTCACAGTGTGAATCACACTGTGTTTCACACTGTGAATCACAGTGTTCTCCACAATGTTAAATTGGGACGTTTTCACATTGTGGTCGATTCGTTTCACACTGTGGTTCACAGTGTGGATAATCGGAAAAGGAAAGAACACACTCGTTCACACTCATTCACAGTGGGAATCACAGTGTGCTCCACAATTTTAAATTGGGGCGTTCTAACATTGTGGTCGATTAGTTTCGCACTGTGGTTCACAGTGTGGATAACCGGAAAAGGAAAGAACACACTCATTCACACTCATTCACACTCATTCACAGTGTGAATCACACTGTGTTTTACACTGTGTTCACAGTGTGAATTGTGATTGAGTGTGAATGAGTGTGTTCTTTCCAGCAGGGATAGTATAGATAGTACAGTGCGGCGCGATTACTGAGCCGAAATTAGTCTATTAAACCTGGGGACTTCGTTCTTTCATGGAACTCATTGGAGAAAGTCCTCTTACCAGAGAGTTTCAAGCCAATAATCTCCATCCCTACACACCTTCAAATCTATGTTATAAATCAACGTATTCGAATCCCTGTAAGCATTTAACTTTGTTATATCTTTTCTTCTATTCTGTATACAATAATATTGCCTCAGTATTTGATACAAATAATACACGTCAGTGAGGGCATTAGTAAGAATTACCCACACAAGGTACCATTGGAACAGTCTAACACGCCCGAGGCGGTAGCCGAGGGTGTTTGAACTGTTATGAAGGTACCGAATGTGGGTAATTTCATGAATGTCCGAACAAAATTATGTGTATTATTTGTTTTATAAGATTATGTTTTACTTGTTTTTATTTGTTATTTGAAAAATAAATGCCTGGTTACGTGTACGCTTTCAACCAATCGTTTAATTAGGATCCACGTCATCATCTCAAAAAATATAGGGTGCGTTTATCGGGTCCTGCCACTAGATATGTACATATCGAACCCCACTATCGAACCGCACTATACGAATATGATTTTCGGGATGTCGCGTTTATCGTTTCTTCACTATTCAAAATAAAGGCCTTGTCTCTGCGCCGCTGCTTTGCGCCGTTTGACCCGGGAAGCAGAGAGTTGCTCGGAGGTCAACTAGGGCATAGCACATTGTGCGCACTATTTCGCTGAACCGGATATTAGCCGGGGAAGGTCCGATTTGTATGTGGGGTTCAAAACAGCTTTGCGTTTATCATGTCTCAGAATCGTGATTCTCGCTGTATGTTACATTAAAAACACGCCTTTTTGCGTCTTTAGATATGCTTATATCTAAAGACGCTTAAAAAAGAGGTTTTGCGTTTATCACCTTCAAAATTTGCCTGAAAGACGTTTGAGAAACCTTATTCTAGGCAAAAATTTGGTCAACAAACGCACCCATAGATATAGTGACTGCTGTGAGAGGAATAGTTGTTTTATAGGCTCAAGGTGATGAGGCATCCTGATATCATCCCGAGGCGTGTCGAGGGGTGATATCAAGATGCAACATCCCCGAGAGCCTATAAAATAACTATTCCTCGAATATTAATGCAGTCATTATACATTTTATATACCGAAAAGGGTCATAGCATACATGTGTGACTTACCAATCATGGTAATCAAGTTTCTTTACGCTATCGAGACCTAGTCTTAATAGGTTGTCTGATCGCGCACCACTCGAGTTTGTGTGCTAAAATCCTTCCCATTGAGATTGCACGTATGCAGTCTACGTGCATCGCGCTATCATGCAACATTTGTTTAAAAAATTATTTTTAAATCAAAATGCTAACCTTTATTGCTTGCGATTCTGAAGTTGATACTCAAAAAATGAGGTGTCATATGAAAGAGCAGGTTTATTTCCATATTTCGAAAGGGGTGTCATCTCGTCATCACATGTAGATCTAGGCCTACAATCGAGATCGGCAGTCGTCTGCGCTGTGTGCAAATGTAGCAACCAAATTAGTCAATAACTGTACGGTATCTGCGCTCGCTCAAAGAACATTTTAACATGTAAACCAATGGGTTTCACAGCAAAATTTTACTGTTTGCAAGGTAACCGAAATTTTGAGGAATCTCACTTTTGGACTATTAACCGGCTTTGGCATTTTTCGTTTCTTTACGGGAATTGCTACAATCACGACTCCAATCAGATGGCTGGATTTCTTAAGTGAGGTATATAATATGTGTTACATATAAGTATCACCGTCATGATCAAAAGCACTAAAGGTTTGCATCTAGATTTGGAATTAATTTTAGTTTTCTCAATGGGAAACTATTATTATAAATCATTATACATAACTGTCCAATATTGCCGATCTATGATGTATTAATATGATTATTCACATTAATAAGGAGGTAGATACATGCAGAAGAGGGTGGTTCAACAATAGATAGGCCTACTTAATGATATTTTGTGTTTTCTTCTAAGATATTTCCTGCCAATAGTGACCGCAACACCGTAGTGTTCAACCCCTTGCCGGCAATTTTATGCCGCTATGTCCGTCTAATACCTGTCGCCTGGTCTGGGTTCATTGGATTGCGTATGGAGCTGTATCGAGAAGGGACTGTAGCAGGTGAGTTCAGACCCTGATATAATTATGTGAGTGAGGGTTTAGAGGAAATGGTTCCAACAGGGTGCTTAGCATATTGTGAAGTGGTTCGATACGGAACCATACTAGGTCTTCCGGGGACCATTTTAGTTATTCAACCTGGTATACATTTCCGAAGATTTCAATTTTTTGTCCATTAAAGCCAACAAAAGAGATGTTGTATTGCTCTTAAGGTGCCAAAACATGGGTCGAACGGCCGGAAATCTTTTTTCTTTTTTCTTCTTTTTTTTCTCCTTCTTTGGGCCGATATTTCTCAGTTTTGAATGCTTTAATACATTTTTTTTTCTAAAAAAACGGTAAAAAAACATTGTTGGTCGGTCGCAAAGGGCAATACAACATATTTTTTTTTTTAGGCCTTATGCTTCATACATTTTTCGTCTATTTCATAAGATTCTTGTTTTGGGCTGTCATATGTTTTATGGTGATGCTTCAGCACGTCTGACATAGCAACTCCTATGTTGGTGTTGTATGCTCTATTGTAAACAGGTGGTCAGCTCTGGTGAAGCTATAAACCACTGTCTCTTGTTAGCTCACTAATGAATGACAAATGATGTCACAAGATGAATCGATCTGGAGCATTTTTATTGGGGGTGGAGCTTAGCAGGTCTGAGAAATAATTTCTAATAAAATATTTAAAATTCTATGAAATATAATTATCTAAATGTTTTAATAACATGACAAAATATGAGTTGTGTGTAGCCCTGCACTTCACCAGGAATGAACTTATACAGTGCGTCCCAGAAAAAACGAAACCGAGAAGTATCGATGTGATGTTACTCAGATAATGCATATTTCACGAATGCGTGATTAAAAGCAATTTGAAGGAAGGAAACCAAAAAGACATTTGGCGGGCGGTATCTGAATTTCGAAGGAAAATTCACATATCTAGAAAGTTGAGTTTCTGCCCTTTCATATGACACCTCAATCAGGAAAAATGAGCGAGGAATGACAAAGTTCTGTTTGTTTAAAGTAGTGCTTGCATTTCCATAATTTGATTAAACGAATTCGTTTTCACTGGCTGCCTGCCGTATCAATAAACGAAATTAACAAAAGACTTAACTCCGTTTCGTTGACAATCAGCCGTAGACGAGAGTCTTCATGCATGGCTGATTGCCAACGAAACGGAGTTAAGTCTTTTGTCAAATCTGCTTTTTGCTATGCCGGGGTGATATAGGAGCGCCTTGATCACCTTTCGTGGTGGATATATGCATTATAAAAATATCCAATAATATCATTCTTATTTATAAAACGAGCGCAAAGAAAAATCAGTCATTTAGTTATATCACTTTCATAAAGATACAATCAAATGAAATAAAATTCATACAACATGTAATGAAGATACAAAGTGATAAATATTATCAGCAATGTATTTGAAAAGAGTTAAATTTTACAATGTGTGTAAAATGAAAAAGGAGAAGAAAAAAAAAGCACATGATGGTTCTTGAGGACAAAGTTGCTACTGAGAGTACAAATTCAGTTGAAGTCATTTTCTATGTTTAACGTTTCTTGTATAAACGTAAGACCAGTGGTATAGTGTTCCAAATGTTCAATAAAGTATTTCTATTAGATTTACATTTTGCTTGGTAGGACGAGCCATAATGTTTGTCCTAACTAGTAACAATAACTCTATACAATTCGCATTCTGCCTATTGACTTATCGCCATCCCTCTCTCTTTCTCTCTCTCTCTATCTCTCTCTTTCTCTCACACTCTCTCTCTAAGATACCGACGCCCTTCAAAGAGTTAATTTGTATAATGCCTACGTGGTATTGAAAATAATAGAATTTCATTACGATATATGATATATCATATTATTACATATTCTATATATAGAAAGGCCGAAGTGCTGGTACATCGTTTTAAACTGACGGAACATTTAAGTAGGCCTACATTAGATTTTATAATAGAAGATATCGCAAGGTAAATAGTACCTCTCATCATTGAGTGTGACGAGCTATGCAACAGTGTGCTTCAAAGTATAGTGTTTGAGATTAACTTAAAGTAGCCACACGAAGAAATCAAAAGTGTTTTGAATTGATGCAAAACTCATATCATTGCGAAGGGGAAGCCTTGCCCATCAAATACAACAACTCTTCTCTTCAAAATATGTTTGGGACCCGCAGTAATCAACTCTCAAAAATGTAAGTTTTGAGATCCAGATTTTCTGCCTTCACTGGTCCTTTGTAGAGCGTCAATATTTGTGACGTCACATACTGGACACGGCTGGCTAGCTGCATACTGCTACACGGCACTGAGCTGTTTGTCCAGTGTGTGGCGTCACTATTCAGAGCTCGCTACGCTTGTGTGTTTGACTTACGTTAAAAGGGCGTTCGGGGGCCTAAGGAGGGTCTTGACAAATTGCATTTTACGCATTTCCATGATATCTATATGATTTCTCAGCAAATTGTTCGTGTTTTTCAAGAGAAAATCTTTCCATCCATATGTAATTTGTTCTAATTATGAGTTGTTAGTGAATTTCCTTTGTGTAGCTCCTTTAACTATTCACAAATTGAATCATCATAAGGTATTGAAGGTATCATTCTGGAAGGTACATAGCAAAATGTCTTTCATAAATAGAGCAACCCCACCTCCTCTACTAGATGTATAAATGTGTAACCATGTAATTCACAAAGATAGCTGGTTGATCAGAAATTCTTGGTTCTGATATCAATGACGGATCCAGGGGGTGGGCTGCCCCCCCCCCACGGCGGTGGGGTGGGTGCGATTTTTCAAATAATCGAGGGCCAAAAAAAAATAGTGATCACATTGGTGTGTACGAAGGCGGATGTGCGTTTTTTAAAATATGCATATGTGTGTTAATTATCATGAATATTTCATACCAATGTCCAATTCACTATTCGATTTTATCTCCCCTTATATTTAAGTTCCATATTGTTATCAGCAATATATGGGGTGTTGTCCATAGGGTAGTATTCTTAGGTGTTTGTCTAGAGGGTGTTCATCTTTGGTGAGAATTGTCTTGAGGGTAGTTATATTTAATATTTTTTTCAAGCGGGCACTGGGCATGTACAGTGTAAGTATAATTATGTCAAATGGCCTACACTTCATGCGTTGTCATATTTCACTAAGTGACACAAGATATTCGAATTTGGCCGGTGAATCAGTCGTTGGGCTTTTCCGGGAAAAAGCTGAAGCAAATTGCTCATCAGAATCAAACACATGTTACGTAATAGCAAGCTCTTTTGAAATATTACTCTGTATTTTTCTCGAGACACACCTGCATGCCAGGAAGATCCTACAGGAGTGAACTACAGAGGGAACTTATCTCAGACAATCAACAATCATACTTGTCAAGAATGGACCTCTTAGGATCCCCATCAACACGATAGGACTCCAGCTAACTATCCTAACGCGGGACTAGACGACAACTATTGCAGAAACCCGGATGATTCTGAGACTGCTTGGTGTTACACCACCGATCCTGGGATAAGATGGGAGGTTTGTGCTGTAGGTTTCCTTGACCCCAGGTGCCAAGGTAACGATGCATTTTGGTGTTTAGAAAATGGGCTTTATAATACTTTGTTCCGGGAAAAAGCTGAAGCAAATTGTTCAACGGAATCAAACACATGTTACGTAATAGCAAGCTCTTTTGAAATATTACTATGTATTTTTCTCGAGACACAGTTGCATGCCAGGAAGATCCTACAGGAGTGAACTACAGAGGGAACTTATCTCAGACAATCAACAATCATACTTGTCAAGAATGGACCTCTCAGGAACCCCATACACACGATTATACTCCATCTGACTTTCCTAACGCGGGACTAGACGACAACTATTGCAGGAACCCATCTAATGGTGACACTGCTTGGTGTTATACCACCAATCCTGGGATAAGATGGGAGTATTGTGATGTTGACTTCCTTGACCCCAGATGCCAAGGTAGCGTTGTACTGTTTAGAATGTGAGCAAAGCGCTGCTCAAAATTAATTGATATCAAGATGCAATGATGCATTCATATCAAATTATTTTACATTGACAGGAAGAAAGGAAACGATTGATGCTATGTTGTGTTTCTTGTAAAGCATTTTTTTTTAAATCCCACTGCACGTTTGAACTGCTTCCTAAAAGGGTTCAAGCGCGTATTGTTATGTCATTTGCTTTGATATGATGCTTCTCCCCGTTCGTTTTTAACCAATAATATTTAGTCTTTTTTTTCTTTGATAGAATAACCTGTCAGCTTTAGTAACATTGACCGTGCCACATTTAAAGTGTGTGTACCGTATCTAGCTAATTGTTTCATTTTCATTTTTTCGAGAGCTGCAATCCTAACGTTTCAAATATGTAACATTTGAACCATTTTTTCGGTAGCTTATCCTTCGTGAATGGGCTTTTGGGAACCATGCTGGGAGCCAATGATAGGTGTTGCTCCTTCTGTCTGTTGGAATTTAGTGGTTGTCCATGATGAGTATTTTATTCAAACGTACATTACACTTTTCGATTTTCCCCTCCCATTCTTTATTCATATTTTCATTCCTTGTTATTCATAATAACTGCTTGTAATCATTGTTTTCAACAGAATCAACTCCTATTCCTACTACTATGACCGTACACACGACAAACCCAAAGACGGCGATATCTGTACAATCGGATCCAGTCACATCTGAAACCACTGCTGGTAAACAATGATTTTGTCTTTGTTGATGGAGCACTTTTTACATTTGATTTCAGCTGATTAGGAGAATAAAGATCGACAGAAGTGAGACAGGTAGGGGAGTAGAGTGGGAAAGAGAGAGAGAGAGAGAGAGAGAGAAAAGGAGGAAAGTAGGGGCTCAGAGGCAGGCGCGGATCCAGGATTTCTTAGGGGAGGGGGCCCAACTTTTTTCTTTTTTGCTCCCGAAAATGAGCACTATTTTTATTTTTTTATTTCTTTTTGGCTCCGAGTTCACAAATGGCACTTGTCAACTGCGGTATATTGGACATTAATTTGCCTGTGTTACGACCGAGGTGTATCATTAATACTACTGCTACGATGACTATGACGAAGACGACTACTACTATTACTAGTACTACTACGACTAATAATAATAAGAATTTACAATAAAAATCTACTTCCGCTACTAATCTACTCCTTCTGCTAGTACTAGGCCTACTACTAATGTTACGATTTGTTTTCTTATTTTAAAAACATCTTCTTTCGAGGTACTTTATTTGTTCATATCATAAAATAACAACAATTTTTTTTAAACAGAATCATGCAATCGTTACATTTCACATATAGTACAGAACATGAATCTAATGTTACATTGTCACTATTAATACTTCATTTGTATTGAATTTCTTCCATTACATTTCATATCGAGATAGGTGTGAATTTTCTAATTCTGTTTTCAAATATACAGCATTTATCCTGTGCGTTTCTATTCCGAAACGTTTTCTTATATAGTTTCTATCAATAATGAACTGAGCAAAGTTTAAAATAAGATTGACAAGATTCATTTCCTTCCTCTCTATTTCATGACCCTTTTTTGTTTTAATCGTTCAAAACGATTCTTAAATCAAACAAAGTATCCATTAATTTGGACACAATCTTCCAAAAAGCGAAACCTTCTTACGAGCCAGGAGAAGGTGGTTTTTGGATCTGGAATCTTCCAGATATCACATAGATTATTATTTTTAATCTTCCATTCACATAAATTGTCTGTACTGGGCAATAGTCTATGAATAAATTTAAAATTAAACTGCCTAATTCTGTTGTCATTTATAAATTAAATTTATAATGAAGCACTGTGTTCCAGACAAACGCATCAGGTTAATCAAAATAAGCGTTCCAAAAATAAATGCACGGTAGATCCTGTTTATTATATTTTATTACAATAGTGTTTGGCTCTCATGCCCGATAGTTCAATTGAGTCACCTGTTACTATTTCCATCGTACAGGATTCCACTGCAGACGACACTATTTACATATTATATCCTATTACGTAACTTCTGCAACCAAACATTCGGAAATGAACTTTTTAACTTTGCCAATTTTAAGGCGGAGAGTAATACATTTTCTTGAAGATTAATACAGGTGGAATGAACTTCTTTCCAGATATTGTTCACTGAAACTTGTTTCACTTTAAGAATAGTGTTTCTTATTTATCCAGTTTGGAAAATGCAATAACTCATTCCTATATTTAATATTACTGCTATACAAAATCATTTCATTTTCAGTATTTATCTGTTATTTTAAACATATCAATATATTTTAATTCAGCCCAGAAACAAAGCATGTCAACATAAAAGTGAGGCAACTGTTTTTTTCCTATAAATACGAAACATGTATAGCTCTTTTTGCAATTAACTACTAATGATGCTGATGCTATGAATACCACTATAACTACTGCTACTCCTAATCTCCAACTAATCTACTATTACTACTGCTACTGCTGCTCCTACTACTACTACTACTACTTCTTCTACTACTACTATTACTATTACTACTACTACTACTACTACTATTACTACTACTACTACTACTACTACTACTACTACTACCATGACTACTACTACTTCAAGTACCTTTACTACTACTTCTACTACTACTTCTACTACTACTACTACTACTACTACTACTACTACTACTATTACTACTATTATTATGACTACTACTACTAATACTACCTTTACTACTACTACTACTACTACTACTACTTCTACTTCTACTACTACTTTAACTACTACAACTTCCATGACTTCTAATAAACGCCTACTACTACTATGATGATTATTATTATTATTATTATTATTATTATTATTATTATTATTATTCGTTACGAGATTTTCATTATGTGTCTGTCAAAACATTTGGTTGACAATTCATTTTCTTTAATACAATCTGTCACCAGATACGACCACCACGTCTCAGCCCGCGCGAGGTGGTAGGAGGCTTCCACCGAGCGGATTGGCTCTCACAAAACCTCCTCATACAAATGACATGACAAATCTGGAAACCACGGAGGCAGATTTAGAGGTAATGTTGTCACGATAACATGATAACTTAATCCCTAGCTTCCTTATTCTGCTGATCTAACCTCCTCTTTCTCGAGCTTTTGTTATTTTTCATTTTCCTTTTCTACCTTTTATTCTTTGTTGCCTTCTTCAATTTGTCCTCGGTTTTTTTTTTGTTATCACCTTCCCCAAATTCATAATTTCTTTATTGTTACATATTTGTTAACTAAATGATTTTCAATTTCGTTCTTTTTTCAAAGACGTATTGTAAAACAGCCTATGAGGACCTAACACGTCAACAACCTCTACTTCTAATTAGTTCCTCTTTTCTCGAGCTATAACTATTATATTTGTATTGTTTCATTGTTGTTGTTTTTGTAATATACTTATTGTAAATAGATAGATAGATAGATAGATAATTTATTGGTCCATATTCAAAAACATAGAAAATTGGCCTCCACTGGCAGCACATAAACATAATACAAAGTAGTTACAAAATAATTGATATGTCACATAATGTACATAAATTCACACGAGATCATGACATTAACAAAAAGCATAAGTATAAATTACATAGTAATAGGGAAAAATAGGGAAAGAAGTCGACATTCAAAGATTGAGAAGTGAGGAAAAAGTCGTAAGGAGACTGAGGAGCAAAAATAGTAATAAGAGAGAGAGGGGAGAGGGGAAAGAGACAGAGAGGGAGGGGAGAGATAGAGAGATAGAGAGATAGAGGGAGACAGAGAGAGAAAGATAGGAACGAAAGGTGGACGTAAGGAGAGAAGAGGGTATAAATAGAGGGAGGGGAAAGAAAAGGAAAGGAAGGGGACGAGTTTAAACACGACACATGTAACTGTCTATCTGAGAGGTAATAGACCAGTTTCGCAGTGTATCCACGTTGAATGCGCAGGTCCCCGCGAAGTGCGCGGACACGAATGACTCCTCCCACCCGCCAGGAACAATCGTATTCCAACAGGCAGAATGCGAGCCGCTCACGAAAGACGCTACCAGGCTGGCAATACATTAGAGCTCGCCCAACCTAGCAACAACCAACGTACGCAACTCACACCCCGCCCACCAAAACACAACCACTCCCAACGGTGAATGGAGCCACCCGCATCCAGGCACCCCGACAAAGACCCACGCACCCAACCCGAACCCACCGCGAAACTGGTCCATTATGTTGCACATTTTAAAAAACCGGCAATTTCATTGTATTATGTTTTGCATAAGAAATTAAATCATTTGAATCTTTAATATTGCATTGTGACAAAGACTCTGACACTCGATCCAATCATAAGTGACCAGAAAACCTGGAGTTTCTCCCGCCTTGCCCTCTTGTCGAATTTAAGAAACCGATCAATTTAAGAATTGCGAGCGCCTAATCATGAGGCGAGGGTTCAAGTGATTCTCTTTTTAGTACACCTAGTTAGAGTTATTTTTCACAAATTGAATTCATTTGAGCTGAAGAGAACAAAGCTAAACGAGAGGATACAGAACTTAAGTTAAAATAATTGCGAATTTCTAATAATGATTTTTTTTTTGTCTATTTGATATTTAAAATTTTAAAAAACGAAGGGTATCTCTCAACCGTAAATGAGAGATATGGCATCAACAGACTTCCATCGGTCATTTTTCTCGCTTCTTTTATTTCGGAAAAGAAAAATATAAATCCACATATGATTCATCCCGTTTTTTAGACCACAGCATTCCCGAAGACATCGGGTTCACCGCAGACTAAGACTTCTGGAGAAGAAACAACGTCTCAAGGAAGTGGCACCAAGAACCAATCTGACTTTACAAAGACACCAAGAGAGCCACGAAAAGGTAAAAACCATTGTCCAGAGCTACCAACCATTTATGTTTTAGGGGACTGATTCCTCTTTTTCGCCCTTACAGTCACGTTTCAAATGATTGCTTCTACTAGTATTCTGGAAACTTCGGTAAAACAAAAGCTTACACATACATAAATTACCTATGTACGTTTCTTTATTTAAAGATGGGAGTAAAAGGGTGAGGCGATTGTATTAGATTGCTTCTGACTCGCTATATATGATATGATGATTTGTCTTGTTTGTTCAGGGTAGCATGATCAGTATTAATACTCTCTACCGGAGGGCACTGCTATCATGATTATTCCGCCAGCTTAGCCAAACTATCATTATTATATAGGCTTTGTAGCAATCAAGGAATTTCTACCAACCCAATTACTTTACCTAGGTGGTTTTTATTTGTGTGATAGGAGCATCATTAGACAGTGATAGCCCAATTATCATTTCTAATAGAAGTATTCCATAACTTTAAAATCAAAACATACCCACGATGGAGTCTCTATCTCATCTCAGTCGTGTACATTATACATTTTCTGTCTATAATCGTACAGGTCTGATAGATACCTTGGCGCAAATGGATGAAGCACAAACCGTATATGTTGGTCTCTGTGTGCCCATGTTCGTGTATTTCATCTGTTTCCTGACGGCTCTCGTTTTGCGCGCTATCACCATGTGGATTCAAAGATTGAATAAAAAGAAGGTAAGCGACGTGGCAAATTACATGACAGTTTCATTCTACGACAAATGTTCCATTCTAAAAAGAGAAAGATGTTTCATTTCGGCAAGTCACCCGCAAAACTGTTATGTGTTTTTAATCATAGTGCTTGAAATTAGGAAATATCATATATTTTCGTTATTATATGATGTATATCATACTAACCCTATACAATGATGATTAATGATTCTAATATCTTGTTTGTTGTTGCTTAACCCCCCCCCCCCCCTCCCTATCCCTCTCTAATTATATCTCTCTTTCCTTCGGTATCACTTATCTCGTCATACTCCAGGAGCCACCGCCGTGCATGGAACGTCCCCGGTTGATGTATGAGCTAGTTCGTTTGAGATCTGATGATTTAAATAAATGCCACAGAAGAAAAGGAATCCACAAATGACATCAAATTTGTATTTTAATATTGTTACATTTCTTGTAAGGTTCATTGAATAAGTCAAGTTGGTCTTAGATAAAAAGGGACAGGCGATAAAACCTTTTAGGTCGGGAGGTTGGCAAAAGTTTAGAGGGGTTGTTTGTGTATTGGTTTTCTGTAACATTAACCGGGAGGACACAAAGGTGAATTCACGAAGGTTTCGGAATATATCAGCACTCGGGATATTCGTAGGATTGTATATTAAGTTCGTTGGATCATTTTACAATTTGTACGATAGTATAATATGGGTGTGTGCGTTCGTGAGTGGGATGTATTCATGCGTGTTCGTGGGGTGCTTGGGTATGTGGGGTGTGGGAGATTAATGTTAATAATAATATTCCGCGTTTATATATCGCTTGGTATATCGACGATGTCTCTCAGCGCCTTACAGATATTATTACCGTTGGTTTATGGGGTGTAGGTGTGTGTGTGCATATGCATTTTATTCTGGGTTTATTTTGCCAAATATTAGGTTTAGGTTTAGGATTACAATTGGGATTAATGATTTTGTCATATATGGTGTATAGGCCTTAGTAATATAATGTGATCAACCTATTTCATGAGTCTATATACTCATTCTAGCGATATGGCAATATTTGTTTCAAGCGCTCCTCAATAATTGCATTATAATTATTATTATATCATGCATCAAAAATGTATTGGTTTTTGATTGGTTGAGAGCAGTTCACGTGACCAGAAATATTTCAACCTCTGAAAAAGTACTATTTGGGAGTATTATTTGAGAGTTGAATTATTGTCTTTATTTTATATTTCATTAAAATTGTAAATTGTGAAAAAATAACAAATTTTTATGTAATTTTGTTTGTTGATAATTCGTTTGAATTAAATAAATCTTATTGAAATTTAAAATGTATGAAATGAAAAAAAAAAAATAGAAGCAGGGTATAAAACAAAAGTACCCTGCCTTCTTTTCGAGGTACTGGTTGAAACTATGGGCCTGATTTAAGACCTGATTTGATGAGATAACCACCTGTCATTGATCTTGCAGGGTGGTCTTAATCCCTCCTGTAAACTAGTACAGATGGGCGTTAAGGAATATGTATGACTGCAGAGCAACGATTGCCGCAGCGTGTGCCATAAAAGGGCGGATGGTATATGTAAAGGTCTACATGCCAATGCAATTTATTGTGTATTTGTTTATTTACTTTTCTGTGCCACTCTAAGCCTAATTTAAAAAAATAATAATAATGAAGAAAATAGAATATATTTACCAAAGTGGCCCTCTGTTCGTGACGAATTACTAATGAGTATCAAACAGTGTTCAACATAATAAATCTAAGATTAATTTCTATTTATACCTTGATTAAGCCGTTTTACGTTATTCATCTTTGTAGTATATTTAGGCCTTTGTTTTATTTTCTACATTTCTTTAATTTCACTGAAAGTGAACTTTTCATCCTACTACTCATTGTAATGGCTTTTGTAATGCACGTCTACATCGTTTAAAGTGAATAAATAAAAAAATTAAAAAATATTGTATTCTATGTATTTTTTTGTATTTCTTATCAACGCGTTGCAAAAAGTCAATAGATTTTTTTTTTCTTTTGGTAATACAAAATGGAATGGTGGAAATTACGAATTCATATTTGAAGTGGTTTTCCATTCTATCAATGTAAACATGTATGGCATATTTTGTGTCTTAAGGGTTTCCTGTATAACGCCCGTCGTCGATCCCGGGGTCTGGTTTTGATTGCGTTAATCCGTGCGTTCATTAAACCTGTATAAAGGCAATTATTAACCTCTCTTTAGATTCGAGTCGTGATTTTAGCCATGTCCGCCTAGCGGTCAATAGTTAATGAGAAAGATGCCCGTTGCCCCGGGTAACGGGCCGCATAGTTAAATGTTGCTGATATCCCCTTGGGTTTACATGTAAAAGGTTTCTCTGTGCGAGCGCGGAACCATTTAGTGCAGTGTGTGTGCGATTCCCGAATGATCGTAACATTCAGGCAACTTTCCAGCGAAGATAAACAGACAGCGTCACAGATTTTCTGTGATGTTTTAACCAATCTTTACTCAAGAAAAGGATAAGGTAAGAATTCTTTGTAGATTTTTTTAAAAGTTGGTATATAAGAGATATATGGACTGCTTTAATATTCGAGACATAGCAGTCAATATATCTATATTAATGCACGCGTCAGTAAATCAGAACAATGGTTTCTCTTTTCAGTTTGTATTCATATTTTTGCCCGTTGTTATACAAGGCCAGCAAAGTTCTTTACCATTACAGATGAAATGTGCTTTCTATTTCCTATTAATCTTAAATTCCAATATGTATTCTACTATAATTCTTGTTTTGTTTTTTGTTATATAGAAGGGAACTTATAAAAAAAAATGGGGGACGATTAAGCCGTGTCGCAACCCTGTCGCATTCCTCCGTCAGGCGAATGACGTCATGTGTGCAGTAGGCACTCATTGAGTGTATGATACGATCGCTAAGACTTTTGAACCCAATCAACCCATACCATCCAGAAGCCCTGTTCGTCATTATTTTCTGTTGAAATGTGTGAACATGACAATGACGTATTGCCTATTCACACATTATTCATAATGGCGTACACAATAGGGTATTGCAATTTGCCCCAGGAGTTAATTTTCTCGAAAGTCTTTGTGATCGTACGATTATTCGTATAACGAGAACCCACACATTGAGATCTAACACGGTTTAATTTCAATGTGATAAATTGTATTTTATAAATCGTTTTAAATTTGTAAACATTTCAAATCAAGGATTATTCTTCTTTTTAAAAAACTCATTTTGGTTTGATAAACTATGTTTATAGCGGGGGTGTCAAAACACATAATATGATATATATGTAATTGGGATGTACATAGAGAGAGGAGACGATGTGAAACTTACGCTATTATTTTAAGAGGAAAAGAGTGTTCTTTCGACAACTGAGCAATTTTTCCTTCGTGAAGGTTTTGCCAGCCCCCCCCCCCAAAAAAAAAAATACAAATAGACGGTGGATAAGAAAAAAGTCGGGTCACTATTTTCTCTTAAGGCTCATCTAGCATGTCTAGTCTAGATCTGGCCGGTTTCAATTTCGCAATCTCTATCCCTTACCTCCGGCAGGCTGAAGATGGCGTGATCCACGTATTCGTACGCCCGGTCCAGATTCAGGACTATATATCATGCTTAATGCATGGACCAAACTACAACAGAAGGAATTAAATGTAGGCCTTTGTGTACTGAAGGAAGTTAAAATTGATATTTGCCATTATCCTTGATATTTCATTTAATTTAAGCCGAGTAGGCCAATATCTCTCAAAATAATATTCATCAGATACGTCAGAAAAAAACTAAAATCTGTTATGTGGTCTATAATGTCCAAGATAAACCACCGTGGACTTGTCCTTTTTGTTTTACTTTGGCTTAAAACTATAAAAAATAACAAAAATATATGTATTCAGAGAGGGGTTTTCAGTTAGAAAAAGGTATCGTAACGCGCTATGAATAACCGTAATGTCATAGATATCGTCATATTAACAAGGAAATGTGACAGAGTTGGTACCGTCATTGCATGTGGAGAGAGGGGGGGGGGCAATTGGTTTTATTATCATATACGTGGATGAAAAAAAAGAGAGGATGGTTTTGGAGTGGGGTGTATACATTATTTCCAAGTTTTTATTCGCCATTTTGATTGTTCGGAGCAGTCGGAGCATGCCTTCCCCCCCCCCCCCCGTAACTACGCCCCTGCAACTAGATGAGACATTTTATTCAAATTACATACTAATGTCACCTTCAATAATGATCTTAATTCTATTCGCATTCGAGAGTTTTCTAAATAAATGTATGTTCTTCTCAAGGACAATTTTTTTGACAACATTTTGCTTCTGGGTACATCCACCCTTTTGTTTACTGTTTTTAAAGTTGAGGTTTTGGCGTGTATCCATTGCTCGAGCATTTTATGAGATAAATGGGCGTCTGACCCCCAACCCCCCCCCCCCCCTCCCCTCCCCCGATGGTTCATTTCATTCAACGTATTGTCTTGCTTCTCAACAAGTCTGTGACGTAGGCTTTAAATCTTAAGGCGTATCAGAATGATATCAAAGGAGGTTTAGTGAATTGCAGAAGAATCGATACAATAGGAATGTTTTTGTCAAAGAGGCTTATTGTTAGCTCTTTACACCCTAAGCTGATCATCTAGTTTAGCAAACAAGTACGTAACGAGGTCTCCTACCCTCTCCAGTGGTCCTCAACCATTGATCGACAGAGCAGTATGGGGTAAGGAGGATTGGACCTTTTTAGTTAAACCAATCAAGTATGAAACGAGATAATATTGCTGTATTATGGAACGCTGGATTTCGTTATTAGAGTAGTACAAGACAAGGAAATACAAAAAAAGAGGTTGAAAACTACCCGAAACAGCTGTTTTTCGAAATAGTTTTTAAATTATTTATACACACATTTTCCTCTCTCTTTGCTTGCTTTCCTTGTTCCCATTTTCTTACCCCCCCCCCCCCTCTCTCTCTCTCTCTCTCTCTCTCTTTCTATTATCTTGTGGAGCGGGCAGGGGGGGGGGGGGGGTCCTCTCTCTAAGAAGACAAAATGTGGCCTATGTTAAGTAAAGTCAAGAGAAAATGGGTGCGAACTTGTATTCATGTGCCTTCCCCGCCCCACACCCGCACTCTGCACGTCCTCGATTCGATAGTATGGCTATATTACTTTTTTTAAACACTTTTGCTTGGCCTCGAAATAAATTGTATCCAAAAAGTTGGCTGAATTTCTGAGATTGCTAAAAACTTGTGAAAGGGGCATTGCACTCTTTTCCTGCACTGTACACGCTATTGCCATTGGAACGTGAATTAAGGGTGCTTGCAAGACAAAGTGACGAGTTGAGATTGCCTGATAGACGATCTTTTTTTCCCGCAGGCACCTTCGTGTATCTCCTTCGTTAAGTATTTATAAGATCAATAATGCAACTTCGCAAGCCGCGATCCATACATCAGTACTCTGAGCTCAGCCGAGCGCAGATGTGATCTTTTCTTTGGCGCGCGGCAGACAACTTGCGGAATACGGGATATTGATTTGCTATTGGTCCCCTTCTTGATTTGTCATTCTCATCGATAGCCACCCACGGCTCTTGCTTGACAACGCTTGGTTGTTTACACTTTCTATTCCTTGATCCACAATGGATTAGGGGTGAGAGTATGCAAACTTCTTCGACGCCTTCATAGTTGCCTCCAGCTTATTGTCGAGATATCATATACACTTCTTTCATCTTGAAAATATATTTTCGACGCACTCGTCACTGGAATTGGATCTAATAAAATGGGAAATTATTTTGTGTCGAGAAGACAAGAATTTTGCAAGGACTTTTTGGCATTGATACGCTATTAGATAAGAGGACTTAAACACGTGTAATTATGCCGGTATTCTGACCACTAGAATCCTGATATCAATTTAGGAGAACTCTACAAGGAAAATAATACGAGGTCGTATACTAAATCAAAGGATATTGTGAACAGACTGTTGGTAAGTAGTTTCCATATAACTTTATGTTATATTCTTATGCATAAATTTATGTAGATATAATTGTCGGTCTGTATTATGGTCGAATGTGTCTACATTTCTGATTTCAATACTATGTAAATGTAGGAAACGTAAAATTATAGATGCGTCCATTCAGTATTATACAAAAACAATGTTGCATTACTATGAATAGGATGTTTTACATTAAAATTATCATTATGAATGGCCTACTCACGACTTCTTTTCATATGTCACAAAGTTTGAGGGTATTTGCCCCAAAAATGGGATAAATAGATTATAGAATAATGGCCTACCGTAGACATTTCGGAGTTGGGTACCAAAACAACCGTTTCATTTCATTTCATTTCATTTCATTTTTATTGTTTTCATTTCAAACAAAATACAATACATAATAACGAATACAATGTAAACATCCATGGAGATTAATGGGATATTACTCCATCGTTCTATCATCCAAATTTAGAGCTTGATTATACACGTACAACAATATTCAATCTTATTCGATGAATGGATTTTTTTTTTTTTTTTTTTTTTGCATTACTTTATACCAAATGATATAGTTGTAAATTTCGTTAACTTTATTAGGTCTTTTAATGTTATAGCTTGATTATACACGTACAACAACCTTCAATCTTATTCGATGAATCGATTTTTTTTTTTTTTTTTTTAAATTGCATTACTTTATACCAAATAATATAGTTGTAAATTTCGTTAGCTTTATTAGGTCTTTCGATGGTTAAAGGATAGACAAGAGTCGTAAATAGTACTCGTAAACATTTGGGGTTATAAAGTTTTAACTTGAACATAACGACGCAATATTGCATTGCTATCATCTAATATTGACAGAGGAGGAGATAAACTCAGTTTAAATGAATGTAATCACTTCTTAATGGAACTATTTAACACTATTAATTCAAAAGGAAGAGGCCTTTATTCGTAGGGAACGAAATATAAAACAATTCAAGTTTCATCAACTCTGACTATCAAGTCCACCATTTTTTTTTTTTTTTCACAATGACCAAAATTAGAAATTAGTGCTACATGCCTTGAAATAACAGAATACATAAAAGATGCGTATCTGATACTGGATCACCTATTTATTCATTTATTTTCCGATAAATGTTCCTCTCAGTTTTCTTTTAATAGTTCTTATCGTGCAAATTTACGTATTATGTATCAAGTAATTTGGGTTAAGGATTCACCTGTCTTGAAACCTGAACCTCTTATAATATTTCAAACACTTCATCTGAAATATTAGCCCCACAGATGTCATATTTCATCTCTTTAGAACCAGAAGGGCATATCATTTCGTACAGAGTTAACGCCCTTTTGACTTCAAATTTATAATTTATGAGTTATAGGATATCAAAATAATCTCGGAATATACAGAATATACATCCAGTGCCACGCTGAGCTGCACTGCATAAGAGTATTAGTCCTATAAAATCACTATGCAATATCTCTTCTTACCATAAAACCTAGGAATGCTATTTTCTTATCAATCTTTCAAATAAAATGTCTGATTGTTATTGTTCTTATCTTTTCTAAATGTATAATTCTTCTTTTTATGTAAAATTATTTGTACAAGCATGTTTTGATTGCTTTAATAAACCATTTTAAAATGTAATGGAATTTATCATAACAGTAGTTTTCTGACGTTTAAAATAACAATAATTTAATTTAATTTATACTCTGAACATACTAAACCCTGGTCATCTTACTAGCAAAGAATTTCTCCCCGTGTACTTGCATTAATTATGCCTAATTTCATGTCGTAATGCATAATATTGTATTTAAACATAATAATAGTGTGCAAACATAACAAGAAGACTAGGAAATAAGTCTTCTATGTTTTGTAAGTACATCAAAACACGACATTTTGGGAAGAGAGGAACATTTACATATTCCATACACTTAATTATACCATACGTGAAATAATAAACCATTTATAATGTAGTAGACCCACGGGTAATTCAAGTGGTATTTCATTGCAATGACACTTATATCATTAACGTCTCGAGAGATTGCATGTTTACTTTGGCTCGTCGCCAAGCAACGTCCTCGTATAAATTACGCTGTCGCCATGGTAATGAGTGATCGAGCAGAAATTACAGGTCTAATTTCTCGAAGAGAATATAGGCTTGGCTACATCGGTATCACACGACGATAATGTGATTTCTTTCCGCCACAGTACTTCAAGAACACCTGCAAGATTTGGCCTTAATCTTAAGTGTTGCTGTTGTTGCTGTTTGTTAAACTCTCTTTTGACGGGGGGGGGGGGGGGGGGGTGGGTAGCAGGTGATATCGATAAAGTCAAGCCAATATTCCTTACAATATGAAGACGTATCAAGAGTCTATATAAATGCTCACAATTTGATGACGGACAGATAAACTTTCCAATAAAATTTACGGGAGGAAAATAATAGGACGGCTTTATGTGCCGTACAACACGTAAGAGAATAAATAAAACAGACACTATTTGTGACTTTGTCGCTTTGAAAAAAAATTAAAAAGTATGGCTTCGGCCAGAAATCTTTTTATTTAGCTTAACAAAAATGATATTGATACAATGACGTCAAAAATTAATTTGGAAATTCACAAATATTTTGAAATTAGTTGTGCTAAATATTTTGTTTTCTCTCTTTCTCTCCATGCAGATCACATAAACTGGCATCCATTTATTCATCGCCTGTATTCGGCATGCGCACAATGTTGCTCTGAAACCCAACCCATTGATCGGGCAGTATAGACTCATTCATTTCATCTTACCCTGAACTTTCTCAATACCGACGTCTAGTAGGCAGACGACCACCATGTTGCGTATCTTCGTCGTCTACAACAAACTCCGTCACACCTTCGACACTGATGGTGACGACACCATCGCCTCCTTGAGAGAACGCGTTTGCGACACATGTCAGATCGATACGCGAGGAGGGAAAAACGGAGAGCAGAAATTCGTCGTACTTCAATACCAGGTAGGATGCAGATATTTGTTCAAATATATCAAATGGGTAGTACTGAACTTACTCTTACATCACATGTCATGGTACTTCAAGCACTAAGATTATTACGACTTTGTATCAATAATTTGAATAAAACTAAATTTTGTCTGGCATTTGAATGAAAATAATCATCATTACATTTATACAACCTTATTGCCACGAGTCATTGAAATTTTCAAGCGGTATAAAGGGTCCATAACGAGTAAAAAAAAAAAAAGTTTGATTCACTTTGCTACCAAGACAGCATAAAATTAAATCGGAACCAAGGAATCCGCCCACCTCCAAAATGATAGGGGAGGTGATGGTGGCAGCAACCAACACCCTGACCTGAAGTGATAAATAGATTGGGATGAAATTATGTAACGGATCATGACATGCACTGACCCCTCAACACTAATGTGTTAAAATATCACTAACCTTTTTCATAATTCTGTTTGCATTCCTAAAGGGAGCTGATCTGCAGGACACTTGGAAGTTGGGAGACATCGGTGTTGTAGCTGGTTCCACATTGCGATGTTTCCTCCGAGAAGAAATCACACCCAAGCTGTTCGTCTACTGCGTCTATAACGACGAGAAAGTCGAAATCCTCGAAGAAGTCCGGTTCGAAACGGACTACGTGGCGGCGCTCAGGTCGATCATCTCCCGTCGCATCGGCCTACCGGTCACCGTCTACCGTATCCTGGATCCCAAAGGCAAAGAGATGTACGACGGCAATCTCCTGCAGATGTACGACATCGCCATCGGTTGCACGGTGCGACTGGAGACGTGGGATGGCTGGAATGATTTCCTCAGAGCTGCTTCTATCGGACATACCTCGCATGTCTCCCACAACCTTTCTCAGGACGAATCCATCGCGAAGTTCCAGATGCGTGTGGCTCTCTTCATCGCAGCCCACTACGGTCACATGGACCTGGCCTCCGCCATCTTGAAATGGGGTTACAGATCGGATGAAGCCATTGGTGAGCATCCTACAAAGGAATGGTGCGCGAGTACACACGTTGAGTCGAAGAAAACAGCCGTGCACGAGGCATCCGAAAATGGACAACTGAGTATTCTCAGAATCTTTGTCTATAACAATATTTGTTGCGTGACCTGCAAAGATGGTAACGGTCTTACTGCTCTGAACGTCGCACTCAGAAAACAGAAGCGTGAGGTCGCTCTTTATCTGCTCACGAAACAATGGTCAAATGTACAATACAGTGCCTTGATATTGCCTCTCACAATTTTTTCCAAGGTCCGAAAATGGTGTGATCGGGCCAAGGACAAAGTTCTGTTGGTGCATGGACCAGATAAGTCGAGTACGAAATACAAGAGGACAACGCGACAGCCAGGAGGGCTTTGTGGTGAAGGGGTCTATGTGGATGGATTGGTCACAAGCAGCATGAATACGAACCCTAAACGTGGCTCCGAGATTAGTCGGACGAAAAAGAAGAAGCAGAAAGAACAGCGACGGTTAACGACGGCAATGACTAGCTTTACCGGTGTCACGGGTTCTTCGTCGCCAGATCCAAGACTCCCGAAAATATCTGGCGTCAGAACTCCGACCTTGGTTGCCACGTACCGTGAACGACTTCGAAGCAAAAATGAGGATGATGACGAAAACGACGGGGAGATATCCAATGAAGAGGGTAAATTTGCAGAGCTTCGAGGAAAAATACGACCAAGGAGCAGAAGCTTCAATCATGAAAAGACTCTTGCTCTGCCAAAGATCGGTCAAAAGTCCCGACCTCGTAGTTCATCGCAACAAGAGAACGGCCTGCTTGTGGATGTTCGAGCCGTAAGTGCAGCTGCAAGTTCAGTAGACATTGGTGCAGAGCGAAGTAAGATAGCGTACATACAAACCACTGGGACTGGGAGCAGACGATCCCGAAGACCTAAACAACAACCGATTTTAGAATCAGTTACCGCAAAATCCACCGTGTTCGAACAAAATCCAGCGAAAGCGAAGAAAGAATCGAGGTTTGATCGCATGGACAAGTTCCGAAGACAACGCAAAAAAGCCAGTAAGATGGATAGTAGTATACCTCTGCCGCCCGTCAGCAAGAATACCATTAATCGGCCGTTTTTCTTCTCCCAAAGCGACGATGAGAACATCCCTCGTCTCACCGTGGACCTCTACGAGGAGGTGAACGGGAAGACGACATGGGAGCGTGCTCTCGAAGCGCTCACCATCGCTTCGATGTTCGAGGAAAAACCGTGGTTGCAGCGGGTCAGGATGGCAATGGTGCTTTCAAGGAATCACGTCAGGCGAATCAAGAGCCTTCAGCGATCACCGTCCAGCAATGATCAAATCAAGAGTGCTATGAGCGGGGGAAGCAGCTCCAAGAAAGTAACAGTCGCCGATGACCTAGTGGTCGATCACGAAAGTGTGAACTCAAGAGGTGGGGGTCGAGTACAAGGGGAGGAAGAGAGAATTATCAAATCGGCCGTTAATCACTCTCAAGAAACATCGCATACAGCCGAAGTTAGCTGAAATTTAATATTTAGTATGATAATGATCATTTAAATGCACCTTTGACTAAGCCGATTAAGTATTAGATAGGGAAAATACTATCACATTGTATTTTGCATTTATCAGAATATAGATTCACTTTAAATTTCAAATCTCCAATATCAAATTTCCAAATTCTAAATATTGCGAGCGAGCAAAGCAAGCGAGCAAAAGCTTGATATTAATTTGATGAAGATTAGATTTTTAAATCGAAAAACACAAACCAAGATATAAAACAGAAACGGGACACCTTGCTGCTCAAGGTTGCGCTTAGGTGGTGGTCGTCAGAATACTAGAAAAATATCGAAGAGGGATATTAAAAATAAATAAATAAATAGGGCTACATGCAGTCCCAGCTCATCTCGTTCGCTTTTGTCTTTGTTAAGGTCTCATAACCCACCATTAATCACAAAATTTCATGTGAAAGTTAATTACTGAACTTGCCGTCAATAAGTCTTATTCCATTGTAGTATTAGATGAGCAAATGAACGTGTGCTTATGAAATCAAAATGCTGTTGAACCTGAGGAGCACATTTCATTAAAGTCAATTAATTTTTTTTAATTTTTTGTTGTATTTACATGTATATTCTTATCAATTAATGCCAAAGATATTGTATATAAAAGTTGGATTGTTTAAAGTTGTATTTAATGCTCAGATAAACTTGCGACCCCTCTGTGACTTATATTATAATAAATAATCATGTGGATTTACAATACTCCTGTCAAGGCGTCACTGCCCCTGATTTTTTTTTTTTTTTTTTTTTAATACTTTTTTTGTATTTGCTTTTATATTCATTTTTAGGAAAGTGTTGCACATAAAAGAGAAACGGTGTAGGCTGTATGCTAAGGAAAGAGAGGGATAGAGATAAAGAGAAAACTGGAGAGAAGGGGTGTGTGAGTGAGAAGGGATAGAGATAAGAGAAAACTGGAGAGAAGGGTGTGTGAGTGAGAAAGGTGATAACATATTGAAAAGAAAACTTAATTCTACTTTTCTAGTCGATCCTGAACATTCCCCTACTGGATCATTGACAAGTTACCGTAAATATGTGGCCTGCTGTAACGTTGACAAATGAAGAGAATGGGCAAAGAGAGTGGTAGAGAGGAAGCAAAATAATTATTTTAATTTTAGGGATAGAGATCGAATGAGGGGTCGGTGGAGGGGTCGGTGGAGGGGAAAAGATGAAGAGAGAGAGAGAGAGAGAGAGAGTGTGTGTGTGAAAGAAAGAGAGAGAGAAAGAGAGAGAAAGAAAGAGAGAGAGACAGAGAGTGAAGGAGTGTGAAAGAAAAGAGAGACATGCTGAGACAGTGAAAGTGAGACGGAAACTGAGATGCGGAGAGACTCGATGTCAACTACTTAATAACAAATATCGAAACACAAAGTACTGAACTATAGAAAAGAAAGAAGCGATAGAATTCCGTTTTACTGATAGACCATTGTTTAGGAATTAGAAACCCTTCCTTTTGTCGCTGTTCACAATGCTTCGACGCCTTAAGTATATATACCCCAAGGACCAAGCCGAGGAAAGAAACTTATCGTTAAAGTCTAAAGAACCTCGTAAAAGGGAATTAATTTAAGATTTATACAGTGGTTCAGAAAAAGGAGAGAAAATGTACTCTAGTTTCAATGAGAAATAATTGAACAGGCCATCTACCCGTCAACGGTAACGGAGGGTTTAAGTGGGAATGGAATGGGCCCTGTGTCCCTGTAACGATAAGGGGTACGATTATTTGTATCTCCCTAGAATCGTAACTCCTTCAATCAATCTGAACTCAACAACTGATTGGTTAGATCATAGTTAATTTACCTACTTTCTTAAGGCACACTGTCCTACTTGTCTCTACTTGCTCCCTCTATATAGAAACTTCCAAATCGGTGCCTGTTGGTCCCCCATGATCCTCTTTTTCTTATGTTAAATGAGAGCTGAGTTAATGAAAAAGCCACCTGTCACAGTGACCTCGATGGCTCACTGGGTGGTCTAATCCCTTCTTGCTGAAGTAGTAACGCCTCCCTTTAAAATCCGATTTGAAAAAACTAAAACCCAGCTTCAGGATCAAATTTGTGTAGAAGAGTAAGGGCCATTGTGGTGTACCAGTCAAAAAGTAAATGTTAAATGAGGAATTTAGCCTTAATTACTATCCTCGTTTTTCTGAGACACTCTGTCAATTTGAAGGAGCTGACTTGGTCCCCCAAAAGCGAGGATATGCCAACCATTCTTTCCTAGGGTACGAATGATGATGGTATAGTATGAGTGAAAAGGTTGTTAGCAAAGGTAAATAGTAATACTAACGATTACTGGCTTAGAGAGGTAAACAGAACCCTTATAGTGACGGAGTGACCTTGCGTTTAAGCGATTGGCAAATAATGGAGTTTACTCGTAAAGGGAATTGAAGAATGGAATGGACAAAGGATATGTGGAAAATCGGCGGACAAAATCTGCCTTCTACCCCCCCCCCCCCCCCCCCCCCACCCTCTCATTCCTACAGAAAAGTAAAGGAAAAGATCGAGGGGATTTATTATGGCTAAATGACTTGAAGTAATTATGGAGGAATGCAATAGGATGGCAGAGAAAATCGAGAAGAGTCGAAAAACGAGAAAAGAAAGAGAATTTTTGTTGTGATAATTGTCAAAATAATTGAAGACAATGAAATAAATTGCATTCAAGAAAGAGAGAAAAATTGAGAAATCGAGAGGGGAAGAGCAATGGGTAACATGCAGAGAGAAAATTGAGGGAGCGAGAGAGAGAGAAACTGAGACGGTGGATATGGGGACAGACGGATATACACAGAGGGGGCAGAGGGAAGAGAGAGAGAGAGAGAGAGAGAGAGAGAGAGAGAAGGGAGTGAGAGCTTGAGAGAAGAGAGAAAGAGAGAGATCGGGGGGGGGGGGGTACAGAGAGAGAGTGGATCAAACCGTATGGTCAAACGTAACGTAAACAAGTATATAATTAACTGACCATTGTACAAAATAACAATCATGTTCTTCCTCCTAACTCTCATTAATAATGAATGAAACCTTCATCAGTGTGGACATCGCAAGGACAAGAGTGGTCAGGTGCCTGGTATGTGGTAGATTGAAATCGATGTGTTTGAGAAAAGACAGGAAACTAAAAACATAGGCAAAGGAGTGGTTAATTTCAATTACACAGCAAGGATGGTAATGACGTTTGAAAGAGAGGAACAGAATTAGTAATGTACTTAAAGTGGATTAGCAAGAATAGAAAAGAGAATGAATGAAATGGGAAAAAAGAAATGGAAGGACATGTGCGGTGAAATAGTAAAGGTATATACAGTTGAAGAGATGTCAAGTGAGAGGGAGAGAGAGAGTAAAAGAGTGTGTGTGTGTGTGTGTGTTTGTGTCTAAGAGGGGGGAGAGGGGGAGTGAGAGGGTGAGAGAAAGGAGAGAATGTATGACAGATTGTATGGGAGAGAGAGGGAGAGAGAGAGAGAGAGAGGAGAGGACAGACAGAAATAACAGACTAAAATGGAGGGGGAGGGGTGCTTTGTCAGTAAGAGACATAGAAGAGAAAGGCCTAGAGAGGGATCACCCATCATGGGTGTATTTTCATGAAAAAGGATTTTAAAGAGGGAATGGAGAATAAGTAACCTATATTTCGTCAAAGTATTTTCAGAATTATTATGCCATACAAGTATTCAGCCCTCGTCTGAGATATAGAAAGACCAAACCGCAATCGTGAAGAAAAAAAACTCAGTCATATTACATTCCTAATATTGTAATCATGGAGTGCACAGTAATTGGGCCGAAACTACAATAAATGATGTACCTCGCTAAAGTTATTCTACTAACATCACAAATGAAATGAGACGAAGAGACAACATGATTACATTCGGGTTCACACGCTTGATCTAAAACATCAAGACATTTAATAAAATCTCTTTACCTGATACTCTCCTCTATCTTGACACAATTATACATGAACATTCATTCACTCAATACAAAATAATCTGCTTCATCACATATCATGATATTCACCACTGTAACCTGAATCAAACAATTTAAAAACTAATCAACAAAAGACTTCATACTTTTCAGGTGGAAAAATAAAAAATAAACATCAATGATCACACTTATAGTATATATCTTGGTTTTCTTTGTGACCCTAAGGAGTTTCACAGGGAAGAATACTCATCGAAATTGGATAATGCCACTGGGTATACATTTATGAGTGTTATCTATGGGGTATTCAAAATACATATATGTAACAGATAATTGAGTTGCTGATATACACCATACAGCATCACTCTCAACTCTAAACAAAGGGCATTTGAATACATACATGCGAACTACCTCCATGATCCAACCAAAGTTATCATTGTTGTTGCTTTCTTTATCTACCTATGTCTTTAGTGGAAATAAATACTGTATAAAAAGATTTCTACACTCATATAAAATTCATATGATCCAGACACTACATGATTTTCAAATTTGAATGGCGGAAATATGGAGGCATGTGTTTTTTCTTGATACCCATAGCAACCTAGCTCAACTTTGATTACAAAAAACTACTGACATCTTTACCAAAATACATTTATCCTTCAACCAGAATATTTGAATTTATATTATATGATGACTGAATTTATGTATGTTTCTGCTCATGATTTTCCGATTGACAGTATCTTCAACAATGTTTGACAGGCTTTCTAATACCTTTGAGAAAGAAATGAAAAGTATTTTTGCTAATTATAAAGTCTTCTAACCTTATGACTGAAGCAGTATAATGAGTATCATCAATTATACTCGTTAGTATAAAACAGAATACATAATAGCAAACAATGAATAGAGGGGCAATGTACAGGGCGTAATACTGGTCTACCACTAGTGAACCATTCACTTCCAAATACATTCACTTAACCGTCACCATCAACCATTTTAAGCATACTCAGAACATTGTCATTGTCATGGCTGTACATACACTAGTTACAGCCTTGCAATCAAACATCATAACCAGTCAAACTAACCAGAGGAATGGTGTCCATTCCTCATATCCTTGAAGGGAAATCCAACCTTGATAGCGAACTACTCTGAAGGTAAGCAGAAAATCAGAGAAGTGTACTGGTGAAAGTCTGAATGAAATCAGACAAAAGTGAGAAAGTTATGAATTGTTTTGAAAGCTGTAATCCCTATAAGTACGAGCTCTTCAAATTGGCTGAAGTGGTAATGTATCTGTGATGTAGTGGTGGACAACTTTCCTATTGGTTCCAACACATGAAATGGCTACATTTTAATTTGTCGAAAATGCATAACTTAGGAGGGTCTATTCTTTTTAGTGGACCTATAATAATATGCTATCTGTAATATACTTTGAGTAGAGCCCCAAGGGAGAAGGTACTAGAGAAAAAAAGAGATTGATAATCATTTTGTGCATGACAAGGAGTTATCTGCAAAAAAAAATAACAATCCACTAACCAACTGCCAACTTGAAATACTCATAGAACTAAAGATGTCACATTTCAAACATTCATGACTTCATTATTATTGGTCTGATTATTTACTAATTTTTCTGCTTTCATACAAATGAACTTATTTCAATGGTTGGATTGCCCTTGAACTGTTCACAGAATGCCCAGTTTCCCATGACATGTACATGTATACGAAAAGTGACTGCATTCAATGTGTGTGTGTGTATTTTTTTTTTACAGACGTGTATCAATCAGATATGATTATTTACGTCTGGGGACCGACCTTTAAACGTCACCATCCGAAAGATGTGACTCAGTTTTGAACCTGCGTCCTCGTCTGAATCAGTTTGTAACTTCCACTGTTAGCTGGATTACAGGCGCACGCCACAACGCCACAATGCCTCACTGTCAGAGATATCTATCCTAACAATGCCTCCTACATAACACAAGGAGTATACAGATCAACGTCTAAATGACAGTTTTGACATCAATATGGCTTGGAAAATTTCAAAACCTCTAATAATTAGTTAACTGGATGAACTATATTGACATATATGTATATATCCCAGACAAAATGTTATACTAATGCCTTGTATTTGCACCTCTTAAGTTAAAATTCCCATGTTCACTTTTGTATAACAATTACTTGCTTATTTCATGATATCAGTGAAAACGGAGGTATTACATAATCATAACATGATTTCTAGGTGAAGTACAATAGGGTAATCAAATTGCCCACGAGTTGATTTTATGAAAATAGCAGCGATCATTTTCATTGATGATGTGAGTGTAGGCTTCGACTATCAACCCAATATCAATAGCAAACAGTACAAACATTTATTACCAGGGGGATGTTTCACAAAGATCCTCAGTAAAACTTAACTCTAAGTTGGACTTCAAGATTATGGAGAGCCATTTGTAGCCTTAAAATAAAATATTTTCAAAAGAGCATATTCAAGTATTTTAGACTTTTCATAAATTCCACATCAAGAACATGAAATCTCCATGATGATAAAAAAAATATGAATGATTTGAATCAACATTTTATGCCTTTTAAAATAACTTTTACAAAATATTTTTAAAGATGCTAACGGTTTTCCATAATTGTTAAGTCCAACTTAGAGATACGTTCAACTTAGGATCTTTGTGAAACACCCCCCAGAACTCACTAGCACCAAGGTAAAAACTAATGTCTACAAACTCAAACTAAAATTTTCACAAAGCGTGTCGTAAGTGTGTGATAATACTTTGGCAACACTAAAATTTCAAAATGCTGGAGAAATTACAAAAATAACTAAATTGAACTTTCCTAGGCAAATGATAACTCTCCTATTTGATGATTAATATAACATTAAATGTGAATGTATTTTGTTGCAAAACAGAAAATGAACTGCTTATCTTTGTCAAACTCAGCAAATTATCTGCAATGATTAATGCTAAAACAATAAAGTGCTATGTAACAAAAAATACAAATTTGTAGCAAAACCTGATTGTTGCAAAGCACGATATGGATGATAACGAGTCTCCCTGATATCAAAGACATCATACCACCAAACAATACTGACCACTAATCAGCAGGAAATAGTTGTAACGAAAAACATGAGTTTCAATACACATACTGACAAGCATTACACCAAATAATACTGCCTAGTGTAATTCATTTTTACATGAGGTTGGTAAAAATCACTGATACCAACTAGTTGTAGTAAAAATAAATTATATAAAATAATAAAAATTGTTTGTTTTTAATGAATTGGGTTGATTTAATCATTCATAACTATAGTAAATAAATCTAAATTACTGCTTTCTTTTATTGGCAAGCATGGTTCAAGTTTCAACCTAACATTTATAATGCTTCCAAGAGACAACTTTATAACTCACAATTTATAGCAATCTTTTCAAGAACTACCATATCATGCCCCTCACTCTAAAGTAAATAAAACAATGATCTTCAATACTAAAACTAGTTGCCATTCATTCAACATGGAGGACATTATTGGTCTTTGTCAAAATTAATGCTGCAATCAGATTCAAACAAAATTCAAATAATTATGTGCCATCTTAGTTATGTCCCAAAGACACAAATACTCAAATGCACATCAATTTAAAATGTCATTGTCTGTGAACTGTAGTCCTTTTCTAACTTGGCTCACATTGGCACACTTTTATCAATATAAAATAAAATGATGGCAAAAACATTTCTTCTTTCAATGAATACAACAATAGATACTTGACCTGCCGTAATAAGTCTGTGACTGCAGGAAGACTAAACCTCATCTTCTCAGAATCAGAAGGACGTTCACTCTACAATGGGGTGTTTCACAAAGATCATTAAGTCAAACTTAGCTCTAAGTTGGACTTAAAAATTACGGAGAACCATTTGTAGCCTTAAAATAAAATATATTCAAAAGCTAAAATTCAAATTTGTTAGACTTTTTATAAATTCAACATCAAGACCATGAAATCTCCTTGATTATGGAAAATATGATTGATTTGAATCGACATTTTATGCCTTTTGAAATAACTTTTACAAAATATTTTCATAGATGCTAATGGCTTTCCATTTTAAGTCCAACTTAGAGAAAAGTTCAACTTAGGATCTTTGTGAAACACCCCCTTCTAACTCTCGAAAGAAGATACCTTCAGTTACTACCACTACTGCTACACTGCACTATGCTATATATATACATCTCATAAATATCTCTCTCTCTTATGTACACAATGTTTAGATAGCTTTTGCTTCAAATAAAAATGCTGATCGGTTTCTTGTCCGTAAAGCATTGTAACCATATGAAATTAAAATACAAAAGCTGCTTTGTATCATAAATAAGAAATTCTGGAATGATTTCATCACCAATACTATGGTTTTAGTTCCTTATTGTTTTTCTAATTATGTGAAGAAGAAAATTAATGAATAAAATAATTGAAGAATATTCTCTTGGTGCAAATAAGCCAAATGATACAGACAATTAAAACATTTTTCCTTTCCCCTTTATTACATAACTCTGGGATTCAATGCTGTAAAGTTTATTTTAAACTTTGATTTTCTACAAGTAATTTAAAAAAAAAAAAATCCAAAGTGCAAAATGTAGTATATAAACACCTAAGCATTGTCAATCATGTATCAAATAAAACATTATAAAGAATATACAAATGTGCAGCACATGAAGTGAAAGTTAAGGGTGGATCTTTGTTAGAAATCAATCTGCTTAGATCATGATACTACAGCCCTCTAACACAAGCGACACAAAATTCTCCTTAAGAAATGACGTACAGCGAAAGAGACATACTTGTGCCAATGCCTGGGATGAAAATATTGCGTACAGGAACATTGCATAAAGAACAGGTTTTGAAGAGGTTAGCTTGCACCATACATTTAATGGCAGCTTAAGTCATGGACATTGCTCAAGGGTACAATTATAGATTATAGCCAGACATAAATGATACAGGATGCCTTCACAATAAACCACACCTGGTTATGTTTCTTTCAGGGTTTTTGTTTCAAGCGATGCTCAAACCTCCATTTTACCATATGACGTTTCATTACAGATGTACAACGTTCCATTATATGAAATTCAGACGAGATACAAAGTGCTTAGCTTGTATCACCATGGCTACCATAATTATTAGTTTTAGTATAGTTTGCTCAAAACAGATAACGTATAAAGTTTCAAAGATTTTAGGGACATAAAATTCAGGAAGTGAGCCCTTCAAGAAAATGCTGTGTTTGGATTTTAACAGAAAATATGCTCAAATTATAACAAATGGAACAAATTTGAAGAATTCTCCATTTCTGTCAACAAAATTAAGAAGACCCTCAAAGCCCACCTAGAGGTTACTGGATATGCTTTCCTGGATTAAACTTTCATCTCACAACAGATGATGGATTGAACAAACAAAGGGCAATATACTGGCAATATACTTACCTTAACTCAATCAATATGATATTTCATGAAACCCCTTTTCCTTACAGTAACAAAGCAAATCACAATAAGTTTAACTTTCATTTGGCGTATTCCAACAATAATATATATTTGTCCTAGTCATGTTTCAGAGGACTAGTTAAGTAAAAACACAAACAATACATATACTCTAGCAAAATAAACATGATTCCAGGGGTTTCTTGAAGAAGCCCAATTTCACATTCCTACAGAAGGTTGCCTTCTCTAACCTGATGACCACAGCAGACTGGTGGCTGAACCTCTCTCTGATGCTACCATGTATGTGCAGGAATGGTGCTGAATGTAGAAGAAACTGATAACCCTTCACCATCTTTGGTTTGGTGGTTTAGGCAATGGCTATACATCACCTGTACTCATCCCAACAGCATGCAAACACAGACACCTATGGAGAAAGGTAGAATGACATTTCTCATTTGTTTTATTTTGTACTCATCCCATGAATACAAAATACATGGCATTGCATGATGTGGACATCATGAATGTGAAGCCATATGGGCTTGAAATCTGTAAAATGATATGAGTTAATGTCTTTCTGGGACTGAACAGAGGATTACAGTGATGTGTAACCTCGAACATTCAGTTAAAGGGATAGTTGAGTTTTGTTCCAGAGGGTGCTACACAAAATATATTTTGTGTGAGATAATGAAAAACTGAATGTAAAATTTGAAAGAACATAATATTTAAATGACAAAATCAGCTTTGTTTGATCAAAATCGGTTCAGAGACGGCTAAAATATAATGATTTCTAATATTTGTGTACCACCACAAATATTAGATAATAATAATAATAATAATGAACGTTATTTGTATAGCGCATATCACTCACACAAAGAAAGTCCCTATGCGCTTAGAAATGAAGGAAAGGGGCGGAATAGAAATAAACATTTATGCCTGATACATGAAAATAATTAATTACAAACAACAATAATGATACACAATTCCTACATAGCTTACATGTAATATATTGTAAATTCAGGTAATATAAATTTAAACATGAAAAAACATGAAAATTAGATGAAAATTAAATTAAATATTAAATATGTACATGATACTATAACCAAAGAAGTCACTAAACAGCTAGAACAAAATTAACAATTTACAAAAAGATGGGTCTTCAACAGAGTTTTAAATGATTCTGTTGTGCTTGCCTGTTTGACAGCATCAGGCAAGCTGTTCCACAATTCGGCCGAAGAATTCCTGAAGGAGCGAGTGCCATAATATTTTGTTTGAGTGCTTTGAGCTACTAGGAGGGATTTACTATTTGATCTTAAGTTTCTTGTAGGGGTATATTGTAGAATGAGATCTTGGAGGTAAGACGGGGCTGTACGGTTTAGGCATTGATATGTCAGTAAAAGGATCTTATAATTAATACGGGATTTAACTGGCAGCCAGTGCAATTGTTTAAGTATGGGCGTTATACATGTATGTTCTCTGCGTTTAGTTCTAGTGATTAGCCTGGCTGCTGAGTTTTGGATTCTTTGTAATTTATTGGTGTGAACATCAGGAAGAGAATAAAGTAAACTATTGCAAAAATCTATGCGAGATATAACCAGGGAATGAACCAGCTGCTTAGTAGCTTCTTTGGTTAGGAATTGGCGGATTTTTCCAATTTTGTGCAGAGCAAACGAACTGGTTTTACATACATTATTGACTTGAGCTCTCATTGTAAGATTTTTGTCTAGCTGCACGCCAAGATTTCTAGCGGCATCGACACATTTGATAAGGATATTGTCTATTTCTATGCCATCCATCTGGTTACTTTTCCTGAACAGATATTTCGAAAAATTTGAAAAAAACGTTAAAAAACACACAAAAATAAGACCTTTTACGTCCTATTTCAGCCAATGCCGATGTTGACTTTTTGTTTGCATTTTCGTGTTGCTTATATTGCCCACAATTAGCCGGCTCATGTATTATTATTTTTAATTAAGACAGTGGAGCTGAATTGGTATGATCGTACGTATTGGCTAAATTTCACACATTTTGGGGTCTAAAATTACCTTCATAGCAATTTTAGGTTCTAAAAGGGCACTAGAAATGTCATAGATAAGAATAAGAGCAATAACCATGCACTTTGAAGGCATTTGCGGTCTGAAAACTCAACTATCCCTTTAAGATTTTGGTTGATTCTGTGCAAATTCATTCTCTGTCACTACCCAAAACAACAAAATTGAGCTAGCAGTACTGACACATAAACATTTCTAACCAGGGCCCCGTCTTACAAAGAGTTGCAATTGATCCACAAGTTTGCAGTCCCCCATCTCTTATGTACATAGTTGTGATTGATATCAACTCTTTGTAAAACAGGGCCATGCAGTCTCTTATTTTCCAATGCCAGTTGTAACTTTCAGTGAACTTGATTTCTGACAAGTTTCTGTTCAAATTGGATTATTTGCTGATTCAAACAGTATTACCACACATGGCCCTATTAAAGGCAATATTGCTCTGCATTCCATTCCCTACACCAACTGGGGGTGTTTCACAAAGATCCTAAGTTGAACTTATCTCTAAGTTGGACTTAAAAATTATGGAAAGCCATTAGCATCTTTGAAAATATTTTGTAAAAGTTATTTTGGAAGGTATTAATTGTTTATTCAAATCATTCATATTTTTTATCATCAAGGAGATTTCATGTTCTTGATGTGGAATTTATAAAAAGTCGAAAATACTTGAATTTCTGCTTTTGAATATATTTCATCTTAAGACTCCAATCAATGGCTGTCCATAATTTTTAAGTCCAACTTAGAGTTAAGTTCTACTTAGGATCTTTGTGAAACACCCCCCAGAATTCCTAACTTTGACTCCTGATCCTGTACTACACCTAAGCCTATACAATTACATAACCTAAACCTAATCACAACAGTCACCTTAACCCAACCCAATTTCTTTGACAAAATAAAGCCCGGAACACTTGTCGCCAAAGGAAATGATGGACTACAGATGCAATATATATCCATCTATTACATAATTTTAAAAAAGGAGTTCCAGCCTATTTCTTTGGGAATGCACTTCTATTACTGAAATTCAAAATTAGATTTGACCCTTTCTATGACAAGAAGTTTGCAAAACATCAGGGTAAATAAACCTTCAAGAGTCACTTTTTTTTTCTTCTTCATTTCAATCAAGTGTGTGATCTATGGATTGTAAATGAAACATTATATTGAACGAACAATTTTCAGCATAAACATGCCTATATTTGTTTTTGGAAAAAGGAAAAAGAATTATTCTGAGACCAAAAATAGAGGTTATCATTCCCATTCTAAGGCGGGTTTTGCCACCAACGACATGGAAAGGGTTAATGTCTGCTTAGTAACAAAGAGAGGGAGATAGATATATATATATATATATATATATATATATATATAATAGAGAGAGAGAGAGAGAGAGAGAGGAGAAAGAGAGAGAGGGAGGAAGGGAGGGAGGAAGAGAGAGTGGATTGTTTACCTTGTCTTTGAGTTCTTGACATAGTTGCATTGCGAAGGCCAGACAGGCAGTGACTTCTTCCACCCATGGAACAGCACATTCTACAGTGTTCTGGGAGAACAACTCATACTTGATAGGCCCGAGGTCTCTGGTATATGGAAGATAATATTACAAAGTTGCAAATTTGAGATCCATACTTGGTTGGTTCCAGTGTCTGGATTCTACAAACATCTTTGGGGGAGGGGTGGGGGAGGGGTGGAGGAGGGGTGGGGAAGGGCTGGGGCTGGGGGCTGGGGGCTGGGGGTTGCGGGGGGGGGGGGGGGTAATACAAGAGATTTAAACAAAACTATGGTACAATGTTCGACTGATTTGCTGAGATTGAATTCCAGTCATGAAGCATTTTGCTGATGAATACACAAGATATAGAACAACAAGATATAGAACAATTTTGTTTAAATGTACCTGTATGTATTCAAGAATTTGTTTCCCAAAAATAGGTCTCAATTAAATATCTAGCAGGAATGTCATACCAATGCTCATTCTGAAGTGTTTCATAATTTGTACATTTTTGAAAAACACACACTGCAAACTAGTCATACATCCTACCTAGGCCAAAATGTCTGGACATTTAAAACAAACTGATCACTATGCAGAGATATATTTTGAACTGAAAAGTACAAATATTATCATTATAATTTATTTTCACAATATTTACTATAATTTGTATTTCATTGGCAAAAATGATTAATGTAAACCAATACTTACAATAATCTGCTCTTGGATTCAGAGGAGGACAGACCTTTCTGTATAAACAAAGAAAAAAAAAGGACACATATATGTTTATTTTTTCATCAAAGTCACTTTTTCTTCTCAAAATATATTAACTATATCTAAAAGTGTGACATCATGAATCCTAAAAGTTTTGAAAAACACAAATATAACATTGAAGCATAGAATTTGTCCACAATAATCTTACAAAATAAATGGGAACTATTGAAGATGAATTGAATTTTTTTTTTTTCTTTTTTTTTTTTTCTTCCCCTTCCAAATATTCTAATGACAGTTTAATAATCATTTATGATATTGTACCTTAGGTAGTCCTCTTTCAAAGGCACTGTGAGAGCACTTACTAACAGAATATGCCTCTTTGCCTCTTCGCATATATGGGAAGGAGAAAACATTTCAAGCAATAGGATTAACCACAATGTTTTCCTACATTGTTTTGTCATCATCTTTCTCTCTCCAAGGCCATATTAACTTAAACCACAACCTTCACAAATTGCCATATGTGGAAGAAATTAAATTGGGAAGAAATATACTGTTTTTATTCTGTTTACATCTAGCTCTCTCATGTTTTGATTAACTTTCATTGTGCATCTTGAAGATTTGCCAAGACTAGAATTGATAAGGTCCTACAATAATTTTGAAATGTCTCAGAATATTGTGTTGCCTCTGCAACTCCAAGCTAGCTAGAAGCTAGAAAGTGGGGTCCTACAAGTATTTTCTGCTGCCAGGAAATGAGAGATTACAACAAAGCAATGTAGTTCATCATTTTGATGATTCCAGAAAATTGCAGTAAACACCAATACTTATATGCTAGATGATCAATCTTTTCTGATCGGTTCCACACCGTTTCTTTCACAATCGCAATCGCATGACCAGAACTCAACTTTATCTTTAAGTTTGTGGGGTGTTACAGTACCTACCTGGTTGTGTGCTTTGGGCAGGGCTAGTGGATGAAGATAATACGTGTGAAGAACGAGCTTGGTGCCTAGAATGTAGAAGTTGACCATACTCTCATGCGGCAAGGGAGGTGTTAATGATTTCTGTCAGATTAAAAATAATTTAAGAAAAAATGAATGGTATTTTATAAAAAGCAAGTCCATGAGGTGTAAGATGAAACTGTACTAAATGCATAATATAATACTACAATAATAATAATGAAAATTTTTATTTTTGTTAATAATAATAATTAATAATAATATTAAAAGTACAAATAAAGATGAAATTATCAAAATAATAATCAAAATAATAGTAATAAGAATAATGGTAAATAAATACAGTAATAGCAACAATGACAACAACAATCATCATAATCATCGTCATCATAATTATAATAATCACATTTAAATATTTGAATGGATAGGTCACTTTTTCACACAAAGCACCTACAGTACTACTAAAACCCTCATCAAGACAAACATAATCATGAAGGATGCACAATGTAATTACTACTGGTTTGGCTTTGTGCCATGAAACACACAAAAATCCCAGTACCTGGGGAAGATCAAAAGATGAATTTCACTTTTATCCTTGAATGATATTGGATGGAGTAATGTGGTTGAGAATGTAATTTCCTGTAATCCAAAATTATATATCCATTTGGTTAGACAAAGCTTGTTCAGTTGGAAAATCATACAGACCCAAGACATGGGAAAAATAATGTGAGTCAGGCAATGTGAAATTCAGAACAAGGCGAGACACGTCTTTTAAAACTTATACTTACATTTAGGAACTTTCATAAACATTATTTTTTCAATCATTTTCTTTCTGCTGTCCCTTTCCTTCTTTTCCATTTTTTGCATATTTCTTCTACTTGAGAGTCAAATGTCCAACAATCTTCCTCATCCCCCCTTCTATTCACATCAAAATTTCCCTTTCATTCTGTGTCCTTCATCATAACATTATTTCCTTTATTCCCCCTGAACATAGTCTTCAAGCCCCTTCTCCCCCTCTTCCTTCTCCTCCTTCCCCTCCTCTTCTCTCCCCCTCCCCCTCCTCTTCTCTCCTCCTCCCCCTCCTCTTCTCTCCCCTCCCCCTCTTCCTTCTCCTCCTCCCCCTCCTCTTCTCTCCCCCTCCCCCTCTTCCTTCTCCTCCTTCCCCTCCTCTTCTCTCCCCCTCCCCCTCTTCCTTCTCCTCCTTCCCCTCCTCTTCTCTCCCCTCCCCCTCTTCCTTCTCCTCCTCCCCCTCTTCCTTCTCCTCCTCCCCCTCTTCCTTCTCCTCCTCCCCCTCTTCCTTCTCCCCCTCCCCCTCTTCCTTCTCCTTCTCCCCCTCCTCTTCTCTCCTCCTCCCCCTCTTCCTTCTCCTCCTACCCCTCTTCCTTCTCCTCCTCCCCCTCCTCTTCTCTCCCCCTATCTTTTACTTTTCTTGATACTGTATTTTGTCATTCCATCGCTAATTAATCATTTTTCTACAGCTTCCAGTTTTTCATCATTTCCTGTCTCATTGTACTCTTAACTATTTAATTTCTTTACGTTATTGTTATTGAAACTTTCCTTATTACCGGTAAGAAATAAAGATTCCATCCCTCATAATACTCTTTTAACTGTATTTCCTAAAAAACATTGCTATTCACAATTCTTTCAAATATATCCTTCTCTTCTATTGTCCTCTCCCTCTCTTTATCTTTCCAACTTTCATTCTTGAAACACAAAACTGGCCCTTATTTCCTTACAACTGATAGTACCAGTAGCTTTTTGAGTAACATTGATTTTGTTTACACAACCCTATTAAGTCACAGATATACATTACAGGCAATCCTTGGGCAGAGCACAAAGTGAACAATGTGGTTTCCAAGTGCAAGTATGAAAGCTAGAAGAAGAATCATACCGTGTATCTGCTATGGTAGAGTTCTTGTAGGGACGGAATGAGTGGATTAAGAAACCTCTGCCTAGCCCGCATCAGCTGACTTAGAATTTCATCCATTAACTGCAAAGGAGAAGAATCATTTCAAACATGACTTCAAACCTAAGGACATTTAGCATACTAAAGAATATCAGCTTATCAGATCTTTATCACAAATGACAGAATGTTTTAAGCCCAACTGCACTACTTATAGACCATTGGTCCCCCATGGTCCCCTTTTTCTTTAATAATTGAGAGCTGATTTAATGACATAATCATCTGTCAGTTACCATACAGGGAGGTCTAATCCCTCCTGGCCAAACTAGTGCAGAGGGGCTTTAATAAACATCCGACCATAAAATAAAGCATTCAGCTGGTAGTTTAGGGCACTCACATGTTAATCCAACCACAAAGATAATACTGGAATCAGACATGATAAAAATCAAAACATGGTACTTCTACATGTTTTGGGCCATATGGTTTTGTTAAGAACAGTGCATTAGCTCTATAGTACAGAATGCAAAAGTATTACGATTTTCAGGTTGATTTTCAAAATTTGTATTTGACTTACTTTGTTGACTTCTTCAGCTGACTGGAATTCATAATCTACATCTTTAGTATTGATTATCTCGATAGCTGAGTATATATGATTGCCAACATCTTGAACCTGGATTATAGAAATGGATGATAATAATAGTTACATTTCAAATTTTGCAGCAAACATTTAGATTTTATACAGATGAAACAAAGAAAGGGAAAGAGAGATAGAGAGATAGAGAGAGATAGGGAGGGGAGAAGTACATAATAAAAGAATAACATATGTGATGATACAACCTTAACATTGAAATAAAATTCACAAAACTATTTGCTACTTGCAAGTTTTGCTAGATACAAATACATGTATATCTCACAGTTTGGCTGGATTTTCTACAGAAAGTACACAATATTATGATATCAAAATTTGCCTGAATTACAAAATTTGAAGATTATATTTGTATTCTCTTCATATTACATTACAATCTCTTTTTATTTTTATTTTTTTCTTTTTTTCCTAGTTCTTTGTTCTCTTTTAAACCTTGCCTCATCTCTTTTCATCTAACACAAACGTGTCCAACTCGAATCTCAAATTTACCAGCAGGAAATTAAATGATTGATGAGTATTATAGAGATGAATATTTGATTAATCAGCTTTCAAGGCTACCCTACACTCATTCTCAGCAGCACATCAAAGTATCAAACTTGATATGATATAACGCTTCTTTATTACCTCCTGCATGAATAATTCCATTTACCAAGATTTGATCTGTATGTATGGTATGTATGTAATGTTTGAAGGGGGTTAACACCTGCTGCCCAAATACATCAACTTTCCAGTTTCTATTTTTTGCATGCAAAAATAAATGACAATTTCTTTAGATAAATATGTTCCTTACATGCAGTCATCATTAAAAAAAAATACAATCTATATGGCACAAAAATTACACAACTGCCCGAAATATCAGGATATTTAAGCATCTCATTGCCCGAATATAATGATAAAACAAAAATATTGAGAATCTTAGTAGAAACAATGAGCTACTCAATTTCTTTCTGGATATGACTATATGGAAATTATGGATAAAGGGACATCTTAGGGCCCATTTAGACAAGTGAAACACCTCAGACATACCAAAATACAATGAAATACATGATGTAAGTGAAGTGCCAATCATTTCTGATGTACAATATAGATTGCATAAAGTGCATGTAGGGGTCATAAGCAAAGTTATGTTTCTCGAGACCACAACAATATGTTTGTGGTAGTTCATTTACAAGTTACATTTTGCAGCATCTGGTTTGTTGAAGGTGGTTTTATTGTTGCATCACATCTTAACTTGAATGTAATTATTGTATCTTGTTCACATACCTGTTGTAACCTCCATGGCATGTCATCTCTGACATACGTCTTCACTAGCTGGTTGGTGTTTCTATGTGGTCTTAAGGTCAAGTCCTGCAACACAAGAAGTAAATAGGATGATAAAGAGTACACAAAAACCTATAAATGGGGCTGGGGATTGACACTTTACATAAGGGTTTTTTATTTATTAAATTCAAAATACATGTACATCCTTTAAAAAAACTGGTCATAAAAATATATATTTAAAAAGCTAGTTTTTAATTTTGAAATGCATTTGTACTTACACATTTACAAATTTTCTGAACTCAAGTATTTCTTTAAGCAAAATCTTGTATTTTTTAGAAAATCACAGATTACATCAAATGAACTTATTTAATTATTAAGTGACTTTAGCTCTCATCTTAAATGTTTTAATGATTTTCTGGTAATTATTTTCTACAAACAAAAACGTAATATATCTCTTTGAAATTTGGGCTTGTATGAGCAAAAATACAATAAAAGTATCTACATCAGGTAATGTTCATACGCATGTTTGACGACGGTTGATCAAGATATTTGCAGAGCATACTTAATGAAGTCTTACACTTTTACACTAAGAAAACAAGAAATCTAAATGTCACAACTCCAATCCCTCCAATATTATTCTCACAGTCTGCCAGCAAACAACTTCAATTTGCACACATACAAGTGTACAATTGAAAGATAAGTGTAGTATCAGTCATACATTGTATGATTGCATTTTCAACAAAAAGAGCTGTCTATTATTAGAAAGGGTCTATCACATAGTACACAAGGATCAATGGGCCTATCGTGAGGTTTTGGATTTGTCAAAATGAAAACAAAGTGACTCAATATTGTTGATAATCATATACATAAAAAGCACTGCACGATGCACACAAATATATGGGACCAAACAAAAAAGGAGCATCAAACTATGGTCTAGAATGTTCAACTATCATTAGCTATATTTGAAATATGAAGGTAATTAAAGGAAAAAACTCTCAGGAAACATCATTACGATGATATCCTTCTAAGTGTACATGTAGGTAACAAAATAATGAGAAAGCTAAAAAATGTGTGTTCTCCTTCTCTAGAACTCGACCTTCTCCTTAACAGCAGACATCACTTATTCATTCAAAAGCATGTAGAACTGATGAGTGATTGGGTAGCACTGCCTCATGTATTAAAGATTTCCATCTTCTTTTAAAGCAACTTAATAATACTGAGGTACTTCCAAGAAAACCAATGACCATATATCAAACTGTTTCGTCTTTAGTGCTTGCTGAGCAAGAGTAACTAAATTGTATGTGTCAAACAAAATAGGTTGTGTTTTATAAAACATCGCTCTATATTAGGAAATATATATGTAGCGTGAAATTCATGAGTCAAACATTTCAATTGTCTTAGAAAATCATAAGCATGAACAAACAGAACAATGATGGAGAAATAAAGCAAATTAAAGTGCACCACATTTGTGTTCATTGTGATATTTTGTTGCCCTCTTTTTTCATGTTTCACCCTTATTTTGACCTTTTTTTCACCTACAAGTATATACACTGTACTTGTGTTTATTCCAGTCTTCCTCTTTCCATTTCTATGTCTTTTCAATATTATTTTCAAAGATGATATGAAGAAACAAAATGGATTCCAATACTTACAGCTTTGCATAACATGTCACCAACCAATGTTACAATGCCTTTCACATAGTCAGTCCCACTATAACAACAAAACAAAACACAAAGTAAATGAATGTAATTACTTTTTCCAACATATAGGTGTCTGAATCATTTCATTACAAGCAAAATGATTTTATTCATACCTTCAAATTTACAGTACACCTAGTGAAATTATATGCAAACCTTTTTTCTTTAAAATTCATAAAACTTATGGACTACAATATTGGACCTACTTGTATTTAAATACAACACACACACAGTCAGAAAGCTTTACTACTGCATCCCACGAGTAAAAGCTTTGTTGCCAGATTCCATTTTACTCATGAATTTTTTTCTTTAAATATAATATTCAAGTAATTCTTTCAGGAATGATTAAAAATATGGGGACGTCAAAATACTCAGCAAAGTTGTCAGAATAGTTAGTAACATATTTTTGTTTACCCAGGGAAGCCTTATGCACTGCTCTTCCTGAGGGCCCTGCAATCATATTACTATCCCCGTTTTTAAAGAACTGCTTCTTACTAGGTACCCATTTACTACACCTGGGTGGAGAGAGGCAAAGTTAGAATAATACCTTACCAAAGAAGGCCTATGAGACCATTATTGTCAGACTGAATGATGGTGGTTATTTTACCTGACTGCTAAGAAAGCATATATACTTGTAAGTAAGCAACCAGACAGCCGATGGCTTTAGGTCCTCTTCGAGGGACCTAGTAATGAGGGTTAATGCCTTAGTAGGGCACTAGCGCATCGCCTTGGTTTCAAACCTGGGTCACCGGATTACAAGACCACTGCTCTACTGACTGAGCTATCGTACCTCCTCAAGGGGCGGTACGTCCCATGCTTCATCGGTTTTCCTGCGCTGCAACCATTAGTATGGCACATATCATACCAAATAGATATCTCCTTGATCATACAAATGCTAAGTCAGCATTGCATTGAGAGTTTGATAAATAGCTGTCTTGAATCAACATTTAAAACTACTCTGTCAACCCCAGGGGCTAAACACACACAATACATAATGAACTCACTTTGTACTTGAGAGAACAAAAGTCTCGGGCTTGATCAGTGTATCTTTACCTGCAAGTCAACAACAGAGAAAAGAAGAGATCAAGTTTAAAAGTACACAGCATGATGAACATCAATCATAAGAATTATATAGCATGATTATCTTCTTTGATATAAGCACATTCTGTATTCTGTAGTTTTTGGCATGTTTCCAACTTACACAGAGATACACAAGCCCAATTAAGTTATATAAAGAAATTTCACTGCACTGAATACACGACACAACCAAATTAATGCCCTCCATATGATGTGTATAATTTGTACAAGAGCCACCAACAGGGAATGTTTACAACTACATTGATTTGAAAGAAAAGGAAATAAATCTTTAAAATAGCTTCATAAACACTAAATTTTAAAGGTAAAGACCAGTATTGGAAACGCCCCAATTTCAAAAAATGAAATGGAAGCTCTCATTACCAATCATGTGAAAGAATAGGTTTTGACTAATACATGATGATAACAAATTTGCAGGGAAACCGCCTAATTCATATATTTGGTAAATTTGTTTCTCTCATGGTCTGTGAGAGATATAGGGTAGTCCCATATACATCTTTCTGTGTATATTGTTTGTAACTTTACGAAGAATGGGCCAAATTTCTTATCATTTTGATGATTCCAGAACCTTGCAGATGCTAAATGCTAGATGATCAACCTTTTCTGATCGATTCCACAACGTTTCTTTCACAATGCAATCGCATGACCATAACTGGTATTTACCTTTAACTCCAGCATTATTCATCTAATTTCCAGCAGCCAATCACAGCCTATTAATTATATAATCTGATTTTGGCTTTCCGTTCATTCTTGCTATTTTGTATGAGGGCAAGACAAAAAAGCTTCAGCATGTCTGGTTTCATTGCTATTATTTGACTTTTAAATGTATTCATTTCACTGCATTTAGGAAACTCAACTTCTGGACAAGTGGTTTATAAATTCATTCACTCATTCACTGCCATGTTATCCACAGAATGTTTTCACCACCTGTTTTGTGTCCTCTTTTCTTTCTTTCTTTCAAATTATGGATTGGTAATTGTATGTCAGGTGTCCTCATATTAACTCCTGTGTCAATTGCTCCAAGCTCTTTACTTAGTCAAAAGTATGGGGTTGGGGTTGCACTTGGGTTTAAGGTTAGGTTTAGGGACAGAGTTAGGGTTTGGGTCCAGGGTTGAATCTATTACTGGTAATATGTTAAGTGCAGGAAACTGATGAAGAGCAATTGTAACATGAGCAAGTGTTGTACTACCATTTTTTAACATGCCACACAAACCAACATGAAAGATACATATACATGTACAGTAACAACTAAATCATTCATTACACTTATTAAGTTTTGAACATTTTTTTTAAATACAATGTATGTGACATTTGTCGTGATTTGTGTTTCTTTAGAATGTGATATTTTAAAGCTTACATGTAAAAGTATTCAACAAAAGTCCTAATTCAACCAGTCTTGAATTACAAGAAACATAAAAACATCAAATTTACAAGGAGTTTGAATAATTTAGTTGAGGTCAACAATCATTCTCTATAATCCTGAATATCTTATAAAATGAGAAACCAAGTTAGCATTTTTCCAGTCCTTTTTTACAATAATGTTCTTTCAATGCCTTTTTAGTTTCCACATTCAGATATCAATGAATTTTATTTAGACAAGTCCCCAAGTCCACACTGATATACTGGATCATCGAATTAATACAACTTGATCTAGTCATGAGGGGAGGGGATACCAAGTCCAATTTCAAATATACTGCAAATGCCAACAAATGCTTTAATTAATATTGACTCAGGTATTGTTAAAGTCAGCCTTTAATTTTGTCCCAGCTCACACCAAGGTCCTGTGAAGCTGAAATTGATTTTTATAATCAAGTTCACACATACATGTGCATGCCCAGTAATAGTAGTATTGTACACATGTTGTATGATTAACAGAAATACGTTCTATGCATGTATTGATTGAGTCAATATTTTTTGTTACAGTAGAGAGAAATGGAGAGAGAGAGAGAGAGAGAGAGAGATAGAGAGATAGAGAGAGAGAGAGATAGAGAGAGAGATAGAGGGAGAGAAAGAAATATTGGAGAGTAGGGAAGAAAGATAAAAATGATAGAAAGAAAAGGAAAAAATGAGAGAATAGACAAAAAGGAAGGAGAGAAGGGAAAAAACAGATAAAGAGAAAGATATAGATATCTATTATTTAAAGAAGAGGGATATGGAGAGAGGGAATGAAAGATAGAGAGAATGGGAAAGATAGAGAGAAAGTGAAAGACAGAGAGAGGGAGAGACAGTCAGATAGACTGAGAATGAAAGAAAGACTGAAAGAGAAAGGAGAAAAAAGTGAAAGAGCAGGAAGAAATCAGGTCTCGGGAAAGAGAAAAGGAGAGAGAACGATCAGAAAAGCAGAAGATGCAAAGAGGTTGGTGTTTAATTAAAACGTCATCAGGTGTTCTGTACTGCATGGCTTATTGAACACAATCAACTACACATGTACACATCAATAAACTGGACGCTTTCAAACAAACTCCTGTCCATTAGATTTTAAAGGAAATGTGCAGTCTACAGTTTGGCAATGACAAGGCAAGTTGTATAATGGTAATCTTTGTGTAATGTAACATAAACTACCTTTAATAGTACAATTGAATCATTGCATATAATGACACATGAAAATGGAGTGCCTGTTAAAGTGAATTTATATCCAAAAGGTTAAAGCTAAAGACCAGTTATGGTCATGCGATTGCATTGTGAAAGAAACATTGTGAAATCGATCAGAAAAGGTTGATCATCTAGCATAGATGTACTGCAAGGTTCTGGAATCATCAAAATGATAAGAAATTTGGCCAAGTCTTCATAAAGTTAGAATCACTGTACACAGAAAGATGTATATGGGACTACACACACGTGCGCGACACATGCATTTGTATCTCTCAACAGGCGAGAGATACACTAATTTACCAAATATATCAATTAGTAGGCGGTTTCCCATCAACATTTTTATCATGTATTATTCAAAACATATTCTTTCACATGATTGGTAATAAGAGCTTCATTTCATTTTTTGAAATTGGGGCGTTTCCAATACTGGTCTTTCCCTTTAAAGAGAAGACTATTTTACATTAACAAGATTATAACTGACCACAAAATGTTCTCTTAGTTTCAAATTTATATGAGCATACCCCAACCACAAATAGCCTGTTACAAAGAACTGATGGTCTTTTAATTTACATGTTCAATTACATACAAACAAAACTTTCCTTGACCCACCTGTGTAAACCAACAAATAAAAATATTCAGCTACTTACACATCGTAAAACTTAATGTTATATTTCAGGAAATTAAATGAAATGACTATAATGCTGGTGGCAGCTTTATATGCAGTATAATGTCCTTTGGCGAGACATTGATCTACATTTGCCACACTCAAGCCAGGTGATGTAAATGGGTACCTGACAGGAATTAATTCCTTGAAATGCTAGAGCGCCGCAGATAATTGGGGCAGTGCCAGGAGCATCACAACGTGACAGACATGTTCGCTATATAAGAAGCCACCATTATTATTATTATTATTATTATTATCATAATTATACAGTGAAAGTTATAGATGGCAAATGCATGAAAAGATGGCTACATACAGCTGAATTTTGGCTGCACATTTAATCAAAGTAAATAAATGTACATGAATACTTTTACAAGATTCAAGACATTTTATTAAACCATAGAAATAAAAACATGCAAACAATAATACAAAATACAGTGGGGAATATTGTAAGGATTAATAGAAAAGTGATTGATTAAGTGAGAAATGGCCCTAAAGGAGAGAGAGAGAAAAACAAACAGATATAGTACATTTAATTCAGGGGGATGATCTATTCATTCATCCCCCCTGAACAATAGGTATTACGTAAGGATTGACGCCCATGCCGCTGACAACAACAAAACAACACACTGCGCAGTAGCAAACTGCGCACCTATACGACGTTTCGTTAGAGTTTCGGGATAACTTTTTTGTGTGTGTGGACATCGTGGAATTTATACAATTATTCCTTATACGTCGTTTCTTGTGTGTGGACACCCTGGAATTTATACGATGATTCTTTATACGACGTATCGTTATAGAGTTTCGGGATAAATTGTTTTGTGCGTGGACACGCTGTATATCTTCAGTAGGAAAAATCTTCACAATACATGTTCCAGGATAAGAACAGAAGCTCCTTTTATCTAAACATCAGAGCAAAACAAACTCGAGCATGATTTGCTTTATAAGAGTGTAGGAGCTTGTAAGAACTCACTTATTTCTTCATTCCTTTAACGCAGCACTGCCATCGGCAATACAAACACTTCTAGAATGTATGCATTTTAAGTAGTTGTTGTGCCTCAAGGTAGTCTTTCACGACAAACACTTTCCAGAATCTACATCAAGACGGAGATGATACCAACTCAAAGAGCTTCCTTTATTGCTCTCATGCACAGGTTCCTTAGTATGAATACAAGAGCCATCCCCCCCCCCCCCCAAAAAAAAAGCAATTCATGTATAAACATGGTTTGCTTATTTCTATCAAAATCTCTTTACTTCAGCATGTTCAGCTTTACTTTTAATGTTTCATCTGTTTCTTTCTCATTTTCTGATGAATTTCAACCACTCTTTTTACTTTTACAGTGCCCCCCCCCCCCTGTCTCTCTCTCTCTCTCACTCACTCGCACCCACAGTCACTTACACACACACACACACACACACACACACCCTCTCTCTCTCTCTCTCTCTCTCTCTCTCTCGCTTTCTCCTTCAATTAGTGTGCTACATAGAAAATTAGAAATGTAAGATGAATCATTATAGTAATGCAAAATCTTTCAAAATCTATCTTCCCTTGAACCTGAAAAATTGAGCCTACATAAATTTATATTCCTCTATAGATGCACACATCCATGCCATCCTAATCTGCATTGTGTTCCCCATGTACAGGGTGATCTAAATTACGCATAAAGGACGACCAATCTATATTTGGGTCCTCTCAATTACAGGC